TGTTTAGTTGATAAACTTAACATGTATTTAAAACACTCTTAAGTAAACTGGGTTTCTCTTCTACACATGGCCTAACTCGACTCTCATGCTAAATTGTCTTCCTTAAAAAATTTCTCCCTTGGTTTATACGTTTCATTGTGATGAAACTTTCAGCATCTCAAGAGAAAAAAGTGACAAAGAAATCATGAGAGAGATACAAGCGATTATGAGGCAGATTGCTTCAAGTATCACCTATTTGCCTTGCCTGGACGAACCTTGTAAGAACCGCATCCTTCACGCAATGATCATTTGAATGAGTGGCCATGCCTTCGGCATCTCTTTCTGCTTTTCATCTTCTTATTCATTCAATGTTTCTGTTATCTCCTAGCTGACCATGACTATCTTGTTTCAGGTGTTTTTGATGTGTTGGCTTACACTGACAAAGATGTGGCAGTTCCATTCACTTGGATTGAGAGTGATCCAAAACTCATTGCAAATCCACAAATGGTGAAATTGCATTCATTCGATACTAAGGTGAGTTTGGAAAATCCACATTTTGGTTAGTATATCTGACTTACATACTTTGTTTAATTTGGCTACTACTAATATTTTTGCTTTGGGTATACAGATTCATAAGGTTGACACGCTTGTATCTTACAAGAATGACGAATGGGATGAGCAGTAGAGTTCCCGTCTCCCTGCCTTGTTATTTGGTTCAGCTTCAGTTTCTGTTCGTTCTCAGGTCTTGGAGTGAATTTTCTGTTGTTTAGACCTATCTGTTGTGAATTTTCTATTCACATTGTTAGATGTGCGTACTACTGTGGGTGTCAAAGTAGTAGGTAGTATCAATCCTTCCTTCTGTATGATCTACTTGTGGCAGTAAGAATTGCCATCTCAAGAATTCTCCCTGTTCTTCAGAAGGTTGATGTATCAATCATTTCAATCTTATGAAACAAATCATTCTAGTTGTTGAGACGAGGATTGCACAGCCAAATCACATTACTTAGGGTAAATATGTTGAATGTTGATTTTTTTTTTTTTAAATCCTTCCATGAAATACTTAAAATCTGAACTGGGCTATTGTACTTTGTTGTAAAATGTCTGAAGCAACAGTGTTTGTGTTATTAAATTCACATACTAGGCTGTCAGTACAAGCAGTTCATTGGTTGTCCAATAATAAAGTAATCAACAGACTTGGCAAAAATGGTGTTTTCTCTTGTCCTGTGTGTCCTTTTAAAAGAAATATTGCCAATTCATTAATGACAAATGTAATTTATATATAATATAACAAATACAATGTATTTTGTATAAAATATGTCAATTAATATATTGGTTGATGTGGTTTAACCAGTGAATAAGATTCTTTAGTTTAGTTATACCTTAGATAATCCCATTATGATTCTTTGGTTCAGTTTCTAATGTTGACCAACCAGCCAATTACTAACACAAGATTCCCATGATACTGTCAATTCTCAGCAATATTTTTCACGATTATATCAATTTATCAACAGAGATACGTAGAAAATATTTGGGATAAATTTATGAATAGTTCTTTAAGGAATCAAATAAATTGATACAATTTTTATATTCGATTAAGGAATCAAATAAGTACAATTTTTTAGGGTTAATAAAATGTTCTTTCTTTTCCTTCCTACTTTGAAAATCAATAGTTTTCGTTTCTGTATTTTTTTTACTAAGTGCTCATATATTAATTTCCAAAGCTAATAACACTAATCTTCCTCGTCTCAGAAATAGAAGTTTGCGAATTAAAAATAATAAAGATAAAACCAATGACTTAAAAGGAGGGAAAAAGTAAAATTTGAAAAAAAATTCAAGGACTAAAAACACCACTGTTGCAATTTCTTTGAACATTCTATATCAAAATTAAATAGGAAATTACTGTGGCTATGAATACACCCAATAAAAATAATTATTATGATGTTATAGAAAATGAAAAAAAAATTTAGAGAAAAGTTGGAAGAGAATATAATTATTATATTGGAAAGAGAAAATAAAATGAAGTTTTTATCATAATATTATAAAAATAAAAAAATTATTATATTATATTGATAATATAAATATTGTACCTTATTTTTACGACTTTTTTACTAAAATAATATTATTATATTATATATATACTTAACAAAATATATGATAAAATTATTTACTTAACTGAACCTCTCAAAAAATTATTTACTTAACTGAACTTTTTCTATTGTTGTACTTGAAATTAAGTTTTCCGTCAATCGAATTCCAACTTTAAACTTACCACTTTTTTTTAAATAAAAAAATGAAATAAAATATATAATTAAAAATAATAAAATTAATATTAAAAATAAAATTTTAATTGTAAAATTTAAATAATATTTATATAAAAAATAATAAAATAATATATTATTTAAATATATATTAAATTATTTAAATATATTTAAATAATCATTAAAAATATTAAATAATAATTTTATATTATATTTTATATTTATTTTTTTTATTTTTTAATAGGAAATTTAAAATTTATATATTTTTTTATTATATGAATTATTTAAGTTATAATTTTAGAAAAAAATAGAATAAATAAAATTTTAATTTAGGTAATATATTAAAAAATTAAATATTATATTATAAAAATTTATGTAATAGTTTTTATTTGATAAATTATAAATATTATATTAAAAAATTCATGCTAAATTTTTTTTTAAATAATAAAGTAAAAATATTATTTAATTAGTTAAAAATTATTATTATTAATATAAAATAAACTTCAAAATAAAAAATAATAAAAATTGACAGAATTTAATGTATAATATTAAAAATAACATAATCATTGATAATAAAAATTGAAAAATAAAATTATTAACAATAATGTTAAGAATCAAAAGTGGTGTCTAGTTCCACAACGAGGACGACGTCTATTACGTTTTGAATTTAGTCAGTGTAGTTGTTATTGAATTTCGGGAGAAATTTGTTGAGGGTTTTCTTCTTCATAAACCTCTATTATTTTCAATTTATAAAAATTTTTCTACCTTTATTATTTTTCTTTAATATCATGTTCTACAATTTTTATTTTGCTACTAATAAATTACTTTTAATTTTACTTTTAATATTTTATATATTACATTTATCAATTTTTTTCTAAAATTATAACTTAAATAATTCATATAATAATAAAATATATAAATTTTAAATTTCCTATTCAAAAATAAAAAATATATAAAAATATATAATAAAAAATTATTATTTAATATTTTTAATAATTATTTAAATATATTTAAATAATTTAATATATATTTAAATAATATATTATTTTTATTATTTTTTATATAAATATTATTTGAATTTTAAAATTAAAATTTTATTTTTAATATTAATTTTATTATTTTTAATTATATATTTTATTTAATTTTTTATTTAAAAAAAGTGGTAAGTTTAAAATTGAAATTCGGTTAACGAGAAACCAAATTCCAAGTACAACAAGTAAAAGATATTCAGTTAAGTAAATAATTTCATGAGAGGGTCAATTAAGGAAATAATTTCATCAGATATAATATAATAATATTATTTTAGTGAAAAAGTCTATTTTTACTAGTAATAATAATTTAGATACGCATAAATCGATATCTAAACAGAAAAATATCTTTCGAGTATAAGGGAATTTCTCTATAAATACATTTAAAAAGGAAAAAAGGTTAAAATTAATTTATATACTTTTTTTACAACTTTTCTTTTTAAATTTATATATATATATATATATATATATATATATATATATATATAACTCATATATCATAAGTTTTTTTTTTAAATAACTCGTATTATATTAAAAGGTTGCATGTACTTAAAAAAAAGTTGCATGTACTTAAAAAAAAGTTGCATGTACTTAAAAAAAAAAAAAAAAATCATATAAGATATTTTTTCTTCTTTCTAAAACTACATGTAACCTTCTAATATAATATATGTTCTTTTATTAATTTATAAAAATTGAATACGTGTAAAGTAAGGTGGATTGTTTTCCGAGAGCTATAATAATATAAATATATAGTAAATTACTTGTATTTTCAAAATAAATCAATACAAATCACCTCGGAAATTTGAAAAAAAAGTTACTCTTCATATATATACAAGAATAGTAACATAATAATAATATAATACTTTTTATTTACTATATATTAATAGAAACTTAAAAAATGGGGCTGGACCACCTTGTGCCTTATATCAACCGTGCTTGTGGTGGATGGAAAGATATGTTCATTGTTATTAATATAGTATTTATAATATTACCATGAATTAAGGAATTTATGAATATATTTTAATGATAAGGATTAGTTTGGGATTTATGGGGTATTATCACTATTTGACATCTATTATCGAGAAATTCTTCATTAAAAAAATAGTTTCAGAAACACTATTTTGTAACATGATAACAAATAAACGATTTTATATATTTTAAAAATTAATTCCTTCGAGAGTTTAAATTTTAAGATTTATTAAATAATTTTTTATCCAAATTCATATAAATATTTAATATACCATAATGATAAAGAAATATCCTACAATAACACCTTTCTTCCTTGTTGAATACATTCATTTAGTTGGTTGATAGAATTCTCTTAATACTCCTGCTGGCAAGAAATAATTTCAGAAAGAAAATTCATGTAAGTTAGAATTTAATGGTTCCTTTTGTTCAGAAGATTCCTGGTTAAGCAAACATATCAGAAACATAGGCAATTAGCTACAGAGAAGTTTAAGTATATAATAATCCATTAAAAAATCTAGACAATAATAAGTTTTCACTGCAAGTACATATTTACAGACATGTTAACGCCACTGGAATTTGAGCAGAAGGGTTAGTTAATTTTCCTATCAAAAAACTATAAACAGCATTATCAAAAGTAGAACCAATACAATTCCAGGTTAGTGTAACATATATCAAAGATCTGAACCATCCCCACCACAGTTCTCCAGATATTTACCTAGGTATCTGAAGATTGATCATACCATCTACATTCTACATTCTTTCAAGTTCAACTCACACCACGGTATATGGCACCAGGTCTAAGATCATCCAAGTTGTCTATATTTCTATATCCGTCAAATTCTCTTAGGCATACCCAACCCCGGCGAGTCAGAAAATCACGGTAATCATTTTCAGTGTAAAATACCTTGTCTTCAGTATGCACAGGAAGATGCTCAGACTCATCATAGAGACATAATTTAATAGCCATACCTGCAATTATAATTTAGTGTTGCAGCAATCATATACTTCAAGGTTGAAATTCAAAAAGGGTAGGAAAGATGTTTTCTTAATGTTTCACATTGTATGTTTTGAAAACCAGATGCCTCATTGAATCAATCAAGGCAACAGACACCAATTCAAGATTTATTGGTCTGACCGTGGATGAACCAGTATCTAGTTAAATAATATAGAAAATAACATCAAATAAATATTAATATCATAATTTATTAATACTAAAAATAATACTTTATAAATTTTTAACATTCAAAATACAAATAAAAACCAAATATATAATAATGTTTAAGTTTAAGATGTACAATACATGATAATATTATTTAAAAATAACATTATCTTCAATAAAAAATGACAAACATTCTATATTTTTTTAAGGGAAAAAATTCAAAATAACATTTTTTTTAAAAGACTGTTGACCAACTGTGAACCAATGTTTGACTGGTTCACCAGCTTTTAGACTGGTTTTGTGGTTCTAATGGACCTGATACTAAACTGGATCAATCAGTTCCATCCAGTTTTAACAACATAGCAAAACCAACATGTGAACTTCAAAACCAAATGACTAAAGTTCCCAGGCATTAAAAATAAATAAAACCATTATTTGTGTACATATCACAACAATAATTAGAAGAATAAAGTGAATCTAACCTTCATCAAGGTGAAGAGTGTAACTTCCTAAAGGCATTTCCCGGTCAATACTTCGGATAATCTGGTCTTCATCTTCCAACCAAAATGTGCGTTTAGTTCTCAACCTAAAAGCAGCCCTAATTGCCTCTTTGATGGCTTCTGGTGTGCCATCAATACCTATTCGTCTTGTATAATCACCCCATTTAACTGATATAACCCTTCCACAACATGACTGACTTTCTCCACCTGCCCAAGTAGGAAGAATTGGTTGCATAAATAAGAAAGCAATTACGCTAAAGAAAGAAGAGGAGGGACTGAATTTAATTGATTCCATATTTTGGGGTATTGAATAACCAAGTTTCTTTACCATGTTTTTCAGGTTCTACAACACTTTCCAAAAATTAACCAAAGATGCTGTCACAAACAATGTACATTTAACAAGACACAAATGATTAACTTTTTATTTCCACAGTCATTTTCTTTTTCATTGGTGAACAAGCAATTGGGAATCAAACTGTGAAGCTTTACACAGCTTACCATTTCCAGAAGTCTCTCTCCAATTCCAAGGAGGAACTCCACTTGCTGCAACAGCATCAGCTGTGGTAATGGCAAGAGGATGTCCATCATGATCCAAACTTCTCTCAAGATTGAGCGTCGGTCTTCCAGTAGCTATATGCCAAGTATTTGAGAATTATGATAAACATGAAGAAGCAAAAACTACTATGAAAGAATAAATGGGTAAAACATTTAAAGGAGATCCAATGTATATCTAAATTCTTTTTAAGGGTTTGTTTACTTCTATTTTCATTTCCCCTTTTCACTTTTAATAACAAAATTGTCACCTTGTTTTCAACTTGTTTCATGTTTTCAAAAGGTCATATAGGATGCGGACAAAACAAAGCAAAAAACAGAAGACATTTTACTCAAAGTAAACATGCCCATGCCCTAAAATCCCCACTAGCATTCTGTTGAAAATACTATTAAAATGCTGCAAAAAATAGACACTAGACTATAGAAGAACTGATGATGCTAAGCAATAAGCCTATACTTCCTCCCACCATACGATCACATGTTTATCTGGTCATGCATAAGCAAAAAGTAGTATGAGTACTTCATTGCATTTTTTGGGTACTATACTAGACATTATAATTAAGTGAAATTGGTAAATGATAAGCAATCAACTAACAATAATAGTTTACCCACCATGTTAAGAAATAATTATGGGGTCACACAGTTAACAGAATGAGTTCCTAGTAAATTATGATAACTAGAACAATTCTGAAGAGTGCAGCATTTGACTTATCATTTCAACAAACACTTCAAGGTAAAATCTCAATTTATGTTGCTTTCCCATCATTTTTTAAAATATTTACAGGAAACAATAGAATGCTGAAAAGTTGTCTGTAGTGTTGGTTAAATTTACATACAATAAATGTGACGATGTATGTACATTAGCATGTTTTTTCCTTACAGAGTTTTCAAAGTCCAAACTTATGTCTTAAGTGACTTGGGTGTGTTGAATATTAATTACTTATTAGTAGAAGAATCAAGAAATAAACCAAAATGCCACAAAGAATGGAAATACCGCATGATTCATTGCATGAGTTACGTGATTCAAAACAATGGACACGAGTAAACGACAATACAGTAAGTATGCAGCTGAAAGATGGATTACAATGACATACCTTCTACGGGTCCAAAAGAGATGCTAGTATCATCAATACCTGTAGAGCAAGAGAACCAATTAAATTGCCGTCCCTAAAGATGAAATGAGTGAAATTATAATTCCAACAGATATTCAAATGTCATGACCTGGAAATCACACCCTAGTAAAATTTACCATGGGTTCACTACAGAGAGATAGTTTAACAGTACTGCATGGGAATTAAATCCCACTTTCAAATTGTCAAGATTTATACTGTCCTATGTCAAAAACCAGACGCATGGAGATATTCGAACACAGCTAACAAGCAATCCATGGATATAAACTGATTCTCACAACTTAAGGGTAAGGTTTTTCAACCAAGAAATACATTCCAATCAGACTTACTAAAGTTATACAGGGCAAGTGAAAGCTTCTTCTACTCCTTCAAATTTATGTTTCACAAAGCAAAATAGTTAACTGGAGGCTAAATGCATAAAAATTAATAACCACCTATCAGCAATTTTAAACCAATATGCAATTATTTTGGATTAAACTTGATGGATTTCAGAAAATGCAATCTATTTAGCAGTTACATTACAAGTGCAGAATTTAGGTTTCCCCGATTATATCCATTTTAAACAAAATCACAGCCCAGTATTCCCAAGTAAGAATACTTGAATGAGATAATCATGTAGCCCAGTTTCCAGACAAAATTTGTTGAATTTGAGAAATTCCTGACAGTTCGGCTTCAAATAATGCCACTTACACAATCTCTTCGACACAATCTGTCAAAACATATCCACATCAGATACCAAACATCCCCACTCCCTGCCAAACTTAGAGATGCAGCTTCACAAGCAATTTGCGACAAAGGTTGTGTGATATTCCCGAAGAATCTGAAGACTAACTTATTCCAGGCCTTTTTAAACCCCAACACCAACACAAGTGCATGATTGGTACAGTTTAGTCCTTACACCTAGAAAATATTCATTTTAGTCCCTACACGTTAACTTTCTAATCCATATTAGAACGTTTTAGTCCTTACACCAATAAACTACTACTTGTCCCTCCACATGCACTATCCAATCTTTTTATTCCCTACAGTTTTAGACAACAGGACTATCAGTAAATCAACATTGTAAAACCAAGTTTGACTCTCACACTAATTCACCTCAGAAGTCAGATTCCAAACCTAAACTGCACTCATCCAACAAAATCAAACATAACAAACTCAATCGAAGGAATCCCCAACCCTAACCTAACCTAACAGTTCACGGAAGTGATGAATTAGAACGAGTGAACTACTACCTTTATCAGCAAACTGCATGAAGGAATCAACCTTAGGCGGAGGAGTGGGGCTCTTGTACTGCACATTTTTGCTCCTCTCTCTGAGGATCTCGTCAATCTCCTTATAATACGACATCTTGGCGGAGCCACTCCCTCCACGGTCCTGGTGCTTGGCCTTCTTGAACTCCTTGAGGAGGTTGCGCCACTTATCCGTGCACATGGTGGGAGAGCGATCGAAACCCTTCTCCCTCATCTTGGCCGATATCTGCTCCCAGAGGTGCTTGTTGGACTTGGAGGTGTTGAAGAGCGCGTCCATCTCGCGACGAAGGCCAATGAGCGAGCGCGTCTCGTCCTGCACCCACGTCTCCGCGCGTTTCTTGGGGGCCTTGATCTCCACCTCGGGGTCCTCACCGCTGCTCTCGCCGAGGATCATCGGCGGCGGGTGATGCTGCGGCGGCGGCGGCGGGAGGTCGCCGTTGGAGACGACCTCGATCATCATGTCCCGCGTGCCTTCCTCCTTGTAGAAGTCGATTGGACGCGGCTTCTCCGACAAATACATGGTTGGGATAGTTGGTTGCTGTGTGAGTGTGAAAGCGGAATTCTTCGGTTGAGAAATTCTATTACTGAAGAGAGATTGAAAAGAGAGAGTGATGGTAATTGTAATTGTAATTGTAAAAGTTAGGGATTGGTTTTTGGGGTGAAATTTTGAAGTGAAGTGGTGAAGTAGTGAAGAAGGTTAGGGGTTTTGTGTTGTGTGTATGTCAGCGTGAAGTAAAAGCTTTTTTGGATGCGGTGGAAAGAAAGGGGATGAGGAAGAGGGGACGTGTCTGTACCTTCTTAACAATACTGTTATTATTATCTTAATTAATACATAATATTATTATTTTATTTTATTTTACCTTATCCAATATATATTAAATTATATCTTATCCCAATATAAAAATTAAATAAATTATATTTTAATAGTAATATATAAAAATTTATTTAAAATAAAATTATTATACAAAATAAATTAAATTTTATAATTGTTAATTTAATTTATTTACATTTTAAAATTAAATTTAAATAACATATTTTTTGATGATCAGCTTAATTATTTTAACCAAAATGGACTTTACCTTTCAAGAGGTTAAACTGAAATCATTAATATTGAAAAATATATTTTGTTGGAATTAAATCTATCTTAGACAAAAAGAAAAAAAGGAACTTCCGTCGATTTATTTAAAGAAGTCATCTATCTGTTAACTTTACTGGACTTTCATGATCTTAATATTTAATGGGGTGTTACACAGTTACATTCTAAATTTATGTAATCTTAATATTTTTTTTAATTTAATATTCAAATATTTATATCAAGATATATTTTTTTCCTTAACATGTTATAATCTTTCCATTTGAAAATTTGTTTGGAAGAATTTTTTTAAATTAAAGTATTCCTACAAAATATTTTTGAAAAAATGACCACTTGCCCTCTGATATTCTCCGTTCTCGTCTTTTTTTTAAGCTATTATTTATATTATTATTTATTTAAGTATGTGTGTAACTTTAAAAATAAATAAATTAAATGGATTTTTTTACATTTCTAGATAATTTTTTTAAAATGTATCGTATAAATAAATAAAAAAATTGTATTGCATTGTAAAAAAAAAACTGCAATTATTACTTATTATTGTATTTCTCAATGCATAATTTTGTTAATTTGTTCTTGGATGTGTGTGCGCGCTTTGTACTGATAGCAAATTATCAACACAGTCAATGAATATATTTTCTCAAACTAATGTAATGTAAACCAGTTTATGGAAAGAAAAAACCTCCTTACAATAATCAAGAGATTAAAAAAACACGTGTTTAGATTAGATTAAATTATTTCAGAATTGATTATAATTTGATGCTAAAAAATCAAAATAACAAATAGTTACTTCCAATTTTTGGATATGATTTTAAAGGTTAAAATCGAGTTTTGGATGGAATCCATCCAAACACGTCCAAGATTGATATAATTGGAGCTGTAGTGGGCCACTCAATTATTAACCTATTTAGAAAAAACCAATTATATGGTATAAACCAATTATTTGTCACACTTCATTCAATGGTTCATCACTTCTTTGTCATTTATATATTCACTCCTTATTATATGGAACACCTTGTTGACTTGACCTATAGAGTCTCTATATTGTGGACCTACTTGGCATATTTGACCTTCTATCTATCTTGCAAATTCCTATAAAAAAGCTAAAAACAATGAATCACCTTATCCCAATTGGTGCCCTTTGTAAGATAAATAAAGAAGTGAAAGGTGAAGAAACTAACTATATTTTTGTTGAATTTATACAATAAAACTTAGTCAAATCTTATTAATTTATTAGTCAAGAGAAAGGTGGAACAAAATTATGAATAGATAAGAGGTTAAGGACAATAGATATTTGAATAACATTAAGTTTAAATTTAGACATGTTGTGACCCAAATAAAAACCACTCACCTTAATTAACTTTTGACCAAAAATACACATTGATTCAATGGAAAGGAGAAGATTCACGCCCTATAAGAGATACAAAATGATGGTAAGTATAAAATATATCTCTTGTTGCATGTAAGTTTTTCTCTCGTCGGAAACATCAAAAAAGAAAACATGGATTCTGGCATGTCTTGGGCTGATCAATGGGACAACAACCCAGACCCTTCGCCGACATCAGAGAAAAACAAGAAGAAAAAAAACAAGGATGGGTCAGAAAAGAACAATTTCGGGAAGACAGTGATGAGCTTCAAATGGGTGAAAGAACTTCGCAAGAAAACTAGCAAGTGATGATGATGAAGAAGATATTGTGACCATGGTGTTTGTTCTTTATAAAGTTTGGTGGCTCGTATTTTAATTCATTCCGTTCACTTTAATGTTCAATTAAATAAATTTCATTCGTTTTTTCTTCATTTTATGTTGAACCATATTACAATCTCATGTGTTTTTTAACTTATGCAACTTGATTTTGCAAAAGTTATAAAAAAAAACTCACCATTATTTCATGATTATTATTTTTAAAATATTCTGTAAATTAATAATGTGTTGTTCTAGGTCCTTGTTTCTTCTATGTTTCTTTATGTTACACAATGGATGAAAGAAGATGGCTATCATCTTGCCAAAGATTTCAAGTTCAAGTTCAGTGGTGGTAAAATTAATAAATCAATATATTGATCCGTTTTAATCAGATTTTCAATCCACCTAATTATCATTAATCTTGTATTAGACATCCATAAAATGTTAAGAATCGTGTCAGGATAATCTATTTCACATATTAACGATGAGTTGAGTTGAAATTTGAAATTTACTTAAAAACTAGTTTTATCTAACTTAACTTTTTATTATTCTTTCTTCTTTGAACTGAATTAAGTTATATTATTTTGTTATCATTTACCCAATGACAATAATTTATTATTTTTTTTAGAGAGTTTCAACGTATATAGTATATAATGTTATAAAAAATATTCTGTATATTTATTAAGATGAATAGAACAAGAACTATATGCATATAATGTTAGGCTACAATTATACAACGATAGTATTAATTATAAAGTAAAATTGTTAAATAATAAAGGTTTGCAAATATGTTTTTCTTAATAAATTAACTATTTTTTATATATGTTTCCTTTATTTTATTTTTTTATATTATAAGTGTTTCGTTTGTTCACAAGAGATTTATTAAGTTTATGTTAATTTTTTGTTTATTGATCTTAGTAACCTCTTTATATATATATATATATTATATCCTTATTATTAGCGTTGATGTAAGAATTTATAAAAATTAACTCTCAAATAATATTAACAAATCAGAAAAAGAAAACATTACAAAAAGTAAAATATTTGTAAATTCCGTTCATAAATAAGAACATCCAGCTTTTAAATTCTATTCGATCCTTTTAAAAAGAAAATAGCCTATTTTTTCATAAATATTATTTTAGAGTAAAAAGACAATAAACATGTGAAAATTGTTTGATGATGAATATAAAAAATTGAGTCCAAAATTTATGATGAATATTAAAAATTGAGTCCAAAATTTATCTTCATCATTTTTCTTATCGGAAACATTATTGAACAAATAAAAAATAATAACATTACAAATTGAAATATTTTTTTAATTTGTTTTATTTCATATAATAATATATTATTTCACGTACATATTTTATTCATTCTTTAGCTATTACATAATTCATTATAAATATTTTTCTTATGAATAATATATATATATATATATATATATATTAAATTAAAATAAAGATAAATTTATAAAATTAATAAAATAAAAATTATACTTAATTGACATTATGGATAAATTTATTAGAAGACTTAAAAAAATAATGGAATTCACATTCATACTATAAGAGTACTAACAGAGATCATATAAAAAATCTACGAGGACTGATAAGATAAAAAAAATTAAACATAAAATTAATAGTTTTAAAAAATATTATTTATATCAAATAAAAAATATATAATAATTACATCAAACATTAAAATACCTAAATATAATCCCAACGAGTAAACTAAAAAACAATAAAATTAGCACATATAAATAAAGTATAGAAAATTGATAAGAGAATTTAAAAGATTTAACACACAAAGAAAACAAAGAAATTTTGTGAGGGAATTCATCAAACGTCCAAAAGCTGTTTGAATCATTGGAACTAATTATAGAGTATTTTATACATGTAAACTAAATATAATTTTATTTCATGTTGAAAAAATATAAAATTAAGGTAAATTTTATTTATAATAAAATATAATTTGAAAAAGCAAGAATTAAAGACTAAGTTTGACAAACACTCTACAATTTTTAAAAATAATGAATTAACAAATTTTGTTTAATAATAAAATGCTTAAATTAAATCAATTAAAAAATCGATTAAAAATATAAAAAAGAATTTTTAAAAGATAATTAAAAATGATTTTTTTATAAAAAAATTTAAAGATTTTATTTTCAATTTAATAATTATAATTAACATAAATTAAATTAAATCAAAATTATAATATATTCTTTTAAATTAAAATATGAAATAACACCCCTTTTATTAAGTTTACTATTTTCTTATAATTTATGATCCATAATATTATTATTATTATTAATATTTAAATTAAATATAAAACTATACACAAATAAATTAAAATTATAAATATTATATTAATTATAAATTTATGATTTTATAATATATTTATTTATCTAATAAATATTTTATAAAATAAAAATTAAAAAAATAATTTATTTATTTTTAAATTAAAACTATATTATATTTAAAATTCATATTTAATTTAAATATTTTTTAATATCAATCTTTTGAATAATAAATTTATTAACACTTGTAACAATAATTTTTTATGTCACCTTATATTTAAAAGTGAAACTACTCAATCTTGTGTTGATGATAATGTTATTCAACCAAATTACAAAAGAGATTATATAATATAACAAATACACAAAAAATTGATAAAAAGAAAAAGAAACTTAAAGCATGTTAAACTTTATCCATTACTTAAAAATATAAATTAAAATTAAGAAGTTAGAGTAGAGGCTCATATAAAATAAAATCCCAGTCAGAGGAATTTTTTTTTTTTTACAAGTGCAGTGGAATTGTGACATGTATAACATGTGTAAGGCCATCACAATGACACCATTTGCACGTAAAAGAAAGCTCATATTTTAATAGAGCAGAGATTCCTCAAACTTTATTCAATCCCTTATCTCAACTTTTAATGTACTTTTTTTCTTTATGTTTGAGTACAGTATTCATGACTTGGAATCTGGGTGCGTAATTGTGGAGTGTCTTTAAAGTTTGTCCACTGCATAAAGTTCCCATGAGAATTGTGAAACCCTTCTTTTTTTCATTGCATATCCACGTGATCCAGTGAAGTTGAACTAACTATATATAAATAGTAAAGAGCTTACATATTTAATATCTAGATTAAAAATAATATTATAATATGATTTTGTCTGTTAATAAATATGTTCTAATTGCCTTGACATTATAATAATTGTTAACTATATATAAATAATTTTTTTAATTATAATAATATAACAAAAATATTTTTTATAAGATGTTATGAATATTTTAAATTAAATATCTCTATATAAAAAGTTAAGAAGTCAAAACTATTAATACAATAGCAACAATCAAGCTGCTATCTCATTAAATGGGATTTGATTTCATGAAAGTAAAATATATTTATTAGTCAATTATTGAACCATACTTTTTATGGTTTTCACATTTATTTGATTTTATACTAAGTGTTATCACAATATTTATTTTTCTTATTGCAGGACAAGCACATGTGAGTTAACTTTGGATTTTTCTGAATTTTAGTTTTTTTTTATATTTATTTAATTTATTGTATGAGTTTTTAATAGGAAACAATTTGTTTGACAATAAACAATTTCAAACATTCAATAAAAAAATTTAAAATAATATTTTGTAGGTTGATAGATGAAAAAAAGAATGAAATAAAATAAATAATTAATAATATAAACATCTAAAGATGATTATTGAATGGATGTTTCATAAAAAACTTTTCTAATAAAATATTATTAAAAGAAATTCATGAATAAACATAATTATCTAAATAAAATCTCAAAAGAGTATATTGCAATTACACAATTTAAAAAATATTCTCTCAAAGTTTGGAATATTTTAGCTTTGAAACTATTGTATAAAATAATATATTTTTACTACCATTGATTAAAATGTATGCTTATCAAGAAAGCTAAAAAATTTATATATAAAAAAAGGTCTTTTATTTTTTTATTTTTTCATGAACGGAGCACAGAACAGACACCAAAAGAATCTAAACAACTATAATGTAACACAACAAATGCGTCCCACATTCTTTCTCCTTCCCCGTCACTTACTCTTCTATTCCATGGAGGATTTTCTGTCTGCAATTTGCCCCAATTCTCCATTCGTACGCATCTTGTCTCCTTTACAACGTTATTCTCTTCTTTACTTTCTACATTTTTATTGTTAATTAGCGTCCACCATTTTACTTGTCAACTTTGTTTCAATTCACCGTATGTATGTTACTACCTGTTTTCATTTTCAACTCTGCGCAAAGGAGCTGTAATTCTTTATTGCATTAAGGCTCTCAATCTCCGTTTGTAGTTTGTTGTGTTTGCTGCTAAATTTTTGTTCTGTGACTTCCTTGTAGGCATAAGAACATTATTGGACTTTTGAGGTCATGTAATTGAACAATCATGTCATATGCTTCTTTCTGATTTTTTTCCTGCTTTTCAATTGACTTCAGAATTAACTTTAGTTCGGTGACATTGCCACCAGACCAACTAACATTTTTTCTGAGAAATGACTCAAAATTAAAGGCATATTAGAGTGTACATTAAGGTTTACGCATTCGTTGCAATCTCATCCTGACTTTTACTTTTTTCCTGGTTTGCAGGTTTGGGATGGAGAGAAGTTCTCTGACTGCTTTGAAGACATATATCCTCTTTCTTTTTAAGATTTTAGTTTTCAGCTCATGCACTGATTATATATATATATATATATATATATATATATATATATATATGTATGTGTGTGAATTGATTTTCCTTAATATTTCCTACTGTTTTAGGTTTTGCAGTCAACATAGTGACTGTTGTTATGATTGTTGTGCTTGGATTTAATCAGAAGATTGATCGTGGAGTTCGAAGATCAGATGACCAGGTACTAGCTGATCTTGGAGGTTTCTGAGAAGTCACTGGAAAACTACCACAAAATTATATGTCAAAATATATACAAACTGGTCTCTGTTTTCTTTTTACACAACACTTACTTGTTGGCCTTCTTATCCTGTAGTATCTCTCTGTAAGGTGTTCTCTACCGCCCAAGATTGTCCATTAATTGTCAATCTTTGTTGAATTAAAGTTGTCTAGTTCACCTGGAAAGAGCTATCATCACCCCACATATATTCTCTGTATTTTACTGTAGCATGTACCTGAGACAATTGATATTCATATTTTATGCTTTTACAATGAATAAACAGATGACCCTTCCAGACAAAATTGTCCTGGATTTATTTCCAGCCGTTGGAGCGTGTCTTTCAACTGTAGACATATTTTTTGTGTGGAAGCAAGAGCATATTAATCACTTTGTTGGATATCATAAATGGTTCTATAGCTGTCCTGAGTTGATGTTGTGGGTAAGTTTCCTGATTTTTAGCCGTCAGTTACAGTGTTCTGTAGAGTTGCACGCATTGATTACTTGTGATGTAATTATTCACTCGTATCTTTATGTAGATAAATATTATTTTCTTCACAAAGCGTGCCAGTAGTCATCACATTGTCTTCAATCGTGTCTTATGTTTCTGGTGGATTCTGAAAGCAATATTGGCAGTTTTATATTTGATGACAAAGATTTCATCATTGAAGGTGTTATTATTTCTGGTTTATATTTTTTTTTTACTTTTTTTTATTTGGGCATAAGAAATTTATCTTTATTACTAATAAATAATATTTATTCGTTTTCAAATTAGTTGTAAATCAGTTAGTTAAATGTGAAAGATTGACATAGTTTCATTGTAGGTTTCAATATGCATCACGGAAAGCTTAGTTGTTCTCTTGAATATCGCATTTGGCATAGCCATCAATGTGATCAGAATAAAAAGACCACCTTACAAAAGCAGGTATATACTGGCATGTCTTTCTTACACAGTCACTTTGTTTTCGGATTAGTCATTAGTGATAAGCATTAGATAAAATTTTAAAAGCTAGTAAATTTATCATATTTCTCTCTTTCTTTTGCACATATTGACCCATTTACTTGACCTTTAAACTTTTTGCCATGCTAGATTTCTAAATATCCTTGCCATGCCATTCTGATTACCACTTATTCAAAATGAGTTGATTTGACTGAATTAAAAAGCACAGTGCACTCATTTGATAGTATATGTGATTAGTATATAGAGATGAAAATTACATTTTGTTTATAGAGCACATTTAAATCTCGACTGAATATGCTGTCACAATTTTAGTTTTTTGGAAGATCCACTTCTTTCGAATGACATGGAACTTGAGGAAGGTGGCTACCATAACCTTGTAAGTATGATTGTCATCAAACATAGTTCTCTTCATAGACTCCGTTGTTTACACTCAAAATAATTAGACTCCATTATGCATGGGATAATGTATAGAGTATAACTTTTTAATTTAGATACAACTTTTTAAATATGGGTTTGCCCATATAGCCATCAACTTTCAACTTTGGTGGTCTCATCCTTCAACATTGGAAATTGTGTCAATAGTTAGTTTATGATCAAAGAAATTGCTAACTCTAGAAATTTTATTTCTCAAGTGTTACGCGATCAATATGTAGATTGAGAGTCTACAATTTTAACTTGAGGCCAAAAAATGGATAAAAGAAGTTACCGTGAACATTTTGAAACTAGGTGGTTATTTGCCTAATTCAGAATTTAGAGATTTATTTGGGTAAGACCTGTTGATGGGGGTTGCATGCATTTTTTGCTTGAGTTGTTCTTTTCCAGAAGAATGCTATCTTGTTGAAGTTGTTTAAAGTGTTCCTAGTCATATTCTTCCTCTATAATACAGTTTATTTTTCATTTGATGCATGCACCTCTTCTTTATGTATTTGACTTAGTATGACATGTACATACCTAAAATAAATTCTCCATCACAGCGATTTTCATTTTGAACAATTGGAAATTCAATTATAGCTTCATCCATTAATGTGATTTCTTGAGTCTGGTGTTACCTCTCACTATACTTTGAAAACAGGATTGTGGTATCCATTTCTTGTTCCTGACAATCTGCATAAGACTCCCCTTTGCCCCCAAACATAACAGTGACTTTAATGATTTCCTAATTCTTTTAGAAATAATTACATGTTTGGCTTATTTTTGAAAGAAAATATACTGTTTTCATGTTTTTTTTATTTCCAATTTCTAAGAGTGATAAGTTTTACTGTTTACTCTTTTTAATATTCTTTCTATAGGAACATAGTGGAAACTTTTGGGATTTGATGACTTTCAAATTCATAACTCCAGTAATGAATCATGGTGTGGTAAAGCAATTAGACTCTGATGACCTATTACCACTACCTACTGATATGGGTCCTTCATCCTGTCATGATGTGATTTTATCCTGCTGGCAATCTCAACTGAGTAACAATGGTTCAAACCCATCTTTGTTTAGAGCACTCTGTAGTGCATATGGATGGCCATATCTCCGCCTGGGTTTATTGAAGGTATTTTTTTATACAAAATCATGTTTTCCTCCTCCACACTGTATATACGCAATATTTATACCATATGTTTAGGCCGCTATGGACTTGTGGAATGTAATTCTTCCAAGTAATACATTGTTCAAGAATTTCGAATTTTCAATTTCCAACATGAGATTTTGACTATTTCCATGGAGATCAGAAGATGGTTTTTTTGTTGTACTGTACATTGATTTAAGTAACAAGCAATGATTCAAGGGCTATTGATCAAACATATTTATAGTTTGCTAACTGCTGTTGTGATAGATCATTGATTGTTTATGTGCCTAGAAATTTCAGTTGTGCCAATTACATGACATAACATATTTTACTTGAACCTAGACATCTTTATTACAAGAATATGTTAGACATAATAGAAACAGCAGGGAATGGGAAAAACCTTTACAGGTGTATGTTAGAAGAAAAAATAGAAAAGGGTTAAAATTGTCATTAGCATGTATTCCTAGTAGGTTGTTATTTCTGTTAGAGTATGAGAACAGAATAAATAGGTCCTCTGCTGTATGTAGAAGGGCATATTTAGACCGATAAATAAAAGAGTCAATATTGGGTATTGCCAGTGTGAAAGGGAGAGTGCTCCTTTTGGGGTATTACTCAATATCTTAGTTACTACTATTAGAAGGCGTGGGTGAGTGAGTCAAGAATTGCATATTTATTGTGTAAAGGCAGTAAGGGGGTTCCTAACAGAATATGATTCTTATCAATTTCTAGATAAGTAAAGAGAAATTTCCATAGTTTGTATGTAGCTTCCCATAGACCAAGGTATTGATACCTTGACATATTTTAATTTACAGAATATCAATTGTTTATCAAGTCAATTTAAAAATACTATCACTTAAGTAGGATTACAAGGTTTATTAATTTTAATGGCGTTGACACCTTGACAGTTCACATGTACACTTATTTAGTTACAAGGGAAAGTACAGGAGTACCCAAATGATAATGAGTCCTGATCATGTCCTTGTTTGTATTTGGATGTCTTTTATGAAGTATATGTATGTCAATACTAAAATGACAGTTCTTTGCCCGTAGGTAAACCAACATTTTAATCTAACTATGCTTTATTTATCGTGTTTCAATTTGTTTCTACATCTACAAAGTGTTTGAAATTCTTCCAGGTGATTAATGATTGCATTGGTTTTGCGGGACCATTGCTTCTCAATAAGCTGATCAAGTTTCTTCAACAAGGTGTTACTTTACTGTTGATCATTTTGCACCAAATGATTTATTTTTTCTCTTATTTGATAAGCTTCTCAGTTACTTTATTCCCTTTATGCACAATACTTTTATGTCGCTATCCTGGATACATAACTTCCTATGCCAATTGAAAAAACGGCAAACATCTATCCGTCAAACATAATAATGTAGACATGGTTATGGTGATGGTGGTGTCATTTTTTTTTTTCTTAAATATTTTCTTTCTATCTGCATATCAATCGATTGGGACAGGACAGCTTCATAAAAGTCTGGTTTCATTTTTTATTATTTCTTCCAGGTTCAGCGAATTTGGATGGGTATTTGCTTGCACTATCCTTGGGACTCACCTCTATGATTAAGTAAGTTGAATTCTTGTAGTAATATAGTTCATTACATTATAATTCACCTCTCTGTTTATGCAATCTTCAGGTTCGGATGATGACTGTCCAAAATTTCTAAGTTACGCATTTTTTATTTCTTCTTGTGCGTCATTGTTAAAAAGTTGTCTTGTGGTCATCATTTGCTTTCTTTGAAGGTTGTCTTAATTTTAGCCTCAAAGCGATTTTAGTCCCATATATGCCTTAAATAAACCTACAAAGCTTAGGCCATACTCACGTTATAAAAGATTTTGTTGGATTGAGTTAAGTTATAAATTCAAATTCTGAGATAAGTAAAATATAAAATGTATGAAATGAAACTGTATAAATGAACTGCTCATCATTATTCAACCATTATTTATTAGATAAACTGACTACACAATTGTGAAAAATCATTAAATTGAGACAGAGTGAGAAGAACCCAACAAAAAAAATCATGATCTTCTTTTTCAACAGAAAAAAAAAATAAAAAATTCTATCAGTGTGTTCGAGATATAAAACCATCCACAGGCCTCCAGATAAACAACTTGAACTTCTTGGATTTTGTAGGTGAGAGAAGAATTCACCTTGAGGGAGGGAAATTTAGACCTTCAAACATGTAAAAAAAGCAACAAAATGCCAATTTTGCCAAAAATGAAAAAAACCCCCTTAAAGGATTCTCTTGGTGAACCTTTAGAGATGTCTTTATTCCATTTTCTTGCATGAGGCAATATTTTTATGCTGCATTCCCTCAGACTTTGAGCAACGTATATATTTAATTGTATGGATTAGCATAACTTCGATGCCTTTTGGCTTCATTCCAGTAACAATTAGTGAAAAGTGTTCTTCTGATCTAGATCCTTTTTAGACACACAATATACTTTTCATCTTTCCAAACTGAAGCTGAAGCTACGATCTAGTATCATGACTCTAATCTATGAGAAGGTATGCTATTTTTCTTTTGTTTTATTTGTTTGTGAATGCTGAAATTATAGTTTTTTATAATATTAAAATGCAAATACTCTTTATATATACCCCTAGTGTTGTTACTGAAGCACGCATGGCTATCTATCTCATGATTATGATTTCATACTAAAATGTAGACATTGTTTCATGTGTTTGAAGTGTCTACACGTGAACTTAGCCGAGCGTTCAAAATTCACAAATGGAGAAATTCAGACATTTATGTCAGTGGATGCTGACCGAACTGTCAACTTGTGTAACAGTTTCCATGATATGTGGAGGTATTCCCTTTTTTTAATTTAAACTTCTTTATGCCACTACATTTTACCAAACTATTTTTTTTTCTTTTCTCATTGAATATCTGTACCCCAACAGACTTATCAATTGTAAAAGACCTTTATTTTCTGTCTTAATATGACTGAATTTCACAGGTATTCAATAAAAATACCATGTATTATTTATTCCATTGGTTAAAGGTATGATATGTGTATAAGCTACTTTTGTTGTTGAGCTTCAGCTGTACGTATGTGATAATATTGGGTTTTACACGAGATGGATTTGATAGAATTTATGCCAACTGGGGACATCTTCTGTAGCTTATATTTAAAATCTAGTCATGGATGTTAGTATTTAATAAAGTAATTTGTATAGATCATAAGCACTATTTTTTTTTTTGTTTCAGCCTGCCTCTACAAATTGGAGTGGCGCTCTATCTTTTGTACGCTCAAGTCAAATTTGCATTTGTATCTGGATTAGCAATAACCATTTTATTGATACCAGGTAGAAATATCACTTACAAAATTTTGTGAGCCGCACTTGTTATATTACGACCCATGTTTAATCTGTTTTTTCCCATGCTTGAGTTCATCTCGTCATAGTAAATATAAGCTGGAATTGATTTGTGGAGAACTTAAAACTGTGTATATAACTAAATTTGTTTCTGAAATCCCAACAGTAATTTCTTTTTGAAATATCATCAATAACTAAATTCAAAGAAAATTTTGTACTTCATACTGTCAATTTGTTCTTGGGATGTTTGTCTGCTATATGTATTTAACATGTATCTATGTAATATGAATCACAAGGGGTGATTTAGGATCTTTAAGTTTAAAACCTTGTAGGAAATTTAGGAATTTAGTGATAAGGTGGAAGGAAAGAATCACTCTTTCCAAGGAAAACAACTCACAAATGATGTAAAAGTCCTTTGATACAGCCAAGTGTTCTCAAGAACTTAGGAGAATCACTCTCACTAAGATAAAAGAGATAAATTCTAATATTTCTAAAAATAAAACTCAACTTGTTATTTCTGATAAAAATGGTTCAACTTATAAAGAAGTTTTGCCATCAGAGTTACAAATATTCATTAAAGGAAAATAAATGCTAATAATGATTTATTAACCTAGGAATTGAAAACTACTTAATGATTGATTGTAACTGAAATTGTGGCATCCAAAAGTTAATCAGCTATGCACCCTCTTGGTCTCCCAAAGACTGATAACTAAATTTCCAATTGGACCCTTATTACAACTTGCAATAAAACTAAACTAAAGCCATTAATCCAAAACACAATTTGGTCAACCAACAATACTTGTTGAAGAGTTTCATTTACTTCCCTTGCTCTAGCCCTTATCATAGGTCATATTCACATCATTCTCTTCCTCTTGAAAAGGATTTGTCCTCAAATCGCATTCGTCATCTACATTAAAAAGAGATAAGTCTGACAAATTAAATGTAGAACAAATATTATACTCACTTTTTATGACTAAATAACTCTCCCTCACTTCAAGTGTTTTACTCTTCTTTTGATCACTCTTTTTCTTCTCAAATGTTTCACTAACGCTTTTTTTTTTTTTCTCTCTTTTCTTGAAAATAAATTTCTCTCATTTTCTTTTTATCCTCCTCTGTTATCAATTTGATATTTAAACCTTTAAACCGGGGCTCTGAATACCAACTGATATGAATCACAAGGGGTGATTTAGGATCTTTAAGGTTAGAACCTTGTAGGAAATTTAGGAATTTAGTGATAAGGTGGAAGGAAAAAATCACTTTTTCCAAGGAAGGTAACTCACAAAGGATGTGAACGTCCTTTGATATAGTCAAGTGTTCTTGAATCACTCAAGAACTTAGGAGAATCACTCTCACTAAGATAAAAGAGATAAAATCTAATATTTCTAAGAATAAAACTCAACTTGTTATTTCTAATAAATATGGTTCAGTTTATAAAGAAGTTTTGCCATACAAATATTCATTAAAGGAAAAAAAAATGCTAATAATGATTTATTAACCTAGGAATTGAAAACTACTTAATGATTGATTGTAACTGAAATTGTGGCATCCAAAAGTTAATCAGCTATGCACCCTCTTGGTCTCCCAAAGATTGATAACTAAATTTCCAATTGGGCCCTTATTACAATTTGCAATAAAACTAAACTAAAGTCCATTAATTGATTAATCCAAAACACAATTTGGTCAACCAACAATACTTGTTGAAGAGCTTCATTTGCTTCCCTTGCTCTAGTCCTTATCATAGGTCATGTTCACATCACTATGGTATCTTCAATAAGAGTTTCTTAAGGTGGAAAAAAAAATATTCTAAATAAATTATCTCTTGCATAAGAAACAAATCTTAAGTTGAAGAAACTGGGTATGCCATATAAATTATCTCCAATGGGGGATTCTTGAATAAATAGTTTCTTCATCCTAAGAAATTTGAAAAAATGTCTATTGGAGATTGTTGAAAGTCCCACATCGCCTACCTCATGTCATTTGGTATGGTTTAAATACATGTTAGGCTAATCCACATATTGCCAATTGGTTTTATGTTGGAACCTTAACAGAGATGATCTTAGAAGTCAAATGCTTTTTGTTTTTGGATTGTTTTTAAAGAAATATTTAATTTACCTTGAAGTTCATTCATCAATTTATAAAATTAATGATTGTTTTATTACTTAATTGTAATCGATGCAGTGAATAAATGGATATCTCAATTGATTGCAAGTGCTACTGAGCAAATGATGAAGGAGAAGGATGAAAGGTAAACATAATTATATTAATTTGGTTGAAATTACCAAAGAAAAGATTAACTTTCATATTTCCATTAATTCATTTGGTAAGCTCTCTAAATGTTGCAAGTTGTGTTATTTCAATTTGTGTTGCTTTTCAAATGATATTATCCATATCAATATAATTTGTGCAACGATTATATTCTTGCAGTAGACACGGTCCATTGCATTCTGCTTAAAATTTGGTTAGCTCCTGAAGTTGTGACACAATGTTTGAAAAGCAATTTTAAGTTACAGTCATATGTCTCTTATGGACATGTAATAATTTGCAACCCATATGTTGCTATGCATAAATACTAATATCTGTACAATCATTTCCTTTACTTAGGAAGCTTGAGAAGTTTTCTAGTTACCAGTGAATGATTGGAGTTTATAGAAAGTGAAGTGTTGGCTTGGCTGAGAAGCAATTCATACTCTTAAGAAATGATGCATATTTTTTCCAACAGATACTTATTTTGAGAATTCCACGTTTCTCATCATCTGCCCCTTATGATTAACAGCTTATTTTCTTTTCCTAGTTTCTCATTTTAGGTCTTTCTTTGGGATAATGGTGGATCAATATGAATCAAATCTGCTGGTGCATATCTGCAATATTAAAATTTACGATTTTCTTACAGGATTCGTAGGACAGGAGAACTTTTGACTAATATTCGCACTTTGAAGATGTATGGATGGGAATTTCTTTTTTCTAGTTGGTTGATGGATACAAGAACCCTGGAAGTCAAACACTTAGCTGTAAGAATTTATATTCTGATTTTATTTATTTACAGATAAAACTGCTAATTTTCTCTTGAAATTCAAAGGTAGTATTCAAGAATGTTAAATCAAATGGATTGCTTTCTTTCTTCTTATTTAATTTCGATCATCATGTTTCATCCATATTTTATAGACTCGGAAGTACTTGGATGCATGGTGTGTTTTCTTTTGGGCTACAACACCAACGCTCTTTTCTCTTTTCACATTTGGACTCTTTGTACTTATGGGACATCAACTTGATGCTGCAATGGTATTTTCAAATTGTTTCACCTAATTTTACTGACAAGTTTTTCTTATTCTTTATTTTGCATTTAATTATTTATGTTTTGTTAAGAAGTTTAATTCAGTAAAAAACCTCTATGCAGGTTTTCACTTGTCTTGCTTTGTTTAACACACTGATTTCACCACTAAATTCATTCCCTTGGGTAATTAATGGATTGATTGATGTGAGTCTCCTGTATTCCATATTTTTTATTAGCAGATTTGATTTGTGCACGTATTACAATGTTTCTATTAATGTCACTGTAGGCCATTATATCCTCCAAACGGTTGAGTAGGTTTCTCTCTTGTCCTGAACATAAATTTAAAGTGAGAGACACGAATTCCTGTCCATCATTCCAAAGAGAACGGCCTGATTCTGGACAAGGTTTGGGTGTCTTTATCCAAGATGCATGTTGTACTTGGTCAAGCTGTGAGGAACAAGCATTAAATTTGATATTGAATCATGTGACTCTAAGTGTGCCTCATGGTTCCTTGGTTGCAATTATTGGAGAGGTCAGATCCTTGTTTGAATTTTATCAAGATGTCTTTAGCAAATAAAGTCAAAACATCATATATGGTTAAGTAATTTCACTAGATATACACACCCATCCTATTTTGACATCACAACTTATGAAAAATGGATACTTGAAATCATTAGTTCAAAATATATAATGCATGTCATGATTCCATTCACTTAGTCTTCTATATCTCTCAAGATCATTAGCATTTTCAATATTCACAAATCATATTGATAAATGAAACTACTTCTTGTTAGAAATATAGGCTGAGATCAAGAGGGGGGTGAATTGATCTTTACAAACTTTTTTGCAACTTACAGATACATATTAACAACAATTTCAAAGATTAAGAAATCTGATTAAGTATTGAACCAGGAAAACCAAACTGAATTGAATAAAATTCAAGCAGAATTAAAGAAAGTGATGGAAGAGGAAAAGAAACACTAAGAATTATACTGGTTTACCAAAATCCCTGGACTACATCCAATTCTGAACCAAATTCCAGTTGAGTTCCACTAGATTGAATAATTTGATTTACAGAATCAAATTATAGACAATCCAACCTGCACCAAGAACCAAATTCCAGCTTTTGAACCCAACCTACAACCAAATTCCAGTTGCAGAACCAAACCTGCACCAAGAACCAAATTCCAGTTCTTGAACCTGCACCAAAAACCAATTTCCAATTCTTGAATCCAACTTACAACCAAATTCCAGTTGCAGAACCAGTACCCAATCTTCTACACACCAAGCCAATACAAAATTGAAATAGAAATGAAAGAATGAAGAAACTAGAACAATTAAATCCGATCATGTAGATGCAGAAATCCCACTGCAGAATGAGTTTCTTCACAAGCAAGAATACAAAAATGCCTCAAGAAAAAACTTTGAAAATTCCCACTAAAAATAGCATGCTTCTTTCTCGAAAAGATCTTTATTAATTGCTTTGAATGATCTCTAAAAGATGTGTGCTTCAAACATCGAAGCAAATCTATTTATATAGAGATTTATCTAACAAACTAGTTTAATTAATCGGTTAATTCGTGTTTTAGTCAATTAAAAGATCTTGTTTCTAACTGTTTTAACTGATGAAAATATTATTTAATCGAATAAAATGTTCTATAACACTTTCCAAAAATATTTTAATTGATAAAAACGCGGTTTAATCGATTAAAACAGTTTCACAAAAATCCTTAAGTGATTTTAATCGATTAATTCGTATTTTAATTGATTAAAATACTGACAGAACATGTTTACACCTATTTTAAATGGTTTTAATCGATTAAAATGAATATGTATCTATTAAAACTGCGACAAAACATGTTTTCACTTATTTTAAGTGGTTTTAATCGAGTAATTCGAATATGTATTAATTAATACTGCAACAGAACATGTTTACATTTATTTTAAGTGGTTTTAATAGATTGTTTCGAAAATACATCAGTTAAAAATGTGTCAGAAGTGTTTTTAGCTTATTTTAATCGATTAATCTGTAAATATATCAGTTAAATCCGAGACTTAAGAGCATATTAACCGATTAAAATGATTTTTAACAGATTAAAAAGTTTAGAGGCATTTTTATCTCTTTCAAATTATAGAACCTCATGCTTGAAAAATAGATAGATGATTATACCTACTTATATTGATGCAGACTCACTAAACATTACATCCCTTATCTCATAAATCCTTTGAATTTATCAAATATTCCCTTATTCCATAAATCTTTTGACTTCATCAAATCTTTAAGATCTTCCATCATCATCACTTCTAATATCTGAAGCACAACTTTGTTATTTCTATTTTCACTTCACCAACTGTATATGTTCAGGTTGGTTCAGGTAAATCATCCCTGTTATATTCAATTCTTGGAGAAATGCAGCTTGTTCATGGCTCTATTTATTCCAATGAATCCATTTCTTATGTACCACAGGTTTGTGTGCAATAACTCATATGCTTAGCCTTGAATGAATTTTCTTATATCTTTATTTTTCTCAAAGTCTCATACAGCAGGTCCCTTGGATTTTATCTGGAACCGTGCGTGACAACATATTATTTGGTAAAAGCTATGATCCCGAGAGGTATAATGCCTTCAAATTTTAGGACTTTTGTATGCCTCATAATTTTAATCTCATTGAAACATAGACCTTTTGTTATGCTGAGTGATCTCGAGCTTTACAAACATGTTTTGAACCAAAATAACTAATGCTCTTCCAATTTATTATCCCCTTCCTTACTGTAAACAGGTATGCTAATACACTGAAGGCATGTGCATTAGATGTTGATGTCTCATTGATGATTGGAGGTGACATGGCTTATATTGGAGAAAAAGGAGTCAACTTATCTGGTGGACAGAGAGCTCGTCTTGCTTTGGCAAGGTGCTAGCTTCCTATTCTCATTTTATTATAATAATATATTTAGAGGTTTTATGCCCTTATTATTTATAAAAAAATCTGTTTTAATACTGTTCAATGAACAGGGCGTTGTATCATGACTCAGATGTTGTTTTGCTTGACGATGTCCTGAGTGCCGTTGACGTACAAGTTGCTCAATGTATCTTACACAATGCTATTGTAGGTCCCCTCATGCAGAGAAAAACCCGATTGCTCTGTACCCATAACATTCAGGTTGTTGTGTACTGTCTTCAAAACTATTATTTATTCTCATAAATTACATTGGTTTTGCCTAGCATTTCGATTAAAATCAGATGAACAGAACATTTTCACTGATATTTTTCAGAAAATACGTATTATGTATTTTGTATTTCTATAAAAGGTGTACTTATGTAAGGATTAACTTATTGATGTATTTAAATTTACATGCAGGCAATATCTTCTGCTGATCAGATTGTTGTAATGGACAAGGGACACATAAAGTGGATGGGAAATTCAGCTGACTTTCGTATTAATTCATATACAGAATTCTCTCCGTTGAATGAAATTGATTCAGCTTTAGAGAATCATGGACAATCTTGCAGCCCAAATCTTTCGTCCAAATCCAAGGAGCAGTCTCTTCATGGTACAGATATTGTGCATGCTGTGGAGGAAGCAGAGGAGATAGTTGAAGTTGAGTTGAGGAAAGAGGGAAAAGTTGAACTTAGAGTTTATAAGTAAGTATAAACATACACGTCTTTGAAATCAGATATGCATGGGGATTGTCAGTTTGTAGATAAACTTTTGTGATCTTCAATAGTTGATTAAGAATTTACTGCCTTTTGCAGGAATTATGCTGTCTTCACTGGCTGGTTCGTGACAGTTATTATATGCCTATCAGCTATTCTTATGCAAGCTTCTCGTAATGGGAATGATTTATGGTTGTCATATTGGGTTGATACAACAACAGAAAGCAGTCAAACAAAATATTCTGTGTCTTTTTATTTGGTAAGGGGATGATCAGCAGTGATAGTTTTCATAGTACATTTTTGTTGCTGGACATGACTCATGGACCATTAAATATTTTATGGCAGAAAATATTGCATGGACAATTAAATATGTCTAGCGCAAGAAGCACACCAAAATACTTATAATTTTTTTTTCTTAATTATAATAACTCTTAAGTAATGCTAAGGAATTTTTTCGATTAAAATAGTTCGTTTATAAAGTTTGAATCTATTGAAAAGAAAGAAAGAAATTGAATCCCTTACTTCTACCTTATAACTATGCCTTGCTTTAGCCTATCCCTTAGAAAACATGTAGAGCAGAAGTAGTCTATATAAGGCTTGTAGACTAATTTGTCTGGTCCACCCTCCATAAATGCTAGCCTGTAGTCAAGGACAGAGGCAAAACTTGAAAACAAGGGAGTCAAGAATAACATATATTTATTATTTTTAGTCTATATATATAACAACCTAAAAAAAAAAAAGACTTTTATAACACAATTACTTTAATTTTAAAAATATAGAAAAAAAAAGTTATGTGGTCCGTCCCATCCTTGACCTACATGGGTTGCGAATTATGTGGGTCAGGTCAACATAATCCACCCTACACTTTTCTTGATGGATCTTGCATGGCCCAACCTCGTTCCCCCCCCAATATGTTGGAGAATGGAGTAGATGAAGATCATAGTAATTTAGATAAATTCAGTATTAAGCATTATTTTAAGTTCTTAGTTCACTATTTATAAACCATTTGTAGTGCGTTACAAACTACCTAATCATTTACCTAGACTATCAGTTACTATAGAATGTAATTTTCTAATTTGTTTGAGATGATAATTAATGGTGCAGGCTATACTATGTCTCTTTTGTATTATAAATTCCTTTTTCACATTAGTGAGGGCATTCTCTTTTGCATTTGGTGGATTACAAGCAGCAACTAAGGTACACAATAAACTGCTCAGCAAGCTTATCAATGCACCGGTGCACTTCTTTGATCAGACCCCTTGTGGGAGAATACTGAACAGGTTAGAATAAGATGTGTTCAAAGAATAGAAATTATAATATGAATTTGATGCTTCACGATTTATTATGTTTTATGCAGGTTATCTTCAGATCTTTATACCATTGATGATTCACTTCCATTCATTATGAACATTCTCCTAGCTAATTTGGTAGGCTTGTTGGGTATTACAATAATTCTGTGTTACGTACAGGTACCATAATTTTGTTAGTTTTTCATCTGTATTATGGAACTACAAGATTTGCGTTAACATTCCCCATGATCAAAATATTTTATTCTTCGATTTTCCATAGGTTTTCTTCTTACTCTTGCTATTACCATTTTGGTATATCTACAGTAGACTTCAGGTATGATTTTATCCTAACACTCTTCTTACTTTTACTCTTAGTCTTGATCTTGCTATTACCATTTTGTAATTAACAACTCTTCTTGTTTTAGGTTGTGAGTTCCTAAAACTATTAGGATTATTTGTTATTAAATTGTACGGTTCGGAAAGCTCAATAATTATGGAGTATAAAATAAGGGTTTTATAATACTACAATTAAATTTTTTCAGTATTTCTTGAGTTTCAAATATTCAAAACCACAATGACTTCTTTGTCTTGTCATGGTAGACAACGATCAACTGATATATGTTGTGGCTTCAGTTCTTCTACAGATCAACATCAAGAGAATTACGAAGATTGGACAGTGTTTCTCGTTCTCCAATATACTCATCCTTCACTGAAACACTAGATGGATCATCAACTATTAGGGCGTTTAAATCTGAGGTAAATATATGTCATTTTAAAGTAATAATCATAAATAGAAAAAATGTCTTATATTATTTATTGAGCATAGCAGTTACAGCAACAGATGTGGAACGTCACCTGAAAAATATATTATACCACTACCATGATTTAGAAGCTAGTTTAATTATACAAACGGAAGTAGCAATCTTAACTTGGATCATGTGGTCAGAGAGGATTTGTAGCATGTTGAAGAACTTTACTCAACAAGGGTACTTAAGATATATAACACTCACATCATTAAGATATGTGGACGAAAAAATAGCTATTTGTTTATAATCTTTTACTTGTTGTAATGTCCATTCATAAATTGAAGTTTTGGTTTTATGGGGTGAACCTACTGGTGCAGATGATTGTAGTTTTCAGTGTTTCAGAAAACCACGCTTACCATGCGAAATTTCTTACAAAAAATACTTATGTTTGTTAACTAAAGATTTAGATGTGGCTGGAGGCTAATTGTTCTATCTTTATAATGTAATAATTATTAGCAAAATTAAGAAGAGTACACTTTGTATCTTCCTAAAGAAATATTAACAACCGAAGATGAACAAGCAGCGCCCTTATCCACCTATCAAAATCTATTGCAGTCAGAGGAAAAGATTGCTCGACATTGATTGGGCACACTTAAACAACTAGTTCAAAGCAAAGTTGTGTCAAGGTTACTTCGACAGAGTGCTAGATGTTTATGAAAATAAATACCCAAAGCACTGTCAACTGTTCTTCCTTCTGAAGTGGTTGTTATTTGTATGCTTTGTTTAACTTGAAATATGTGCTTAGCATCCTTTATTTTACTTTTTTGGTGAGACTTCAGTCATGAAACTGGTCAAACTAAATTTTTCTACACAATTTGTTGCCCTTATTATGATTAGGGTGACTTTTGCGGTACCTTTCTTGATTTTTACTGTACTTTTAAAAGTTTTTTTTTTCTATGGTCTTCTACATGCATTAGTTGCTTGTCATATGTACTGTGAAAATTGATACTAGCAATGTGAGTTGGTGCAACTGATTAACTATAATACAGTGGTCATTTTTACCAGGGCTTTTTCTTTACCAAATTCACTGAACACATAATCTTGTATCAGAAGACTTCCTACACAGAGACAGTGGCAAGTTTGTGGCTTTCCTTGCGTCTTCAGGTATGTCTTTGAGTCAAGTATATTTATTGACATTTCAAGATAAGAAAATACAGCAATTCACCTGAAGGTTTACACCTTATAAGATTTATTTATGCAAGTACATTCGAAGGATAAATTTGAATTTGTATTAAGTCTGGAATATTTCTTCCAGTTATTAGCTGCACTTATCATCTCCTTCATAGCTGTGATGGCTGTTGTTGGATCTCATGGCAGTCTGCCAATCAACTTTGGCACCCCAGGACTGGTTTGTTTGCTATCTTTTTATCAAATCTCTGATTTGATCAACATATTGATACAAAAATTGAACATGGAACATTTTCTCTACAGGTAGGATTGGCCCTCTCATATGCAGCTCCAATTGTGTCCCTGTTGGGGAGTTTTTTATCAAGCTTCACTGAAACAGAGAAGGAAATGGTTTCAGTTGAAAGAGCTCTTCAAGTATGAATAAGACTCAGTCACTTAGTAGAAACATGTGTAGACATATATACGCTGACGCTAACATTCATTTAATGTTTCTAGTACATGGACATTCCTCAAGAAGAACAAACTGAATGCCTATACTTAAATCCAGATTGGCCAAATCAAGGAGTTATCGAATTTCAATGTGTTACTTTGAAATATAGACCATCTTTGCCAGCTGCACTCTGCAATCTTAGTTTTACAATTGCTGGAGGAACACAAGTCAGTGAACTACACTTGAATTTGTACTGAAGTTTTTTTAGGCTTAACACCCGTTATGTTAAATACTAATTACATGGCATGTATTCAGGTTGGAATAATTGGAAGAACAGGTGCTGGAAAGTCCAGTGTGTTAAATGCCCTTTTCTGCCTTACCCCAATATCTACAGGCTCTATTTCAATTGATGGCGTGGATATTAAAAATATTCGTGTCAAAGAACTACGTACACATTTGGCAATTGTTCCTCAGAGTCCATTCTTGTTTGAAGGATCATTAAGGTACTCCATTTGAATCTTTTCCAGTTAAAACTACTGTTTCAAACTCTGATTTAGCTTCGTCTCAATTATAATGTTCTTACATTCTTTTCCAGAGGGAACAGTATTGGCATTTATTTTGATAGCACCTACATTTCATGTTTACTTAATACCCTGTATTCTCAATATTCTAGGGATAACCTAGATCCTTTCAAAATGAATGATGACTTAAAAATTTGGAATGCATTGGAAAAGTGCCATGTGAAAGAGGAAGTAGAAGTAGCTGGAGGGCTGGATGTTTTTGTAAAGGAAGGAGGGATGTCATTTTCGGTTGGCCAGCGGCAACTTATTTGCCTCGCACGTGCACTTCTGAAATCCTCCAAGGTAAGAAAGATTATTTAAGGAAAATTTGTGTTGCTCTGACTTTGTTATTAATGATAGTATCTTCTTAAGCAACGACTTCATTGTACTCTCTTGCTATTATACCCCCCAAACAAAAAGATACTCTAGACATTATCAGTATCTCAACAAAATATACATGCCTCTTTCAAATCTGATCATTAGGTTATTGAGAGATTCCTCTTGCCCTTGTAGGTTCTCTGTTTGGATGAATGCACAGCCAATGTAGACGTTCAAACTGCTTCACTTCTGCAAAATACCATATCCTGCGAATGCAAAGGAATGACAGTGCTCACAATTGCTCACCGGATTTCAACTGTTATAAATATGGATAGCGTTCTGATTCTTGACCATGGGAAACTGGTATGCTATATTTTCTTTTACTTTTTACTTGTCAAGAGAGTTGGAACTAGCTCAAGGTTATTATTTGTCAATTACAAGTGGATCTTTGTGCATGAAAAAATTAGATGAAAAATGAAATTAATATAGATAATTGGATCAATTTCATTCCCCAATCCCCTCCCCCATTCAGATCTTCTTTCTGTATACATTATTTGATCTTTTGACTTAATATTCCAAGAATTCCATGTAATTTGGCTTTTATCAAGAAAAAATAATTAGGCAACATGAAATAACATCAGCTTTCTCTCTCTCCCATGTAGGCTGAACAGGGTAATCCACAAGTTCTTCTGAAAGATGACACCTCTTTATTTTCTAGTTTTGTTAGAGCTGCAGCTATGTAACCATGGAAGGGACAGTTTGGGTCGTTCTTGGTCTCTAGTCATGAGAATATGGAATTGTGGAGGCCATTATTTTACATCATACATCAGAAGATTACCACAGTACAAATAATTCCCTACGTGTTAGTTTATTATCCATGTCATTGCTAGGAACTTTGAATTGCCAACTCAAGTCCTTTTATTTCATAGCTAATACTCGCTACTTCTTTTTTCATTTATAAGAAACAAATATCTAATTTGTTAAGACCAATAGATATAGATAAACTAGTTATCTTTAAGTAATGATAGTATAAATTATAGTTTGATTCCAAAATAATATTACACTAATGTCTCAAAAATACATTTCTTAATAATTCTAGGATATATATGTAATTTAATGATGAATTAGTTCAAAAATAGGTTATGTTTTTCATAAATAAATAAAAATATAGTTTTTTTCTTATAAATGACAAAATAAGTAATATAATATATGTTGGATATCATTTAACCACTGCATGTATGTTTTAAATTGATGGTCATGCATGTAGAACTGACTTCAGATTGCGTGATTATTTAATTAATTTTCCATGAGGCTACAGTTTTTTTTATTAAAATGTTTTTAATAAATACTTTTATAAGAATTTTCATGCTACGTATATTATAGTCTATAAAAAAAATCATTTTGACTTTTTTGTCTGTTCTGAAAATGTTTGTTCGAAATTATGACTATTAGTAAGGTAGAAAAACCATGAAAGATCAAATATTAAATTAATAAATTTATTACAATTTTAAAAATATTTATATAAAAAATACTTGGACAAAAACAAATAAATGAAATAATATATAATAAATATATGAATAAGTTAATAATCACACCAAAACTAATATAATAAAATATAACATGAAGAATCAAATATGAAAAAGGAAATGATAAAAAATCAATGGAGTAAGAAACATTTAGAGACCAGTCCTAAAATAATGAATTTATTAATAACCACAATGAATTTAAGTTAAAAACTTATGGTGAACTTTTTAACAGTGCTACTTTGCAAGCCTCCCCGTGATATAAGATTGTGAAAATTTGAAATTACAATAAACTTATTGAAGCATATGTAACCAATTATAATATAATGTTGTTCACTTTTTAGTTCTTTAAATATATATACATCCTTATGAGTTTTTAATTTTTAATTTATAATCTTCGTAGTCAAATTATATTATCATACAAATGTTAAATTGACAAATGTGTGATCTTATAATTGTGAGATCGATAAAATGTATAACACAACCTTTAATATAAAACTAGAAGAAATATACCCGTATCTACGTATGAATACCTGTATTTTTATTATAATTTTTATTTAATATTTATATTTATTTATGAAGTTATAAATTATTAGAGATAAATAAAAGTTAGACAGAATTAAAAAAGAGAAAAATAGAAAATAATGTGTAATTAAAATAAATTTATGATTAATATATATATATATATATATATATTAATTTTTGTCTTGAATTAAAAAAAATGTTATAAAGGGAACTCTGTAAGTAAAATCAGTAAAGAAATATGAAAAATAAAAATATTTTTTAAGGTAAGTGTCCAATCTTAAATTAAACAGTAGTATAAAAGAAATATGAAAAATAAATCATATTATATATAAGTCATTTTAATAAAAGTGATAATACATAGTGGTTTAACTAAAATCATATTTCGTAGGTTTGTTTGTATATATTTGAAAAAAATATTTTTAAAAAAATAAAATATTAATGTTATTTTATGTGTTTGTTTAATATGTTTATTTTCAAGACAATCATTTGTATTTATTTTTTAAAGAAACAAAATTTTTGTTTCTCAAATAAGTGATTTCTTAAAAAACTTCGTAATTTAACAAAAATTTACCTATTGTATAAAACAAGTAATTTTGTTATCTCCGGATTATGCTTTTCATCCCTTCAATTTTTAAATTATTATTTTTAATATTTATAAAATTAATAAAATTTTATCTGAATTGGTGTAAAAACATTATTTTTTATTTCCATCCTTAAAATTATAACATTGCTATATTAACTTTATAATATTTATTTTAAAACAAAAAAAATTATTTTACTCATTTTAAAAAGTTTAAAAGTGGATATTAAATTTATATAAAATATATTACTGGAAGATATATTTTTTAAAACATTTTGTTGTCCTTAATAAAGATCTTGCAAATGATAAAATGGGTAAGTTCCAATATTTTGATTACCAACTATAAATATTTTGATTAATCCGTAACTAGGCTTAATTAATAAAAAATTACTTTAATTGTGACATAATTACAAAAATAATATATAAATTATACAAAATATAGAAAGTTTTACATAAAAATGTTATTCACTTATTTAAATAATAATTTGAACGAATTTTATTATAATTTAAAGTAATACGAAGTTTTAAATTACTTACCTGTGTTTATTAATATTTATTATTATATAAAATTTATCTTGATTATTTTAAATTTAATTTTTCTTAATTCAACTTACCAAAACATATTATTAAGACGAAATATATAAGTGTTGGATGATTGACAAATAAACATTGATTTTATTATCATATTTATTAAAAAATGATTTTAGAACGCAATAAACTAATTATTTTTAAAAAATGTGATAAGTTAATCATCAACCTATTATTTGATATGAAGGACTATATTCTTTAAAATATTTTAATTATTAACAAGTTAACTCATACGTAAATATAAAGAAAATTGGTCATTTGAGATAAAAAATAAATAAATTTTGTAGATAAAAATAAAAATATTTTTCTCATAAAAACTAAATTTTAAAAAACAATAATTTAATATGGACTAAAATGACTTAGACTTAAAAAAAAATCGTGATTTGACTATGATATGGATAAATTTGAATAAATTTGACTTTTCTGTTTTTTTTTTGTTTTTTTTTATTATGAGTCTCTTTTGTATTATATTAATTAACATTGATTACAAATCTATGTTTCTAATTACATAAAATTAATTATACTTACATAAAATTAGATCATTTAAAATTTATTTAATCTAGAAAAAAACTCAATATAAAAAATCAATTAGAAAAAAGAAATTTAACGTACACTTTGTTATTTGACAGTACACTTTGTTATTTGACAGCCCTTAGGTGTACACAAAGATCATTTATCGATCAAAGTGAAAACTCCATCTTCTTTTTTTTAACACCAATAATTGTATTTTGGATTTTTTTATTATTTCACTTTGCGAGGTTTTCCAATTTTCATTTACAAACTTGTTATTGTAATATTAAAAAAAAATAGAAACGACACTCTATTTTACATTACGACACCATACGTGTGTAATAAAAGAATGAATGTGAATATTTATTAATAGACAAATAAACTAAAATGACACGGTTAAATCGTACGCGTAGAAAGAATGTGACCCAATTTCGCAGAATTAGCAAAATAATAATAATAATAAGAGAAATTAAGCGTTAATTTATGAAACTTTTTTTCTTTTTTTTTTTGCGTATTTTGAGTTTCGAAATTCACGTCAAATTTCAATTGCGTCATCTCATCTTCCGCCCAAAACAAATCCTCCTTGGCGCTCGTCAAGGGAGAAAGAGAAAAGACAAAAAGAGCAGAGAAAATGACGGAAAGTGAAGGAAAGCGTGAGAAAATGCGCAAAGAGAACAAGCGAGGAAGCCTCCTCGTTTTCACCGGAGCTGCTGCCGTGCTCGCGATTGCGGCGAATCTCGCCATCACCGCATTCAGGCACCACAAGGAAAAAAATGCAAAGAAGAAAGGTACTTCTTCTTGTTAAACTCTTCAATTTTCTTTTACTCTACTCTAGTGAATAACTTGCTAAATTTTGAGATCGTTTCACTGAAGCAACTAGTTGGAACTTGTAGATCTTGCAGGTTCTAAGGTGCGCGTTAACCTACCTGCGCCTGAGATTCTTAAGTTAGCAGAACAAATCATTGCCAACTCGAAGAAGGTCCATAATTCTGTTGCGTCGGTGCCTCTCGACAAGGTACTATGGATTCACATCTATATACTGCAATGAATACTGATCTCATTGTTCTCTATCTAATTGTCTCGAATCTAACTTATTTACTATTAGTTGAAGACATCGCATTCGTTAAGAAACGTCGGTATCCTATTTTTCACACGAGACTTAGTCTTTGAGATGTAGTAGCATTTTGTTCTTTATCTAATTTTGCAATCGAATCAATGTTGAGCTGCATCTTTATTTTTTGTAAACTACACTTTTAGTGCCTGAGCTGAATGTAAGAAATTATACAGAACTGCTGCACAACAAGTCCTTAGGCTAATGAAATTCCAAATAACCCCCTGAAATTGCAATCATGTTAGTCCAAAATTTTAAATAAGTGTCTGACTTGCTTGGGTAATAACATTACTGTGTAAATAGTTAATTTGGTTATTCAAAGTGTGAGATATAATCACTTTAGTCCTTCAAAATAATAAAATTTAAAAAAGGGTTTTAAAGTTTAATTTGTCTCTTTAGTTTCAAATTTAAAAATTCATGTGATTAAAATGATAATGTTAATATACTTTTAAGGATTCAAGTGACAATGAGTAATTAACATTAGAGACTAGAGTCATAACAAAGAGATTTATTTTGATTTTTTTGAAGGGACTAAAGTGACCATGTTTATATTTTCACTAATATTAACATGTTTAAGGATCAAATTTATAATAAATGGTTGAATTTATAGACCTAGACAGAACAACTAGAAATTTTAGATACTTATTTGAAATTTTCTTAGTTGAAAAGACTAATGTGATAATGCTTTACACTTTTAGGGACCAAAATGATGGTTTACTCTTCTTTTTTTTGTCAAATCGTAATGTGATATGATATAACATGTATTTACTCATTTTCAGTTATTGTTTTGTGTTGACAATAACTGCAGGTTACATATGCAAATGTTATATCACCTCTGGCAGAACTGCAGGCGCAGCAATTTCCACTGGTCCAGTCTTGTGTGTTTCCGAAGATGGTATCTACTCGGGAGGATGTACGCAAAGCAAGTGCAGAAGCAGAGCGAAGAATAGATGATCATCTTGATGCGTGCAGGTTTGCTAACATTAGTTTATAGTTTCCCACACTATTTATGATTTCTCTGTAGTGCTGGACACGAGTTGTTGATGGGGCAGAAATGCCCTACACATAGGGGAATAAAGGATGGATTTGACTATGATGAAGTCTTGCCTAATCTCACTGGTTTCAGAGTTTACTGAAAGCTATGAGGAGAGTGAGGATATGTTCACACTACACTATTATTAATCTATCTGCATGCATCGCTTGGTTTAATGAATTTGTTTGCGGCACCTACCAAAAATTGTTTAGGTTGACTTTTCCAGATTACATGTCTTTTCATCTCATAAATTATGAAATTGAATATTGTGTTTTTCTTGCAAGTGGATCAGCAAACGTGAAGATGTATATCTTGTCATTAAAGCATTTGCAGTTAGGGGGGAGTGGACGAATGCTGAAGCCAAACGCTTTGTTCAAACACTGGTAAGAACCAAGGAGTTGTCTGGAATGTAGTCTAGCTTTAATTTTTTTATTGGGTGAGATTTGCATAGAAAAGTAATGCCACGAGCATAGGGAACGCAGGGTTGCACTATATGCTAATATACTTTTCCATTAGAAGTATGAAATCCAGACTTGATTCTTTCCTAATCAGTGACAGGTGAGAGACTATGAGCGAAATGGATTGAACCTCACTGCAAGCAAAAGAGAAGAGTTGCAGCGTGTAAGGGCTCAGATTGATGAATTAAGCATCAAATATATCCAAAATCTCAATGACGATACCAAGTTTTTTCTCTTCAATGAGTCAGAGTTAGCTGGATTACCGCTGGAGTTTCTCAAGGTTTAGTATAACTATTCTTCCTTCAATTAAAATGGATTTCGAAGTCGATTATTGGTCTATATATATGATTTGCAACAGAACATTATTACTTCATTTGATCCATGTAGCCAGTTCCACCTTGTGAGAAAAGAGTTGGTTGTTGTTGTTGTATTCTTTCATCAATCCACTTAACTAGTGTAGACATGGTTCTGAAAATTTTCCTTTCCCTATTTGCATCATCGCCCAAGTCAACTATTAAATACTTGGTCATGAATTATATACTTTGAAATCTATATTATATTGTTCTTAAATTTCTGTCTTCTATTATTACTGCATACATAAATATCATAATAATTGTCTTTCTGAGTGAAACACTTTTTCGGATTGGACTTGGAATGGCTGTCTCTTCATTGAACTATTAAATCCTAAAACACTAGATGAATTTGCATTCTCTGTAACTGGGAGAAAATCGGACATGTAAAGGGAAGGGACAATCATATCACTCACATGTTGGTTTGGGACTACTATTTAAAAATGGAGGGGTCATGGAACAAACTGTTGCCTTCAGTTTTCCTCCTACAGGATGTGTTTGTTACCTCCAAATCAGCCCCTTCCTTTCCCTTCCCTTCCCACACTGAAAATAGGTAAATAATAATTTGATTTCTATTTACTTCCACTTTATTTTTACTCCAAAATAAATGATGATATTTCTAGTTTTTTCTTATTATACATCCACTCGATATGAATACCTTCCCTCTCCTTTTGCAAACCATTCCCTCCACTGTCAATTTAAAATCCCAAATCCAATCCTGAAGTATGGATCTTTTGACTAAACGAAGGATAACTGAAAGGAACCGTTATTTAGGAAGTTAAAAAAGATATGTCCGAAAGAAATACCAGCAACATAAATTGTAAGATTAGATGATATTTAACTGACCGGACTATTTAAGGGCATAATTAATGCAATACACCAGTTCGCTCTGTGTGTCTTACACAGATTAATTACATATTTGCTTCAGAAGAGCATAATACTGATTTTATTTGACTTTAATAAGCCTTCATGCATTTATGGAGGCTCGTTTCTGCTTTTGCATTGCCTTCAATGGCTAAACATTTATTTTTTATTTTCTGGTTGTAATATTATTGAATTAAATGCATTTCTCCACAGGCTTTAGACCAATCGGAAAATGGAAAATTTAAAATTTCCCTGAGAAGTCATCATGTTGCAGCTATACTTGAATTTTGCAAGGTATGTCGGATGAATATAAACTAATAGCTACATGTTTATTAGCTAAATAAGTGCTATATTATGGAGTGAGATTAAATTAGCTCTTGCACTAGCTGTAAACTAATGGTGAGAAGAAGCAGAACATAAAGTGTATATTGTTTAACAAAACGGTGTTTTTGTCCTTGTAAAGGTTTATAATTAGTGAAATGACCATGTGACTTATACTTTCCGTGGGAATTTGATTTGGGAAAATTGATCTAAACCATGAAACTAGAATGACTTCCTTCCCTTTATGTCAAACATTCTTTTAGAAAGGGCAATAGTGTTTTTCTTTTCCACAATTGCTTGTTTTTAATTCCTATTGATAATTCACAGCGACTTATCATTTTATTATTTCATGTTTTGGCTGGAAAATTAATTGATTGATCTTGTTGCTTACTGTGACACAAAAGGACGGTAGCTAAGCGGGCTAAGGATTTACTACGCCAAACATATTGCCCACGCTAGACCACTTGAATATTTCCATGGGCATAAACACAAATATCACTAACATTGCAACATTAGACCATCTTAATATTTCTATATAATGTCGTTTTTTCTCCTTTGGACTTGGTAGATTTTGTGTATATTTTTAATTTATTCAGTGCATCTATACTAACAATGTCTATAATTATATATTGAGCACATCAAGGTTGGAACTACAAGGCAAGTGGTATCAGGGGCATATGGAAATCGGTGTGGAGAAATCAACATTTCTATCTTAGAAAGCCTGGTAATTTTCATTGATGGAATTACTCATTAAGTAGTAAGGACTCCACTTATTTAGTATCAAATACATCTATCATTATTTCAAGCTATAAATTGAGAAATTATCTTGTAGTTGGACCATGTTACAGGTCATTGATAATTTGACATCCATTTTACCTCTGGTTATTTATTTTACTTAAAACAATAACAAGAGCTTGGTAGAAAGGGTATGGTACCTATGTAATTTTCTAGATCTATACGATTCCTAATATGAACAACTTTACCTATAAAAGTGATTATTTATACTGTTGAATTTATAGGACTTTAATAGATATAGTTCGATAGTAACCTTTTATGTGACCGTCAGGTCATGTCAAATCTAAATTGTAGGTTTGTTTGACATCTTTCATATTGCTTTCTATGGTTCTTAATTTTGTTACTTCTAGACTTGTTTATTGGCTTAATCATATTAAAGTTTGTTCTTGATGATATTTCATTGGCATGATTCAGGTGCAACAGCGCCATAAATATGCTCGTTTACTTGGATTTTCATGCTATGCAGAGTATGCCATCGATGTTAGAATGGCAAAGACACCAAAAAAGGTTGGCGTCTTATCATTGGAATGCAATAATCTATTCAAGCTCTTCACTTTTTTTTTATAAGTTGTACTTCATAGATAAATTCTTCTAAAAGAAGGAAAGTAAAACTGGACAATGTATCATGCAAGCAAACAACTCTCAGATTAACACTCTAGTTTATGCTTGCTCTCTTTATGCTCACTTTTTCTCTTCTATCAGGTATTTCCTTACATGAATAGGTTTTAACACATGCAATTATGCTGAGGAGAAAAATCATCAGAATGTCATTGAGATAGTTGTTGTCAGATGTTATTTGGGACTATGGGAAAGCTTAGCAATTGCTTGTTTGCATAATATTGGAGGGCAGCAAGGAACAGAAATCAGTAATTATTATAAAAAAATACAATAAAAATGAGTTGTTTTCTTAAAATATTTTAAAATGAATATCTCAAAATTCTAACTTTGTTTCTAATAGTTTACACAAAAGATGAGTCAGATAATGACACAAATATGAGATTCATTAGAAGTTCATTCTAAATATACTACATTTGGACCTCTCTGATGACAGACAGTGCAGGACAGCTCTATTTGAAAATTTAAATTTTTTTTGACAAACCTTCTTAGCTCAGTCTAGTTTAATAAGTAATAATTGCTGCCTGCTGGCTGATATTGGGAAAATACAAAAGGAAATTATAATCAGAGTGCTCTTGTTTCGTTGCCATAATCTGAGTGTAATTTGTAATTTGAGAGATTACTATATATTTAATCTTGTTCTGTTATTCATTCTCTTTCTGTGATGCTGATATATAATGCTGGACTTTTTCTTCTGAATTTCATCCAGGTGTTTGAATTCCTGAAAGACATATCAACAGGTTTAACTGACTTGGCCATGAAAGAACTTAATATCTTGAAAGATTTGAAGGTTTGCACATTTCTGGTGTATGGTGTTTGCATTAATTTATAATTCCCTCATTACAAGTTTTATTATGACATCAGAAGAAAGAGGAAGGGGATTTTCCATTTGGAATTGTGGACCTACTATATTATGTAAAGCGGATTGAAGAACAGAGCTACGATTTGGACTTTGAAGAGATCAAGCAATACTTTCCAATTAGTGTGGTTCTATCGGGGATCTTCAAAATTGTCCAAGATCTATTTGGTAATTATATATCTTGCATTTTTTTTTTCCTTATGTTTTATTTCCTCAATCATCAGATATTCAGTTAATGTGCAAAGTAACTAGTGGATTTCTTGGTAATACATTCTCAGTTTAGGAATAATGAACCATTCAACTGTTAAATAAAGTTCATAAAGTGTGGTTCACGACCAACCATTTTCTGACTTGATTAGTTGCTCCAGTACTTAACTCTTCTTGGGTTGAAATATTTTATCATTAGTTTTTTATTTTCACTTTTTTATTTCTTTACCATAGAATGTATATTGATACTTATGCTTGTATTTTTCATATAGGCTTAAGGTTTGAGGAAATTTCAGGAGCTGACGTTTGGCATTGTGATGTTCGTGTTTTCTCAGTGCTGGACTTGGGTTCTAGCAAACTCTTAGGTTATTGCTACCTTGATTTGTTCTCCAGGTTGGGGCATTTTAGATATTTGTACTTCATCAATTGTTTGTTGCTAGTGAAAGGTGAAAAAACAGGTTCATGTTGTTTATTATTACAGGGAAGGAAAATATGGCCATACTTGTGTGTTAGCTCTCCAGAACAGTGCATTAACAATCAGTGGGGCACAACAGGTTTATTTTTAGTTAATAATGTCAAAATTTTCAAATATTTTGATTGTAAGCACTATTTCCTATGTAGTTGGGTTGGCTTTCGAAGTTTCTCTATTATGCATGTAAATGACAGTTTTGAACTTTATTCTGGTGCAAGTGTCAGTTCTTATATTCAGTTTAATAGGGCTTTTTATAATGTCCAACCTTCGTACATATCAGACAGAGACCCCTCCTTAAAAATGAAAAGACCATGCCATGAATGCCAAAGAGACTGTAAACACAACCCTATCTCAACATGTTTCGGAGTCTATAAATTTCCTTGAAAATTCATGTTTTCTGTCCAACTACACGTAACATGCCATGTGAACAGCATAAATCACATTGCCGCGCAATTCTCGAGTTTTTCTTTCTTCATTCCAAACCATTGAAGCGTGTCATTGCCATAAGATACTTTACCAAATGGAAGGACACAATCAGGATTCAGTAAGAACTCAAAATATTATTTCACAAGATGCCATGGTAATCAATCCTATAGACAACTGTTGTCAAGAGAAAAGAAAAAGGCCTTGCAGTTCTACTTTTGACCTTATAGGGCATTTCTCTTGTCATAGTTTAAGACCTAAAATTATGAAAGCACATTAGAGTTTAGATATGCAATGTTTGCTTATATCACTAAGAGCTGGCAGACCTTCTATGCTTGGCTGGTCGTGATGTATCTCTTTATTTTTTTATTTTGTTTTAAATCTGTATGGTGACTATGATACCAACTTGATCAGCCTGCATGCTTGTTTATTAATAAATTTTGGATATAGGTAATTGTATGAATAAAAAATCATGGGCTTCTTTCTTTATCTTAATTTTTGTCCCTTTCTTATTTTTATGTAGATACCAGTTGCATTGCTAATATCTCAATGTCAAAAAGAAGCTGATGCTAGTTCTGGATTATTGCGGTTTTCTGAAGTGGTCAGTCTTTTCCATGAGTTTGGCCACGTGGTATGTTTGCTTTTGCTTCCATGAAACATGATTTCCTAATGAGAACTATATTTTTATCTATCATGATCTGCATTTTGCTAGCGTGGGTTTGGGAAAACGTAAATAAAATGAAAGTTATGTATATCAGTATAACTGAGATCCTATTTGTACTATCTTACATTTACTTTTTCTTTTTCTTTGTGATGTTTAAATTTGATACAAGCATTGTTATGAAACACTGAACTAACAGACTAATGAGTTGACAATTCTAGGTAGAGACATTGAGTTAACTCTCTTTCAAATTCATTTATGTATAAAGTTCAGTAGATGTCGTAAAATTTTGCAAATTTGCATGAAATTGCAAGCTAAGAAGTGAGTTTAGTGTAGAATTAGGGTTGAAAGCATGCAATTGAAAATATCAAAGTTGTATTTTTTTTTTTGGTGAGAATTAAGGTAGAATAGAAAATAAGGAATTAAAGATTTGTTAGATCTGTGAGGGAAAGGAGAATGTGCAGGAACTAAAAAAGGGTTTGGGATTCGCTATTAAGGGTGCAGCAAACTTAATGAAACAACGTTCTTGCCTTAAATAGTCTTAACAGTAGGGTTTACATTTGAAAAGATGGCATAAACTAGAAACTAATCCAAACTGGGCCTTATTTTGGTTCTTAGTTTGTATGAATCAACCTGTACCTTTGAGTGAATAGGTTTTGCAGATGTTCCAGTCAGATAAGTTATTCCTGAAGGTTGTCTTCTCTGGGCTGTTATTTCACCAATACACCGAATGGACAAACTACTGCGAAATTGGATTTTTAATCTTTGCATGCGTGCTCTATGCCCTTGATATAGGGAAGTTCGGTGTATTGTTTTTAATGATCAACTTAGATTTATATGATTACTAATTGCTCTACCTAAGTTATTAATAAGATTCATTCTGTAATGGCTTGAATTTGAGTATATATTGAGCAGTATTTTCACGCAGGTGTGGCATATAGTAATAGTTGTTTAAATTTAGTTTTGTTTGCACACGACATATTTACCTTTCACCTTTATTCTGATATTAATTTTAAAACCACTTTTAGGTTCAACAAATTTGCAACCGTGCATCGTTTACCAGAATTTCTGGATTATGTGTTGATCCGGACTTTGTGGAAATACCTTCTCAACTGTTAGAAAACTGGTAACAAATTAATACATATTCCTCCTTATTCTAATTCTAATTTAGGATAAACATTTATCAAAAGATTAATTAAACATAGATTTATACTTCCTACTTGTGGAAATTGTAGGTGTTATGAACGTTATTCTCTCAAGTTGATTTCGGGATTTCATCAGGTGAGTTTCTCTAAATGTTCCCTCCACAATCTTCTGAAACAAGATTTGGTATTCCTTGATATATAGTCATTGTTTTGAGGTAAACTCAATCTGACACGTCTACTTAATGCGTTTTTTAACTATAAATATATTAATTGTCACTTGCAGGATATTACAAAACCGTTGACGGATGACATATGCAAATCAATTAAAAGATGGAGGACTTCGTTTTCTGCACTTAAATTGAAGCAAGATATACTCTGCTGTATGTTTAACATTTTCATTGTTACAGTTTACATTACATTGTTAACAAAGTAGAGAATAATTCTTATTGTCTGGGATTTGATTTAGAGTCTGTTAATTTTGATCAAGAAATTTACTTTTTTGGAGTGAAAAATGATTTTATATTTGGTTTATATTTTGGATTTTCAACATGAATTATTCCGAAAGTGAAGTTGATCTTTAGAGGATTGACAATTTGTAACTTTCTAATATATGGAATTGTTTCTGGTTGTGACAAATAATTTCATGTTTGGTTAATATTCTTAGAAACATCTATCCTTCGATAGTAACTAAAATATCATTCCTGAACATAAATTGATTTTTGAAGCATAGTTTCTTTCAAAATCAATTCTACTAACATCTAAATCAAATAGACCTCAGTCAATAGCTGTGTAATGTATGTATATATGGACATATGAATGTATGCGTAATGTGCTTGTGTTTGTGTAAAAGTGAAAGGGAAAAGATTTTTTGACACCCAATTTTTCTAAATATCCCATAGACAACCTTAAAATATTCTTTTTTTGGTTGATTTATTGAGAGAGAATGAAGTAAGATAGATAAATAATAATATACAAATCTAAATATGAGTTGTTGGATGGATGTTTGGAAAAAGTGGGTTGTGAATATATCATAACCCAAAGTGAAATTAGATGAGTAACTAAAATGGTTATTTTCAATTTAAAGAAAGGTGAAACGATCATAAGCACTACTTTCTATTAGTGCGTGGACTGTCTAGTTACTTTTGACTACTTTTTTAGTTGCTATTTAAGATTGGGTGGCTAATATTTCTTGAGTGGGGTACTGGACACGATGTTGACAATGATTGAACATTCTAATAACTTCTCATCATTTAACTTAAGATCTGCTTGTTATCAGGTCTTTTTGACCAAATCATACATTCTGCGGATAACATAGACATTCAGGAATTATTCAAGCATCTTCATCCCATGGTAAATGATTTAACATCACTTCTAATTTTAAGTTCAATGCTTGTATTGAAAGTGTGAATGGAAATTCTATGTAAATTTAATTTCCCAGGAGTTGTTAGGCTTGCCAATTTTAGAAGGAACCAATCCAGCATCATATTTTCCTTCTTCTGTCATTGGTTATGAGGCAGCGTGCTATAGTCGAATATGGAGCGAGGTTAGAATAACTCGCTACTTCTTTATGTGATGTGATCCCCTTGTAAGAATTAATAATCAGTTTTCATTGCAAGCATCTTTTAATTTTCAATCATCCATGTATAGTTTTTCTCACTTTCCTGATGATATTTCTGAAAAAAGTCTTCCCCGATCATCCATGTATGTTTCAGGTTTTTGCTGCTGATATATTCACCTCAAAGTTCTGCAACGATGTTTCAAACCAGCATGCCGGCCTGCAATTCAGGAACAAGGTAAGTGATGGCAATGACGGAAATTTCAGCATTGTATTTACGTGAAAATTGTAAAAAATTTCTCATTTCATTTCCAATATGATGGTGTTCTAATTGTTTGTTCTTGGGATAACAATAACATGCAGCAATTTATTGGTTTCTTAAAGCAATTCGAGAGATTGCAATTGTAAATTTAGTAGTATTTATTGGCATATTGATTTAAACATTTGCAGGTTTTGGCGATGGCCGGAGTGAAAGATCCTATCGATGTGTTATCAGACTTTCTAGGAAGAGAACCATCAATCCAAGCTTACATTGATAACAAAGTCAAGTACGTTTTGTAAGGATTTTTGGCTGAGCATGTACATTGACAGTCTTTTTGGAGCATCGCTTTTCATTGATAATAATCAATAGGTTAGTGTAAAAATAAGTACATTTTATTTATTATATATAAATTAATTTTAGTTTACGAAATTTATTTATTTTTTAAACTAATTGATGAAAGAAACATATTTACAATGGATATATATTTCGTGTATATGCATATACTAAAATCACTCATGGAAAGAATTTAAGCATGTCCCAAGAAACGAGAATAACAACCTATACTATTGAGGGAAAAAAAGAACCTGGAATATTGGATTTTTTTTTTCAGTGGATAACTAAAGGCTAAAAAGCCAGAGTGATTTCTGAACATGTTAAGTATGGTTGAAATTTTTACAAGAAATTGCAACTGAAAGTAACACAACAGTAACTATTGTACTTAACAAGGCAATATAAGACCCTTTCCTACCATCTTCTCTCGGTAGGGAAAGTAGTATATATTGTATGAATAGCCGAGTTAATTGCCCATTATCCTTAATAAAATGGCCCAATTTGATCGTGTTAACAATCAGTGTCAACTTTATTGACTTGTGAGATTTGTCAAATCAAAACTTCCATTAGCAAAATAACCAAACCAATGTGTAAACTCTCCAATCGCCAGGTCAATCGGAGGCGCCCGTTATCCCATCCGGCAGCCACTGTAAGCCGGATCGTCTTAGTGAGGGTTTGATTTGAATATGAGTAGTGAGGGTTCAAGGTTCATCATATGGGCCGGGTCCAGAAAGAGAAGGTGCTACTTTTGTATGGGTACGGACGGAGGGAAAAGTGACAACAAAAACTAGGGGTTATTGGGGTTGTTCAATTAATATTAAAAAAGAGTGTTAACAAAAAAAAAAAAAACTATGGGTGTTAAAAAATAATGATTATGAGACATTCATTCATATTTAATCATCAGTACTAACAAGTTCGTTTACATGAAAATAGATTCAATTAATGGTGCAGGCGTTGATGGTATAGTTTTCAAATTAAGAAGAAACAATATTTTGCAATAATTATTATTTTTAATTATGAATAGTTTTTTTTAAAGAGAATAACTTACATTTTATGTAATTAATTTTCTAGAATGTAACCATCTATTTTTTATCATAGAGTATATGTTTTCGCATTTTCAAATTCTTATAATACTGACGAGTTTAGTAATAAATTCATCAATAAAAAAATGTATATTTTAATAATCAGTTTATTTAAATGTAATAATTTAATATATAGTTGAACTTTCAGTTCTCAAACCATGATTTTGTCGAAACATTATTGAAACTCATTTACATTAAAAATTGATAAGAGCAACATTTGTCTTTCAATTTCGATATATATATATATATATATATATATATATATATATATATATATATATTCAAAATGTAATTGGGTAATTTATTATATTCTTATTTTATTATTTTCTTAATAATTTGATCGTTCGTGGATTGTAGTTTTTTTTTTTTATAAAATAAATATATTTTATTATTATTATTATTTTGTAAAATTAATAATATTTTCAAATTTACTATTTATATTTATTTAATATATAGATTAATAAAACCATGTCATGAATAACTTCTTAAATAATTATGATAAAAGGTAATAAAATTATCGAACATAATACTATATAATTTGATGATAGTGTACAGGATTTACATTGTCAGTAAATTTAAGTCAAATTAAAAAACTATATTAATTATATACAATAATATGAAAGATTAATTTATAAAATTATCACATAGAGTTATTATTTGAATTCTAAGAAACTAAATGAAATTTTGAATCGATTTTTTAAAATTAGAAAGTTTTTATTGGTTATTCAGGAACGCACACTTAAACCTAACTCTGGTGTCGTGTTTGAACGCGTTTTTGGTTGGTAAGAGTATATTTTTTAACGAGTAGTTGATCGTTTTCTAGTAATGTACTGTGAACTCCTCAATATTCTCCCCATTTTATATTCAAATTTCTAAGAAAAGAAACAAGCAATAACATCTCTCTTTTTCTTTAAGCTGAGTAATTTTATATGTTTATAAATATTGTTGGAGGCAAATATGCTGATTGTGTACATTTGAAGTCTGTCAATTAGTGTTTTGGAAATTTGAATGAGAGAGAGAGAGATAGGTTATGGATTTTATTTATTTTTTAAATAATAATAATATTTTATTTGTTATATATATTAAAATTGAATATTAAAAAAATTTTGTAATTATCGATGATATTAAATGAAATGAGGATATTAAATAATTTTTAAGTCTTCATTTTTTTTTTAAATATAACACAATATTAATTCGTTTTTATATTTTGTTGATCGCATTTTCAGTTTTCTTGGTAAGTATATAATTAATAATAATGTAAAAATTACATAAATAATTTATATTGTTTTATATTTAAGTGTGATCTTAATATAATAATAAATATGTCTTAAAAATAAAAAATAAGAAAACGAGTATTACAATTATAAAAAAATATAAATTTTATTCAAACAAATTACAGATGGATGCAACTTTCTAATAATACAATTATTCAAAATTATTAAAAGTACTTTAAATTTAACATTTTACAATTGTATTATTTAATTTCCGTAATTTTTAATTAAATTTAGTTATTATATTATTTTAGAAGAAATAAGAGGTGAATGTGATTTTATTAAAAAAAAAAGTAAAAAGATAATTATTTATTTTTAAATTAAAAATATGAGTGTTATTTAACATAATAAAAGAGAAAATAAGTATAACGATATCCCTTATTTATTAAATAAAATAATAAAATATAACAGGTTAAACGTATGAGCAGATGAACAATATTTTTGTCGATTTTCTAAATTTACAAACAACATAAAATCTTGCTAAAAAGTAACCTGAGATGAATTTTGGTGTTTAAATTTGGTGATGAAATAAAATTCTATAATAATAGTAAATATAATGATTAGGATAATTTATGAAGAAGAATCGAAACTAAGAGTGGATTTATTCGAGAGGGGACAAAAGCGAAGAAATAAAAAGTGTGTAAAAAGTCTATCTATCATCAAATTTAAACCCAAAAGTGGAAATACTGAAAAGACAAGTGGATTTTCCCGTCAAATAATGATACGTGTTTGAATTTATTAGAAACACGATACACACATAAGAAATATTTGAATATCTTTCTTCCCAAAAAAACTTTTTAAGATAAACAAAATAAATTAATATTCTTCTTAAATTAAAATTATCGTATAGAAAACTAATTTCTATTTTTTTTCATTTGCGAGTAAAAAAATTAAGGTAAAAATACTTATTATATTATTTTTTTCTGAAATTTTTCTCCAAAAGTTTCTATAGAATCAATTATCATTTATATTTTATTTGAGTTTTTATTTAATTTTAAATTTATTAATCTTTATATATTGAATAATTAAAATTTTTAATTTTTTCTTTAATTTTATACATATTTTAGCTTCATTTGTATAACATTATGTCTATTTTTGTTATTATATGATGCGTTAGGATAATTTGTTGTTTTAAATTTCTTTTAAGTATTGATAAGTGGTTGTAGTCAACTTATTTATTTATTTATTTTTACCATTTTAGTTTAATGTTTAAGAAAAAAAACTTTTGATTAAATCTTCAAATTTGTATACATTCTTATTTCTACGTTTTAATTTACAAAACTTTTTTACGATAATTTGTAAAATTAAATACTAAATTAAAATTATAACATTTTTTTAAATATAATTACTAAGTGTAAAAATGAAAAAAAAAACTAAATTTACATTGTACAAATAAAATAAATTTTACGTTATAATTAAATTATATATAATATTTAATTTTGTTAGAGAATGTTGTGTAATGTTAACGTAATAAAGTCAAATATGTATTGTTAAATTAGTTATTTTATATACATATTCATTTTTTAAAAATAAAATAGATTATAATTACGATATGAATAATATATAATATGTGATAATGAATTAAAGTAAATATGAAATTAAAACATTTTTTTTAGATATAATATTGACTATTACCGTAAAATTAAAATTTTTTTAGAAACAAAATTCATAAAAAAATATGTTGAATAGGATAATAGATTTTAAGTATCAAGGTTAAAACTAATTTTTAAATTAAATATTTATTATTTCTGTTTAAGATATTATTTATTTTAAATTTAATTTATATTTTATTTTTAAAAAATAAATTAAAAGAAAAAAATATAAATATTAACTTGCAGTCAAATTCTGAGTTACATGAAATTATAGGAAAAGTTTAGAAAGTGTGGCGTATGGTTAGGGTTTAGCAGAGTTTAAATGAAATTGGTCCAAAATCACAAAGACACACATTCATCATTCTTTGTACATAATTGACTTTTTCAGTTCTCAACTTATTTTGAATATCAAAATTTATGATTATCATAATTAAATTAAAAAACAAAGATTCCCAGGTCAACAAACAACCACCACCACCAAGACACCAAAACCGTGTTTGCTTCGTGTAATGTCTTTTCACAACATTTCATATTATAATATTTTATAATTTATAACCATTCAATTCAATACAATAATTACTATAATTTTTTAAATATTCCATAATCTTATTATTAGAATGTAATATAATAAATCTTTACATCATCAATTTATTCTATTATATTTTGACTTAATTTTGACATTTCCCCCTCGAAATTTCACACTTTCATCAATTTTGTCCTCTGAAATTTCTTTTTTAATTTTCTCTCAAATTTGATAGGATAACATCATCACTAAATTGTCTTTGATGTTTTGTTTTTATTTTTTTTATTTTTTTCACAATATGGACCAAATTCATAACATATTGTAAATTGAAAGTTGAAGTGTATTTGTTGTAAATGCAAACATCTTTACATTTAAGTACAATAGAATCATTACAAATAATATTTCTAGCATTTAATGCAATTGCATTAAAAAAAATTAAATTTAAAACTTAAAGTCAACAATTAAATCACCACAAAATCACCTTCGGTTCTAGGAATTAAAATATTTTTAAACCCATTACTATAAAATCATCAAAATTTAAATATGACATTTGACCATGTTAATGTTATAAATGTAATAGTATTTCGCATTAAGAATTTAATTTGTATTATTCGTAGATAATTCGTATTTTATGAATTATTTTTTACCAAAATCGAGATTATTTATTTATTTCTCTCGAATAATAAATAAAACTCAATTCGAGAGTATTTAATTTCTATTCTTAACCATCACCATGAGTATACTATTATTATTGTGTTATTGATATCATTATTATTATCTTTAATTTTTTTATCGTTACAATTAAATTACAATTTAACGGTTATATTTTTTTAATTAATTTTATTTATTTTTTACTCGCTTAAAAATCAGTATTTAAATGATGAAACAACATTGGGTTCGATTGCTTATAGATAAAAAAAAAAAGATTATAAGAACTTTAATTTATAGGAACAAATAAAACCTATTTACTTCCAATAATCTTATTTAATTTTTAGAACTAACAGAAATAATTTCATTGAAGTTGCTCCAAATAAATTCTATAATTATTGTTTTTTTTTTATCGTGATTATCAATTAATTCACAGTAGGTATATGCTTGCTCGCATGTGCTTCATTCGACTTTTTCTTTATTTGCGAATTATTTTTATTATTTTAATTTTATATTATCTACAGAGCACAAATGGTCAGAAGTTGAAATTATCGTTTATTTATTTTTTAACTGAAGCGAATAAATATATAAATTCGCTAAAAAATCATGAAAAATAAACGAAAAAGGGAAATCTGCAGAACATTCTTCCTCTCGCTCTCGCTTTTCAAGCCCAACAACGCCTAAGATTGTGTCTCCGATATTTGAATTCTGAAGAATTCTCAAACACTCTGTTTCTGATCATCGACGCTGATCCCTGTTTCCTCTCACCACTGTTTCTGATCTTAAAGGTCGAAGGTTTACCGCATCAAAATCCGATTTTCTCCGCTCCATCATCACCATGGGTCGAATCACGAAACTGGGTTTTCTTCTGTTACCCAGATAAGTAAAAGGGTTTCTTCTTTCTCTTATCTTTGGCTGCTATCACCAACCTACCATCGTATCAATTTTCGGACAAGTGCACAAACAACAACAACAACAACAACGACATTTGTGTCCGGTCGGTTCCTGTTTCAATTGCGTGATTCTTGTTCAGATTGTGAAGTTGACAAAGTTTAGGGATCTCTTTGTTTGTTTTTTTATTTTTTAATTTTTTTTTTCAGGTTAGAAGAAAAAGAGTAAGGGTTGTTCCGTGTTTGTTTGATGAATTATGTTCAATAAGATATTCAGTAAACTCCCTCGAAAGTCATCGAAAGGTTCCGAACACGGTGGAAGTGGAAAAAGCCATCATGGGGTTACCAGTTCTTCGAAGAACAGTGATTCTGTTAGTGTTACTCCAGTTGGCACCAGACCCGGGAATTCTTCCTCTGCAGGACAGAATCATGGTAACAGAGTTCCATTACCGAAGGTTGTGAATGAGAACAATATTCACAACAACCCCAGTAACGGGAATTTTGGTTCCTATGAGGCATTGCCTACATTCAGAGATGTTCCCTCTTCTGAGAAGCCTACTTTGTTTGTCAAGAAGCTTAGAATGTGTTGTGTGGTGTTTGACTTCACAGACCCTACCAAACACCTCAAGGAGAAGGAGATTAAGAGACAGTCCTTGGTGGAACTCTTGGATTATGTGACTTCTGCTAATGCTAAGTTCGCCGAGAATGTGATGCAGGAGGTTGTGAAAATGGTGTCTACAAACATATTCAGGACACTCAGTCCTCAGCCACGCGAGAATAAGATTGTTGATGGTGTTGATGTGGAGGAGGAGGAGCCTTCAATGGATCCTGCTTGGCCTCATTTGCAGATTGTCTATGAGCTTTTTCTGCGGTTTGTGGCATCACCTGAACTGGATGCGAAGTTGGCGAAGAGATACATTGATCAGTCCTTCATTTTGAAGCTGCTGGATTTGTTTGACTCTGAGGATCCGAGGGAGCGCGAGTATTTGAAGATGACTCTGCACCGTATCTATGGCAAATTCATGGCACATCGCCCTTTCATCCGGAAGGCCATCAACAATGTGTTCTTTAATTTTATTTTTGAGACTGAGAAGCATAATGGGATTGCTGAGTTCTTGGAAATTCTTGGGAGCATCATCAATGGTTTTGCACTGCCATTGAAGGAAGAGCATAAACTGTTTCTTGTTCGCATACTGATTCCTCTGCACAAGCCAAAGTGCTTGGCAATGTATCATCAACAATTGTCTTATTGCATTACTCAATTTGTGGAGAAAGACTGCAAACTTGCTGATACAATTATCAGGGGGCTATTGAAGTACTGGCCCATAACAAATAGTTCAAAGGAAGTTATGTTCCTGGGTGAGTTAGAAGAAGTCTTGGAAGCAACTCAACCCCCAGAATTCCAGCGTTGTATGGTGCCATTATTTCGTCGTATTGCCCGCTGTTTGAATAGCCCTCATTTTCAGGTATAAATTTTCCAATGATTTCCTCTAGCTCCTTTTCTGTTCCCCCTCGTTCTTAGTTTCATTAGGAAATTGCACCTTAATTTCAAATTAATCCTTGTGGCAACTTCCTTCGTAGCTGTTTTAACTGGCAAGAAAAGGAGAAACCTTAGTTTCATCATCCCATTGCTAAATGCATATTTTGTTTTATAGTTTTGAAGTTGAAACAATACAATTATCAAAACAAGAAACTTGAATCTGTTTGTTTCCGTATCCTGAAACACGGAATCAAAATTTCAAATTGCAATTGTTGTCACAGGTTTGTCCCATTTCTTGATATTGTGTGGAAATTGCAGCCAATATATGGCCATGATTGGGGTTATGGACACTTAGAAAACCTTGATGTTGCAGCTAAAACCACAGTCATGGACCATTTTCTTAAACGTTGCTTGGAGTGATAGAAATCATTCATATCTATGCCCTCTAATGACTTGGGCTTTAGAAGTAAATAATCATAGTATCAAGAGAGAGATTTTGTGGTTAGCTTATGTTATGATGGTTAAGTGCCTCATTGCAAGTATGGGATTCCAGTGTGGGGATTATCAGGCCTTGGGTTCTCCGACTATAATGTCTAGATTTTATGGTTCAGCTCTCCTAAGGTTCTTATCAATTGGGTTAGCGATTTCTACCATGTCTATTAGCACAAAATGTGGAACACATGTGGTGACATTACCATCGTAGTATTTTGAATTTCCAGCTTGTGTGGGTGCTGAGATTTTAGGACACAGGATCCAACTGCAAGGTGCGAGACTTATGATGTGTGTGTTTTCCCAAGGTTCTGATCAATTTACTTGTGTAGAAAACCATTCCAATGTGTAAAAATATAATCCAGATGTTGTTACATGATGCATTATCACATATACATAAATGATATAGAAGCATAGTCAGCTTTCAGTTAATCATTGTTTTGTGTCAATTGCCACTTCTCTGTCAAACAGAGCATACTATCATGTCCTACTCTGATGAATCCTGCCTGAAAAGGTTTTCATCTTGCCTGCAAGTTTATATATTTATATTGTACATTCCATGTTCTTATCCAGAAAGAGATATCCTTCCATTTCCTTTCCTCTTTCTCTGTGTTGGGAGAAGGCCTAAGAATAGCTTTGAAATTTATCATATTCCCTCTCAAGTTAAATCTAAGCATGGAAGAGGCGTATGTAAAGCCTTGTGTTGAAAATAACTTTAACTAGTTGGTTGAACAAAATGTTGAGTAGTAAAGTATATTGAAAGGACGAACGGTTGAATGTAAGATCAAGAGTTGGTTTTTATATTTTTTTGAATAACTGGTTCAGTATCACCTCTACCAAGTCACTTGCTGTTAGATTACATCCTTTAATAATTCATGAAGGTTTCTACTGGTGTCTTAAGATGTAAGCCTCTGTCTTAAAGGTAATTTCTGTTAGTTCTATATTCTGTGGTAAATACAAGATTGTCCTTTCCCTTTGAAGAAAAGATTGATTATATTATTTGTGTGATGTGACAACCTCTTTCTTTTTCATCCTTTTAAACCTTATCTGGCTGGTCATAATTATGGGCATATGCCTACATGACTCGAATGAGGATAGATGTTTTTCTTATAATTTCCCACTTAGAAAATCTATTTGTCACTATATATAATTTGGGAAACTACATTTTGTACATGCAGATTATCTACCATTTACTTTATAGATTAATTTTGAACGTTGATGATTTTATGTGAAGAGGTGAAAGAGACCATAATCTTCATCAAGCAATTTACCATATCATATGATAGATGCAATAATGTCCATGATTATAAGACGGTGCTTGTAAACTGTCATTAATTCTCTACAGTAGTCAACTTTTGAAAATTTATGTTTTTTCTATCCATTTTGACTTTCTTTTATCAAATTTTGACTCTTATAATTTTGCAATGATTATTACTCAGTGGGCCGTCAGTAAGATGAAATAATTATTGTTACATGAGCGTTATTGCATGATTGTTGTATAGAGAACTGTCCTTAGCAGTCTCTCTTAGATCATTTTAAGTGGTTTCAAAGTTACATAAAGATCTCATTCTGCTTAACACACTGATAATAACAGCTGTCATCCAGTAAGTTGACTTTTTGGATCTTCTATTTTTCATTCTTTGACTGGATTAACCAAGTCTTCAGGCATTTTCACAGATAACTAATATACAATTTGACTTCCATTATGTTAAAGGGAAAGGGCATCCAAGGCCCTTTCTGTAGTCCAAAAGCTCCACATAATATGGATCTATCCTTCCTTGCACCCCTATCCCGCCCCTAAATCTCACAAATGATAAAACAGCGTCTTTAAAATATTTAGATGATGCTCATTTCATTATATTAGAGTCTGCATGAATAGGAAAATGCTCCTTAGATTTCTCACAATATTTTTATTTGACTGGATTTTTTTTTTATGAATTTTTGTTACACTAACCCAGCCATGAACTGACCTAACCTAGAGAAATGAGGCTGTTGTTGAGTGTACTTTTGAACTGCTGTTACATTCTCTACTGCAATTTGCAAGAGTTAGTCGACACAGGAAATTGCACTGCATGATGTTTCAGTTTCTCATGTGATGTTTATTAATGATTATTCTACATGCATTGAATGATATAGGGTCATCTGAAAGTACCAAAATGGAGTCTACAAAACTGAACAATGATCTGTTTAGTTTTACTTGTCATGTTGTCTTAGTCAAAACTAGGATGTTGTTAGTTAAGGTGAAAATTAGAGTTTGACCTTGTTAACTCGCCGATTTTTAACATTGACCTTTAATATGCATGTGAAACTCTAATTTTAATAGAAGAAAACAAAATACCACAAATGCATAAATCACTGATCCCAAGTCTTGCCGTGAATTAATAGGGTTGCAGTTACAATAGTTTATTTTCCCTTGAAAGTCCACAAACATGTATCTTCTCTCGTTTCCTCAGGTGGCAGAAAGAGCTTTGTTCTTGTGGAACAACGATCACATCATGAACTTGATCAAGCAAAACAGAAAAGTGATACTGCCCATCATCTTCCCTGCATTGGAAAGAAATGCTAGAAGTCATTGGAACCAAGCTGTTCATAGTTTGACCTTAAATGTGCGGAAGATTTTTAATGATGTCGATGCTGATCTATCCAAAGAATGTTTACAAAAGTTTGAGGAAGATGAGTCAAAGGAAAATGAAGTCAAAGCAGGGCGTGAAGCCATGTGGAAACGTTTAGAGGAGCTTGCCGCGAAGAAAGCTGCAAGTGGAGAAGCAGTGCTTATTGGTAAAGCACCAACTCGCACCCCTGCAGGTTAGATAGAACTGGAATGTGTATTCTGCTCCAATAGCTTCATTTTTTCAAAAAAAGAAAAACATTTTTATAGTATTTTTTTGCATGTGATGATGGGTTGGCCACCAATTTCTTGAATACTTTCTTATTCACTTCTTATATAGAAGGCTATGATTAGTAGCAAATTATCTCATGCAAGGCAACATCCACAGCTTAATGAGTACATAGCTTATACTTTTGTTCCCAATGTTGCCACAAAGCACATTTGGGCACTTCCCTTTTTAACTATTTTCTAATCAAATACGTTTCGTTTCAAGACTCTCTGGGATTTCAAACTTAGAATCAAGAAAGAGACAATGCTATTCTGATGTAGACTTTGTCTCCATTTGACCTGTTTTGGTCCACGATCCAATGTACTGTGGTTCTGTGCCGTTCCCACGTCTTGAATAACATATCCAAGGGACAATTCCTTCAAGTTATATTTTTTTTATTCAAATGTTACGAGGAATGAATCATGTGCTAACTACCAATCCAAGACGTGAAAAGTCTTCAACCTCAAACAAGAAGACGAAGGAGAGGTTTAACCTCAAACATTTTAGATACATACTTTATCTGATGTTCCACGCCATTTCTGTGCTTCCTGAGGCTAAATTGGTATTAAATGGGAATATTGGATTAAATTGGTTTTAAGAAAAAACAATCAATATAATTTAATCAATTTTCTTACGGTATCATTTAAATTGATTCGAAAAAAGACGGAATTGAGTCAATTTAAATTGGAGTGTTTTTTTTTTAATTGTATATATGTATATATATTTAAATTCATCAAATATATTAAATACAATTTTAGTCAAAATCATCAAAATACATTAATACACATGTCTGTATGGTTATAATTAATTAGCAATCTATCTTAAATTATGTAATGTTTTTCAAAAATTAAGACAGGTCAATTTAATGTGTAAAGGATATCAATGTAATGTTTTTCAAAATAAAGAATCAATGCAGAACTTCAAAAAAAAAAAAAAAAGTTAACTTTTCCCAGTAAAAAATAAAAGATAAAATAATGGAGGAGAATTTCATTAATAGAGGAATTACCCCTGACATGCTCTTGCCATCTTAGACTTATTATATGCATCATAACTGTTTAAAATAGAGAAGGGAGAAATGCAATTTATCTCTACTAAGGGATAAGAATAATTTACTCAAATTAAAAAAATAAATAAATTAGAATATATATTCAAATTTAAATAAAAGAAAAACTCAATTTTTTCGGACCTAAATAAATTAAATAAAATCCAACTATAATGATATTTATGTCAGTCCCTTCTTTTCTCTTTCCATTTTTTTTAATCTAATTCCATATTTATTAATGTTAGATGACGAGATAAAAAATATTTAAATTATTCAAAATCTCCTCAGGGTTCCATTATTTATGTAAAATATGTGTATTTTATTTTTCTATCATAGTAGAAAAAAATATTTTATAAAAATATTTTCTTTCTTAATTAATTTTTTTTATTTTTATAATATATACTTTTAATTATTGTTTTAATAAAATATCATAAAAATAAAAATAATTATAAAAATTAAATAAATAATTTAATATATTTTTAATATAATATTATTTTATTCATTTAAATTTAAATAGTTTTAATAAAAATACAATTTTATAACAAACATATTTATAATTATACATTAAAGTATATTATTATTAAATAAATAGATATTAATTTTAAAATATTAATTTAAAAAAAATTATTTAAAAATTAATAATTATATAAATAATTTTGTATAAGGAATAAGAAATTATATATGAAAAAAATATAAAATTAAAATACTATTTGATAAAACTATCCTCATTTAAATAAGTTGTTGTTATTTTTATTTATATATATATATATATATATATATATATATATATAATTTTAATAAAATATCATAAATAATTATAAAAATTAAATTAAAAATTTAATATTATTTTAATATGATAATATTTTATGAATTTAAACTCAACTAATTTAAAAAATATAATTTTATAATAAAAATATTTTATAATTATATATTAAAATATTATCTAATAAATAGATATTAATTTAAAAATTATTTTATTAAAAAATGATTAATAATTATATGAATAATTTTATAATTAAATAAATATTAAATTTTAATTTAATTATTTATTACTTTTAAAATAATATTTTTTTTATTTTTATGCTATTTTTCTCTCCAATAGATAAGAATATTTGATTATATATATATATATATATATATATATATATATATATATTATTTTTTCTTACTAAACACCTTACATGTTTATAAGAGAAAAAAATACAAATCTATTAAATTTTTTCAAAATAAAATTCATCATCACACAATGATATTAAATTTCTTCAAAATTTGATTAGCACTTGTGGTGCTTAGATATATATTAAATTTTTATCCAATAGTAATTATTATTGTTTTAAAAATTAAAATTAATAAAAAGTTTAAACAATCAAAATTAAATAAAACCATATTTATAAAATTAAAAACAATTTTTAGATTCAATCATCAATACATTTATTTTTTAAGATACTAATAAAAGATAGGATAGGGTGAGATAAATGTTTGAAAAGTATTTATAAATAAAAAAGTAAAAAAAAGGAATATTATTTATTATAGATTAAAATGAGATGATATATATATTATTTTGTAAAAATTATTTTAAATTAATTTTTAATTTATAAATAAAGTATTTTTTACATACAATAATATTTATTTAACTTTTATTTTTCATTTTTTTATAATATTTTTGAAGAATTTGATCTTAAGTCCATAATAACATCACACTGCTTCACAATAATTAAAAAACTAAAATCACATTATGATGCCTTTATATGAGTTTTTTTTTGTAATATATTGAGATTAAATTGTTTTGAATATTGAGGATAAATGTTAGAAAAAAAGATAATGTGGTACTTGTTAAATTAAGTTGAATTGCTCCTCAAAAATTATTTATAATCGAAAAAAAAAATTTTAAGGAGAAAAGTTTTTACATTTTTGTTATACATATGGTGTGTGCCTCTTCATCCGCCACGTGTATGGCCTATTTTTCTCGCAATTATTATTTCAATTCAAAAATATAATAAAGAATGAAAAAGAAAAATAGGATAAGAAAAACTCACTCGCTCGTTCACTTTAATTGTATCAATGGAAGTAGGAATGTCTCTGAACGCGCTCCTTCGTCTTCCTCCGACGAATTCACGCTTCCTCCACAACGACAACGTTCCTGTGAGGCACTCTCTGGTTTCGAACCGGAGGCAGCACCGGAGTTTGAAGGCTCCTCAGCGTCACGTGTTTGTGGTTGAAGCCAAGGGCAAAAAGGGAATGATGGCTCGTCAGTTCCAGCGTTCTGCTCCTCCTCCTTTGCCGAAACTCGAAGATGATGGCAATCCCAAATTCGTCATCTTCATTCGCATGGCCAATGTGATCATTCCTTAATTACCCTTTATTGATTAATTATTAGTGTTGATTAAATTGCATGTTAAGTTTCTTATTCCATTCTTACCCTTCATTGCATTGCAGGTCTACCTTTGGTATCCTCTTAGCATTGTATCAGGTGGCACCACTGCGAAAATCATGGTTGCAGCTAAAGATAATTTTCTTGGCAAGTATATCTACAAAGACACCCTTGATAGAAATCTGGCCGCTGTTATCTACCGAGTAAGTTTTTTTTTTTTCACATTTTTTAGGAAGTATCGATTCATTTTTATGGGATTGAAAAAAAAAGGAAAGAAATAAAAATGGGGCATTCCGAGAATTGAACTCGGGACCTCTCGCACCCTAAGCGAGAATCATGCCACTAGACCAAATGCCCACCTTGTACTAAATGAATTAGTGTAACTATCTGAATGATTTTGTATTGGGTTGTCATTTTAAAAATGAATAATGCTTGGGTTGTCTTAGTATGGAGCACATGTTTATCTGTATGAGATGGAAATATTAGAGTCTTGGTTGGGTGTGTAGGAAAAAGGGGAGACCAACTATATAGATGAGTTGATGTGTTCCTTAAAATTTGATGTTTGCTGAGTCCTTTATTGCTACGTTTTGGTATTTATAAGCTTATTCATAAGCTGATAAGCATGATCCTGAAGCTTACTAAAATTAGCTAAAAAAGTTTATATTATTAATTTCACTGTAAACTCGTTGAAGTAAATTAAAAAGTGCCCCATAGTAAGGTCATAAGCTACTTTAATATGTGCAAATATGCACTTTGTAAGTTCCCCCGAACACACTAGAGATCTTGTATAATTGCTAATTACTATACTGGACTGTGCTTTCTTAATTTCTCGTTATCATGTTTTTGTTGCTGAATGCTTTTCTTCAATTCAAAGGATGAGAAGGAAGTACAGAAATCTGCTTTCAAACAACACCGTGTGTTGCGTGCAGCTACTGATTTCAGATACGGCTACAAACTTGTTGTAATGCTCTTATACTTTCTTCGATGCTATAAATGTTTTAACTCCAATTTCACTTTTTCCAACATTGAAAAATTTAATACATTACGGAAGTTAGAAGACCATACCTACATTTTTTAAAAAGCTTTTCGAATGATGAATTTGCAGGAGAATAACAATATAAGATCTGCACTATCTACTACCGATGTTATTGAGGTAACATTCTTGACATGTTCTCTGTTGTTATCACCATAATGTTTTTTTAAGTTTCGTACAAAATTTTAAACCTCACGGATTACAGATGTGTATTTTGCAAATACAACAAGAAATTCTGATTGTTTGTAAAAAAATTATTTTGATAAATTTGCACGACAATAGCAACTTTCTTAGTCATTGAACTTGCAAAAGTTTTTTAAGCTTGAGAATATTCCATATCGAAAAATGTATACTTTCTATCCAAGTATTAAAAAAGAATATTTGTGATATTTTTCCACTAATAAATTATGTTTGCATATCCGAATTGTAGCTCCCAACAAAAGATAAACTAAAAACGGTGCTCGATAAAGTGAAAGACTTTTTTGGAGACGCAAAGGAATCTTTTGGAAAGATAACATCATTGGGCACTACTGAAACGGAGGAGTCAGAGGAAGACACAAGAGATAAAACCAAGTGAGTTTTATTGCCGGAAGAAAAACTCTCAATTTTGATTATTAGGGAACTTCATCCTTTTTCCTATTTTCTTCTACATCTACCTCCACTTCATGTTAGCATGCGATATTTAATGGAGTTTATATGATCCTATGCACTTCTAAGAATATTATTCAATTAACATGGACATGGTAGTTTTTTTTTGCAAAGATCTGATGGTTTAAATTATTTTTGTGTCAATGCCAGGGTTAAAGGATGAAACTATAGCTGGAAATGATTTGCTTGCTTTAATTGTTATGAGTAGCCCGTGATCATTTGACCTCAAATGCTATATTCTGTTTATGGATTAGTTGACGAGGAAACTTCTGTGCACAACATTGCTACTCCAGGTTTTGTTCTTAGATCCGAAACCATCAAAATTATTTTATGTTCTGCAGAGTGAACGCAAGCTTTACGATACTGATCACTCGTGTATTTTATAATCCATGATGCTTTGGAATAGATAGCACGTAGGATGAGCATGTAATGGCACCGTTATCAGTTTAAGATTCCTGGAACTGTTGTACAAATTACTGGTTGTAATATCTATGCATTTTATTTGACAAAAATTCTTTAAATTACTTAGATTGCATTATCAACTTCTGATAAAAAAAAAGATTGCGTTATCAACTAGACCAATGAACACTGGAATTGTGATCCTGGGAAGTCAATGCAAATTGGAATATTATATAATTCACAATATAGTGTATGTGCCAATTTGTTTATGGCTATAGTTTAAGCCACCTGTTTATGCAAATTATAATTGCACGTGAAAAAAGTTCAGATGAAATTTAACCCTTGGATTTTATAAACGAGTAATTTACATAAGCTGATTGATATACCTTCTTATTTGCTTAAAATACGGTGCAATAACGTATTTCACGTTGCTGCTTCTTTTTTCGTTACTAAATAATGGTGTAATAACGTATTTTAGGAAATATTTTTGAAGTAACTAAAATTATATTTTATTTAAGATATAATTAAGTTTTAAGAGGTCATATTTTAAATTAAGGAAAATATGTGAAAATAAATTATAAACTATTTAAATCAAAACACACACATCCATACGTCTATCAATTTAAAATGGTATATTAATATTACACTTTTAGAGTATAATTCAGATTTAAATTAGTATGAACTAATAGGTATAAAAAATAATAAATAAAAGGATACCTAAATTAATGAAAAATAATTTCTAAATGCATTTCATGTAAAAATGATTACTGAGATATACTTATAATATGGAAATGGATTGATTCACTGTGAAATAAACCTTTTGAATCTTGAAAAGGAACGTGCTAGAGAATAAATCCTGTCACAACCGATTCGGATAGGTAGATGAAAATTTTTAGCAGAAACAAGAGGGAACTTTTATTCAGTCCACCGTTTATGATCTCGGACGTATCTGTTTTGTCAGTCTGTGTCCTGCTCTTGCAGATTGTATAGTCCAAAATACGTTAATCTCAAATAATCAAAACAATTAACAAACCTACACTTTTTTTATCATAGTTTTTTGTATATTAATAATTATAATTTCTTAATTTTCTCTTGAATAGTCACCACTATGATATATATATATATATATATATATATATATATATATATATATATATATATATATATATGTATGTGTGTGTGTGCGCGCGCGTGTGTATAATTTCTTAATTATAATTTTCTTACTGAATATTTGGATTCATATCTGTCTATTAAAGCTAAAATAGTGACTTTGAGGAGCTATCTTCATTCTAATGTAACCAAACACATCAAAATCCGGGATTAAGATTGGATATGGAACATGAAGGGCTCTCATTTAGCAGAAATTGTGGTCAAAAGCTTACCCAACAAGTTGGGATTTTGAAAGGATCCATCCGCTATAACATGTCTGGTTCTGGAAAATTCTGGATAACCAAAGAAAACTCCAATTTCAATTATCATTTCTCACGACCCCACCCCACCTATCATCTCGTGTTTTCCAGAATTCTCGACACCTCATTGTCCAAATTTCTCTTCTATATATTTCATGAAGCCCTTCCTTCTCCACATACACACAATACAACACTTCCACCACTTAAAAAAAAAAAAAAAAAAAAGATTGTACACTGTTTTGTGGTCTCAATTGATACGACACAACACTCTTCAAAAATGGCACACGCCTTGTCCTCTAATTTGGCTCTTAACCTTCCCACTTCGAGGTATCTCCACCACTCAAGACCAACCCAGTTGAAGCCAGTGAAGATCATCATGATGGAGGATGCAAGAGAAAAGCTTGACCACATCCCAAAATCCAACAAGCACCACCATCCTCTCCCAAAAAAAAAAGTTGCCCCAACTGCACCCGTAGGTAATCAAGCTCAATCACTATTTCATACAAATTCCAACTTCTTTTAAAACATATACTTCAACGGTATAATAAAAAAAATTCAGTAATATCACATATTATCTAGGTAAATTTTCAAAATTTGATTAGAAAACTGTATGCATGTTATCTGGTACTGTATCTAAGTTTTGTCAATATCTATGTGTTTACATATTAAGTAAAAAATTGTTTCCAACCATATAATGATTTTTTAGCTTTTTTGGATTTATACGAGTTAAATTACTGTCTAGTGCAAACCCAGTTACCAATTTTCTTTATTTAGCACAAATTTTATAACTATGCACATATATTAATTGAACTAACGTGAAATTGCATAAAAAAGCAGGGTTGTGGGACAGGTTTCCTACGGCAAGGACAGTGCAAGAGATGATGGAGACGATGGAGAGGATGATGGAGGACCCTTTTGCATTTAGCACACTTGAGTGGCCTTCATCACCCTTGCCAAGTGAGGGTGTGGGAGGGTATAGAAGAAGGGGAAGAGCACCTTGGGAAGTCAAAGAAGGAGAGAGTGAATACAAGATGAGGTTTGATATGCCTGGGATGAAGAAAGAGGATGTGAAAGTTTGGGTGGAGGAAAAGATGCTAGTGGTTAGAGCAGAAAAAGCACCAAAGAAGAACGAGATATCGGAACAAGAAGAGGAAGAGGGATGGTCTGCAAAGAGTTATGGTAGGTATAGCAGTAGGATTGCTTTGCCAGACAATGTGCAGTTTGAGAATATTAAGGCCGAGGTTAAGGATGGTGTCCTCTACATAGCCATTCCCAAGGCTACCACTTCCTCCAACATCCTAGATATCCAAGTTCAATGATTCATTTTCTTTTTGTTTCTGCTCTTTTCTTTTAAACAATAGACTTAATTTTTATCCCTTGACCTAGCTTTTGGGCCATAATTTTTATTTTGAATCCCGTAATTGTTTTTCTAGTTTCCATCTACATAATATTCAAATGTATTATTTCAATTCTTGGTCATCAATTCTAATTAAAAAAAAAATTAAAATTGCGATAATAAAAACACAAAATTATACGAATAAAAATCCTAATTGGAATAATTACAATATCAAGAACATATTTAAAAGTTGGCTCTATTTTATATAAGAGCATAAGTTAATAAAAAAGGAAATAGTAAATCATGAATTGTTATAAGATTTTTTTAAATTTAAAAAATAAATATACAATCATAAAATATTAAAAAATAATGTATAAATACATATTTGTTTAAAATTTATTCTTGTTCAATCTTCGTGAGTGCTCAAGATGATTTTTAAGTTATCCCTTTCTAGGAATATCATCATGATATATTACTGACAAACGAAAATAATCATATATATATATATATATATATATATATATATATATATTCTAAATTAACAACATAATAATCTATCTATTTTTTATTTGATAATTAATTAATTAATTTTCTTTTATTATCTTTGGTAATATCTTTTTACTTTCCATTTTCTTGACTTTTCAAATTATTGTAATTATTTTAATTTTTCTAAACTTCTAAATATAAAAAAAGTTGTATATTCTCTTTCTCTTTAATTTTTGTAATAAATCGTAAAAATTTACTTCTGGTCATCATAAACAGAAAGAAACAAATATATACATTAATATAATGTAAATATATATTGTGTTGTACTATTAATAGCCTTTGGAAATTAATTTATAGTTAATTTTTTTCTAAACCTGTAATAATAAATAACTATAAGTGCATTAATAAATCATAACACATGTATTTTATTATATATATATATATATACATATATATATATATATATATATATATATAATAATAATAAATATGTCCAAAATATGAACTAATATAGTGTAAATAATAATGATTTAAACTTATTTATTATGAAGTCTCAATATAAAGGACATTGAATATTACCATTAGGAATAAAAATAATTAGTTAGCAATTGTCTTTAAAAATGTGGAAACAACAACGTAATTAATAAGTACGCAAAAACAAAGGGCCCAAGTTGTTGGGTTGGCATAGATGGAACAATAATAATTGCAGAAATGGCCGTTAGATGAACCTTTTTTCTTGCTCCAAATTCATATTATAATAACAATTCTACTAAATTTTCCAAAAATAAATACCGTTTGACAATGATATTATGAATTCTTTTTAAGGATGCTCAATTATTTTTGGACCAACAATATAGTTTCTTGTTTGTTGCCGCTTGGAAAAAGGCTATTTCTTTCTCTACTTTAGTATCAATGTTTGATTACAAATTATTACGCATAAATATTTGTTTGACTTTCTAATTATCATTTTTTATATTTAGGTGACAATATTAGACTCTGCAATTTAAGTTTTTTCAATACAAGAAATGATAACAATGTACTTTTTTTAACATTTTATAATAATTAAATTTTTAAAAAATTCACAAACCCATGTGAAAACTTCTTCTTTAATGAATTTGAATTTTTATAAATCTTAATAATATGTTAAAAATATGTGTTATAAAAACATAGTTTAGAAATTGTTTAGATATCTATTATAATTCTATAGCACAAAAAAACAATAATATTTTTTTCAATAGGTAAACTGAGAAAGAAATAGCTGTTAGAATCATCTTTATGACAATTAAACAAAAATACAGAAACACATACACTTAATTATTCAATACATAAATAATAATATTTAGAAAAAATGGAATGTTAATTAAATAGGGAAAAAAATCTAACGGCCAAAATTGAAAAATAAAATAAAAATTAAGAAAAGTAGACGTTAGAGGAAAAGAGGATTAGCACAAAGTAATGCAGTATTGTGTGGGGCAAATGAGCAGTGGGACCCACCTTAAAACAAAATTGAAACAAAGTTCTCAGAGTGACATGAAGATTCAGATTAGAGCAGAGGAATCCCCACATGAATCAATGTCGTGTCCAAAACAAAGAGCGTAGTGAGTTAGTATAAATAGCAAAGTGAAAAACCTTAACGTTACTCAAACAAAAGGAGGTTCCATTTTTTTTTTCACATGCAATTTTAGAAATTGCATTTATTGAACCGTTTAATATCGGATTCACGTTAATTTCTGAAACAACGCAGTTTGTGTTTTCACTCTCTGAATGTGGTTATATATATAGAGAGAGAGAGAGAGAGAGAAAAAGAAAAGGCGTAGTTTTTTTTTTTTTTTTTTTTTGAGTGAGGGTTTTGTTTTGCGTAATGGGTGAACCATCGGCGTGTCTCGTTCGATCCTTCTCCAGTCCCGCCGACACTCGTTACGAGGTGAGTTTTTGTTTCACAATCTCAACTTCCGCATGTTTCTGTTATGTTTTTTCATAATGTTGTTGTTGCTGGGTTAGTTCCTGAGAAATGGTGGTGTGTTATGTTTGGTTTTGGTTTTCGTTGTTGAGAGGTTGGAGTGTCTGTAACCGCTTTTTGGTTTCGATTTTGGATTTTATCATTGCGTTTTCTGCTGCAACTTAACCATGTTGTTAAAGCGTTTGTATAATTGCACCATACACTGAACTGAGGAGCTTATCGCTTTCTCAATTTTTCTTTTCATTCCAATAATCGTTTATGGCTTCTATTGCCAAAGTTCTGAAAATTTCTATCATTCAGTCTCACGTTGTTTTTGTCGAGGAAAGGAACCACGCATGGGTTTCGATGTCAATGGTAAATTTTTCACCAATGTTATTGTTCTGTTGCGGATACGATTTGTATCAATTTTGCAGTTTTTTGTGCTTTGTTGAGTCTGTGGTGGCTTGTGATATGTTTATTGACCTTTATTTGTTTTGTTTTGATTTCAGGGTAACCCTATCCGTGCGCTTGGAGAATCTATCTCTTTTGGGAGGTTTATGACAGAAAACTTGAATTGGGAGAAATGGTCAGCATTCACTCATAATCGCTATGTTGAAGAAGCTGAGAGATATTCCAAGCCGGGTTCTGTGGCCGCGAAGAAAGCCTACTTTGAGGCTCATTACAAGAGAAAGGCTGCGGAGAGAGCAGCTGCATTGATGATCCAAGAAGCAAATGCAAATTCTCAGGCTAATGGAACTTTTGAGACGGAAGCTCGGCAAGGAAACTATGCTGATTCACCCTCTGAAACGAGTTCAAATGTAGAAATGGTTGTAGCCGCCAATGAACAGCCGAATGAAGAAACTGTTAATTGCCAAGTTGTTGAATGTGCTGATGGAGATCAGCATAAATGTGATGCTGGACAAAGTGATTTAGACATTTCCAATGTTGAAGGAGTAGAGGATGTGCCTCATACTCACGTTGATACAGATATTAATTTGGAAAGTTGCACATTCATTGATAATTCTAATCAGTTTGATCATGTTGAAGACAATACAAATACTGGCGCTGTGGAAGAGAAGAATCTTGATCATGTAAATTTATGCTTTCCTTATTCGTTTATATTTGATTCCTTTTGTTTCTTCTGATGAATAAATTTCTAACTGTGTTATCTGTGCACATTTATCATACTGATGCTGCAGGGCGCTGAGGGTCAGGAAGTTTTGGGTTTGCCCGTTGACGAAATAGAAGCAAATTCTTCTCCAAAATTATCAACCAAAACTGTGCCTGCCAAATGTTCTCGCCTTGCCGAACGGAAGGCTGCTGCAGCTGGGCCACCCAAAAGTGGAATAAAAAGAGGTCCGAAAGGCAAGAAGTCTGTTGGAGATTTAGTTGAGAAGAAGAAACTAACTGCACAGTCACTCCACATGTCAATCAATCTTCCATCTAGGACTGGTGAAACACGCAAAAGAACTGCTGCAGCTACAGAGTCCAGAAATGGCTTAAACAAATTTTCAACAAGTAAAACGTCTGTTGGAGGCTTGGTTGACAAGAAACTAATAGCTGCACCATTACTTAACATGTCAAACAATCTCCCATCAGGTGCTGTTATAACAAGCCAAACACCTTCTGCAGCTACTAAACCCAGAAATAGAATAAATTTTGTTACAAAAATTATGACGTCCGTAGGAAACTCAGTGGCAAAGAGATCAACTACAAGGTCACTCCACATGTCAATCAATCTGCCTTCTGGTGCAGCTGATACAAGTAAAACAGCTTCAGTGTTTCAACAAAATAGAATTAAAAAAATTCATTCTAATTTGCCCAAAAGTAATCCAGTGGCATTGGGGGCATCGACTGAGGTATTAACCTATCCACCTTTTGTTTGTACCTACATTTACATCAGTGGTTTTTCTGAGTGAATACACGACATTTGAAATGATACTCTGGTTGCTAAAGATTTTTTTCCCCTTCTTTAGGCATCTCATGGTTTGCTAAGTCAAGATTCTGCAAGTCTCCCTTCTCAGAGTAGAAGGTATTGTCTTCTTGTGCCTCCTTTTTTTAGGTTATGTGTGTTCAAATATCTTGCTTGTTAGCTATGGCTTCAGTTGTGTGCATCATTAGAAATTTTCACTGACATCATCAGAGTTGTCTATGTCAGGACTGAAAGACCACTTAATAAGTCTGTATCTGGAGGTGTTACAGTGAATGCAACACCTTCCTCTTCCGTTTCTTCTGGGTAAGAACATTTTTACTAGTTGTTAATGTTTTTTAATGTGCACTTTTGTGGTTTGCTACATAATAGAAACTCTGTTTGTCTCTCCGAGTAGGAGCTACAAACTTTTCTAATAAGGCAATCTTTCACTATTTGAAATTAAAAATTCGAAGTTCAAACATGCAAAAAATATAAGACGTCTGATTTATACGGCTATTTTGTGTTGTTGCATAAATGTGCGAACAGCAGCCTGAAATCTTCAAGCACCAACAAAAGCAATCTGCTATCACCTACCATATCTTCGCCTTTTAAATTCAGAAGTGAAGAAAGAGCAGTTAAACGTAAAGAGGTAAGTTCTTTTCCTTTTCCCTCACATTAGTTGTGCAAATTATGTATGAACTATAGGCCTTGATGGCTTTTCCATTTTCTTATTTCAGTTCTTGCAGAGGATGGATGAAACTAAATCCAAGGAAGAAGAGAAAGTGAAGTTGCAAAGAACTCTCAAGGTGAATAATTTTATGATAATGATTCTACCGGTACATGATTTACCTTCTTGCTAAGCAAAACTATTGGTGGCTGATAGAGCCAGTAACTGATGGAAAATGTCATTAAGCAGGAATCACTAATTTGATCTTGATATATAAGCAGTAATGCATAAATGTATGTTCCTTTTTCTTTTGTGTTGATTGCCCTGAGTGGCACCCCGATTTAGGAATAAAGGGGTTATTCAAGAGTCATAATTCATTTTGAACTGCTCTTTATTTACTTAAATAAAAAGGTTATTCAACATCTTTAATTTGATGTTGATGCAGGGTAAAACAGAGCATGATCACAAGAAGCTGCGGCAGAGCAGTGGCTCTATATCCAAACTAAATGAGGACAAGCCTGTTGGATCGCATTCACTAAGTAATCAGATTAGAAAGGTATATTTGCTTATCAATTCTGATGTTGGAAATAACCACTGATTAAATTCTAGATAAGAGCAACCATAAATGCCCTTTTGTCGATCCATCTGGATGCTTTTGTAGTGGCCTAGCCATAAGTCCTTGTTTGTGGATTTTTGATTTATATTCTAAAGGATGTTGCTTGTCAATCAATTCTGTTCATGTTGCAAAGTCTTTATGACCATCCCACATAATCTGTCAACCATTAATCTCTGTCGGTTCATTCATTCCTAACTGGAGATGCTTTCAACTTGTGATTTATAATATCGTACTTGCATTTTTTTTATTCTGGGTGATGCGTTCAACTTATAATTTATAATAAATTTATTTACTTCATCCCTTTTCAGATCTCACCTACACTTCCCCGGTCACCAAAACTTGTGAGCAAAGCAAATTCTAGTTCAAGCACAGTCCAGGACAAAAACTTAGGAAATTCGTGGAAGCCTCCTAGGAGCACAAATAATTCCAAACGTACAACTGAAAAAATTAACCGAACCACAAGACAATCAGTAACTTCATTTTCTAGTACAACAGGAGAAAATGCTTCACCAAATATTCAGCAGCATTGAACACAAGAAAAGGAGAACCTGACCGAGCCTGTGACTTGAAGAAAAATCTGTCAAAGAAAGTGAAAACCACTTGTATTCTGACAGCCTCATGATCATATTGCTAAACAGTGGCAAAAGATAGTACTTCGCTTATAGTTTAATTGTAAGAGGATAATTAGGAGAGATCATGTACCGATGTGTTGTCACATTTCGAAGGAAAATTTTGTAGTTTTTTTTTTCTTTTGTTGGTTATATCTAGGATACAATTAATTTTGACCTAGGAGCAAAAATAAGTTTGTAAAAATATAGGTTTAGATATACATGAAGGTAAATAGGACTTGTATTACCTTTAGTTGAATAGAACTTTGCTATGAGATACTTTGTTACAAACCATTCGAATATTAAGATAAGCGTTGAGGACATGAATATATATTTTTCTATGAACGTGTGTGTGAAGAATTTTTACCCGTACATAAAAGTGTGGTTCATGAATGTGCGGCGTTCCCTTTTATCTGTTTTTGTCTCCATTGACCAAAAGGTAGTACTTCCTACCAAAAAGGAAAGAGATGTTCAATTTTTACAAAATAAATGGTTCGAACTTAGAACATTTAGTACCCTTATTACTGTTGAGAAATCACTTTAAGCTTCTGTCTTAACATTTTCTGCCCATTGCCTCATTCTAAAACCATTATTCCAACCAATCACTTCAAAGTTAGTTCTGTGATCGATGCGCGAGCTCCGAATTTTCAGCCAGCACTAGCATATGATTATCATAAAAAGTACATCATTAAATACAAGAAAGTTCAGAAGAGGCAAGACTTTCCATGTATTTGGCTGGAGGCAATCTTTTGTCTAACATCATAAACTCCTATTCAATGCAATTAAATTATTCCTGTTTCACACATTTCTGATTATTACTAAATATTTTTAGTCCATTTTATTTTGGTAAAACTCAATTAATGTAATAATAATATTTTCGAAGGCATTTATATCTTTTTACTTTAAGCGAGAATAAAAAAAAGATGAAGCAAGCTTATTAGTTAAGCTCAATACTTGTCAGCAGTCATTTTTATACATACTGCAACATATCCAAATCCTCCATGATTGGAAAAAGAATGCCCCAACCGTTGAGGTTGAAATTCTTCAATAAAGATGTAGTTAGCTACAGGAAACATTAAATTGTCCTTTCATGCTTGAATTTTGATTTTTGTTGAAGATGCAGGAAAGGCAAGGCTGATCATGCTATGAATAGACCTTGATCTATAACTGAGTAATCGGCTGAATCATATAAGTGAGTTGGAGCTTCTGCAATAAGTCCTGGATCATAATATTCAGACATTCCTATACTCTGCAGACCAAAGTTCATATTATAGCAGTCACCTTGTAGCCAATGGAAATGCAAGTCCGCATCCAAAGGTGCAGAAGCTGCCTCACTGCCCAAAAGAAGGCTTCTTTGGTAAATTTCCAGATCAGGAATGCAACTGAGATTATTATATCCCTGTGTTTTCAATCCTGAATTTGTTGTGGAAATGGGTTCCAAAGATTGATCATTCATAACAAGACTTCCTGGTTGAATTGGAAAGGTGTCAACTGCATTCCCTATTGAATTCACAGAACTGCCATGATCATTCTTGTAATCTGAAAACAAAGGTTTTGCTTCTATACAAGCAGCAACCTCTTCCCCCGTAATAGAGGGAGCTGAACTAATTGAAGCAACTGATTGTGATTGATCAACGTGGATGTGATGCTGCTTACCATGTAATGGCATCTGATTGAAACTATCTTCTAAATGAACGAGTGACTTGTGTTCTTCTTTGAGTTGCATGTCTGGAACTTCAGTCCAAGAGTACTGTGTTGGTATGGAGCAATCAAACACTGCATGGTTTCCTTCTGACTCCAGAGGGGCAAAAGTTTGATTAAGGCCTACCCGTAAACTCTCTCTCATATTTGTGTCAGTGATGCTACCATTCAAAGCCCTTCCTTTTTTTGCTATGGTGGACTGTGAAACAATTCTCTTGGGATCGCCTTCATGACTTTTAGTTTCCACGTTGGGAAGCTGTAATGATCCATCCGAATAATTGTAGCTGTCAATTGAAACATCTCGTTGCTTGTTTACTGGGTTTTGAAAACCAAAACTTCCCAGATCTTTTGAAGGAAAATCTGAATGCTTCATTCCACACGAGGAAGATCTTTGATCGTTTTCTTTCTGAATCCTACTCAAATAAAGCCGATATTTCTGCAGAAGAAAATTTCTTATCAAGGAACCTGAGTTTCAAACTTCAAACTCATGGAACATTAAAAACATACATATTTTCTTTAGTATTAGTTTTGCTTTATTGAATGTACAACATTTGTACAAAAAGCAATGTTTGGATTACGCTCTATTGTATCAAAGTGAAGCTTTCTTATATTTCTAAGTCTACCAAAAGGAATACATGAGAAATAATCATTGCATAATTAAAAAATCGAGATGCTCATCTGAATGAAAGATAGTATACATGTTTCTTTATTAATAGTGTAGGGGTAACATTCAAGGAGTGAAATTACAGCATCACCTGCAAGTGGCTAGCAACATTCTCTCTGGTCAGCCATGGAACATTCATCAGGTCTAGTATTTTCTTGGGCCCAACTTCTGCCAAACAGAAATTATTTGTTACAAGTAGTTTTGGTATGGAAGATATAAAATGACTGGCAGTCACACTTCAATTCATCAGGGATATGCTAGGTTAAGCATAAGAACGCTTTACACAGAACCTTGAGAAGAAACTTACTATCAAATCCAATCTGATTCACAGCTTTAACAAACTTCTGATGAAGATCTACAGACCAGACTACTCTAGCTTTCTTGGTAGAAGATGGATCCGTGCATTCTTTGTCATCGTGTTTGTTATCTGCATCTTTTCTTTTCTTTGTTGAGGTCACATCTTCTACAGCAAACAAGTTCCCATCATCTGATAGCTCTGAGCCATTTCTCATTAAGTGAATGCTCTCAAAACTCTCAAAGCTTTCAAATTCTTTTGCCTCGTGTATCCTTTTTCTAAAGACATGCTGCCATATATTTCGCAGTTCTTTCATCCTTATAGGCTTAAGGAGATAGTCACATGCTCCATGTTGAACACCTTTCATGACCCTGCTTGTTTCCCCATCCACAGACATCACTGAACAGCATTGTAAAGTGTGACTTGTCAGAGCGTGGAGTTTCAATCAATGTGATCAAAGGATTACAATGATATCATATAACGAAAAACTTGAATATATGATTGATAGAGAACTGACTAATCACAGGAAGATCCATCTCAAGCCCAACATGCTCAAGAAGTTTAAAACCATCCATGTCAGGCATGTTTACATCGCTGATCACTATATCATATCCGTCCTTCCTTTCCCGAAGCAAGTTTAGAGCATGCCTTGCCAAACAACATGTAGTCACTGAAGCAAATGATGGAAGAGAATCAGAATAATAATGTGTGCGCTTGCTTTCCAAAATTTGCTACTTCTATAAGATTTGTGCTTCTACAAAATCTCACTTATATGAACAGAGAGAGACAGAAGAGAAAAATAAAAGAAGAAACATAGGTAGGGGATTCTAGCCAATATAGATGGTGACATCACAAAAAGCTTTAAAAGTCTCTGGTTACAAATGTTTCTCAAATTACCTAACTTAATGATCAGTGTTGCATGATGCAAACCCACAACCTCTTAGACATGTTCAGATATGTCTCTTCACATATTATCTGTTCTGATTGAAATCATATTCTCACTAAGTCTGTTTTTGCTTTAGTTGGTGTTTTTATTTTCCTTATTTAACTATATAAGCACTCAATTCTATGCCTTCCATTTATGACAACAATTTTTTAAACCTACCAAGGACAAATGCTCAATCCAAGTGAGTTTTAGAGATACACTAATGTCTCACTTTTAAAAACCTCACAGAACATGTACAGTTTAATTTCTTCAGATTAATTCAGTTACCTGGTATATATTTTTTTAAGAAATAATCCGACATGCTGCTGCTAGTGCACCAACTATCTTCTCATTAATATTTTGACATTAGTGCATGTTATCAATGGATGACAGAGTGTGTGATTACCAACATGGCATATTATAGGTCCTAAGATACCATAAATAAACAATGCCAAAAGAAAGTAAATTTAGACTAGGAAGAATCAAATTCGACAAGAGAACTTCTTTATGCCCCTCTATAGATTTTTTAATATTAACAGACTTGGCAACACGGTAGATAGCAATAGTTTGAGTATAACACGCCCTCATCTAATAATAACTTCGCAATCTGAGTTTTTCTGCAGTCCTAGTTTTTTGCTTCTTGAAAAATGAAAAGGACCATAAGAGTTGAGAATCAGTTTACCAAGTAAAAGCTCAAAACAACACAAAAGTTTAAAAAAATATATGCAACAACATGAGTAATTAACACTATCTAACTATTTAAATGCCATCATGAGTTCACATGCTTGACAGAAGGAGTTTTGTTTCATTTTTTTGCCATAAAAAAGCAGGCACATTCCTTAGAAACTGATCCACCACAACCAGACCACAACCCACCATACACCGAAGCTTAAAAATTAAATCAAAACCTGGAAACTTTACATCAATTTTACAGATCTTTAGTACATAAAAATTAACCAATAGTGGTAACTTAGCACATAACAAAAGTGGCAGTGTGCAAAAAGAAAAAGGAACCACTCATGACCAAACCAAACCAACCTTCATAATTGCACTTCTTGAGCATCTTCTCAAGGATCTTGAGCCACGTAGGATCATCATCCACAACTAGAACTCGCAGACCAGCAGGGAAATCACATCGAGGGGAAGAGAAACACCCATTATCCATTTTTGAGAGAGACAAAGAGCAGTATCAGTGGTTGTGTGTGAGCTCAAAAAAGGTTGTGTTTGTGTTGTTGGGTTATAACAAGTTAAGAAGAGTTAAAAATATCAAAGGAAAGAAAGAAAGACAGAAAAAGAGAGAGAGAGAGAGCACCAACGAATATTGGCGCCGCACAGCTAACGGTCCCTGTGGCGTACGTTAGTATATATCCCTTTGGGTTTGTTTGGTTGGTCCTACCTAGCTAGCTGCAACTTCAGTGCTACTTGTTAAACAATGAATAGTTACTATTTTTCTTATTATTATTATGGGGAGGAACTAGGAACAGTGGGAGCAGTTTTTTAAGATTAATGCCGAAAGATAAGGGACACGTTGAGTGGCTTTAACAAATTTTGCTATTGAAAATTGAAAAAAGAAAAATGTTTTGTGACACTGAAAAAGTGAACTGGGTTGGGTGGGAAGATTGTTGTGTTGCGGCATCCCAGAGAAAGTGAATGTATTAAGTGAGGGTTGTGGTTGTGAAAATGCAAAAAGTTATGTACTATATTATACCACTGATAGAACATAACCTTGGGAAAACAAATAGTGTTTCTACTTTATACTTTTAAACTTTATACAATACTTCTGGAACCTCTGTTCTGTGTAGTTAGTTGTCTTCTGTTTCGGTGCAGGTTCAGGTGCGTTTCTAAAAGCCATTAAGTACTGTCACTTTATATTATTATTATTATTATTATTATTATTATTATTATTATTATTATTTGTTTTAACTCATTTGTTCTTTTGTTATTTCTCTATCAGTTCAATTAATTAATTTTAGAAATAGTGATTAATGTAATTAGGAACCTCGAGGGCAACTAAAGAAAAAGTGACATCACAGTATCACTTCCAAAATCTTATCTTTAACCTCAATTTCTAACTTCTGTGGTAAAAAAAATTATGAGAATGGAAATTGCATAATAGGGTGGAATTAATGAAGAAGGAAAGCAAGGGGACAAGAAATATAAAAAAGAAAGATGAAAACCAGCTAAGAATTCACTGAAGATGGGATCTTGATTTGTTTATGGAAATGGAGGAAAAGAAGGGGAAGATGGAGATTGTGAAAAAATGATCTGATGAGTGACAAAGTTTTGGTGGAAAGGCACGTGGAATGCATTTCACAGACATGATAGGAAAGTTGTTGGAGGGAAGAGCATTTGTTAGACATTCCCAGTTGCATTCGAACTCTCTTACTCGCATATTTACTACTTATAGATTCAGATCAAAATAATTAGTTTGATTTATTTTAATCTTTCCTTGAATTAAAATTTTGTAATTTGGTTAAATATATTATAGAGTGAAAATGTATTTTTTTTTATTTCAAAATATTAAAATAGGTGAGTTAAATAAATATCTTTCTTTTTATGATTTTATACCTCTGATAAATAAGATCATTTATAAATATTAAAAATTGAAATAAAAAGTTAATTACGGATCAATCTATCATTAATTTAATTTAAATTTGTTTGAACTTATTAATTAAGAATATCAAGTTAGTTTAATATATATATATATATATATATATATATATATATATTAATTTTCTTAAACTAACTCTAGTAGTTTTGTAATTGTATTAATATTATGAGTAATATAAAACATTATGGTCGAGTCTTCATAGAATCAGACAAAAGAAAAACACCAACTTGTTGAAATGGACTAGTACCCTGTGCTTGTGCTATGCACAAGAGGATTGAAAATAAAAAAAGAAAAAATAAATATTTATTGGATGAATGAAAAAATATAATAGAAAAAAATTATGTAATTTTAAAGAACGTAAAAAAATATAGGAACTATTTTTTTCTCTTATTTGATGTGAATTTGGAGAAATATGTTTCCCGGTTATTTTCATTATTTTTTATTATTATTTTCCTTTTAAAATACACAAAAAAAGAGAGAAAGTGTTATAAAAAAATACTTTTATTGTATGTTACTGAAATAAACTATAATTATATTTAACTTAAGTTTAATCTAAACACATCCCAAATCTTGTTCCTAATTAACGGCTTCTTTTCCTATATTTTACAACATTTTTACTATGTTTACGACTTCAACACTGTAATGAGTTTCATATTATAAAGTTAATTGTGTAATTTTATATTTGGTTTTGTTAATGTGAAAAAAACAAATCAATGAATATATTTTTTAAAAGTTATTTATATAAGTTGTCACCCACCCCTGATTACATGATGTTGGTTTCCAACGTGTGAATAATAAAATATGAATGGAGCCCTAAAAAGGTAATTAAATTGAAGAAAGACAAAGCACAAAGGCATGGACATAACATCACTGTCAAGTCAAAAATTAAAAACAAAAAACCTCAAGGTTCTGTCTACGTACTATTGGTGCGTGTTTTCCACGCTTCCTTAATAAATAATAACCCTTTCAAAAAGTTACTAAATTTTAATTTCACACTCATTAAGTGCACATTAAAGTTGCAATCTTTTGTTTGTGTTAATCTTGGCTTTGCCTTCTGAATTTGTAGAAGTAATGAACTCTTCTTCTTCTTCTTTTCTTAAAATTATTATTTTTTGATAAAAAATTATTATGAAACATAGTTTTAAAGATAATTAACCAAGTTGTAAAATTGAATATATATTTTTAAACTGAGTTTAGGACATTTTAAGCGAAGATGTATAAATAAGAATCCAACTCTAAATTATTTAGTCAAGTATTATGTTATTAATAATCTGATATTACAAAAAGTATAAACGATTAAGAAAAGTCATAGTTTTAAATTCTATCTCTAACTTTAACTTTTCCTTTATACCTTCATAGTACGTGTGGAATTCAATAACCTACAAGGATAAAAACAAATTCATCAGCCAAACACCACACACGTTCACTTTACCCTCTCAATATTTAAGTAGAAACCAAGTGAAAAAAAGATAAACAAGAAATATTATTTTTTAGTGTTGGTTTGAGAAACACAGAAAGAAATAATGAAATTTTTTTTTATGGGATTCAAATAAAGCAAAAAAAAAAGTATTTTTAATTTCAATGTTTAAGTAGTTTTCTCATAATAATTAAGGACATATTGGATTTATAAAATATTTTATATTTTTACTTGTTGCTTCTATGCAGTAAGAGAGTTGTGTCTGAAGAATATGCTTATGCCTAATCATTGGGCCACTTGCCCTAGTCACACCCAATTGGGCTCTGTTAATAAACCTTTATTCTCTTTAAAAGAAACCATTTGGGCCAGTTAAACATAGACCACAATTTCAAGAAACCCTTGAGAAAAAATATTGTAAAATATCTGGGGCTCTATCAAGGTTTATGTTTAATAAGATGATGTTTTGTTGTGCTTGGAGCATTTATTCCTGCACCCCATAATTTTCTTGGCATATATTTTTTACATTCTAAAAATTGTATTTGTGTAAGTAATTTTTACATTTTGAAATACCTTTTCCGAATGAAAGCAAGTGCACCATAATTTTTATAAAATTGTGTTAATTTTAAGCTTACATGCTTAATTTGGTAGTGTATTTATTTGCTGCAAATTTTGTTGAAATTCTCATATTTTAGCATCGTTGTATTTTTGAAAGAGGCATTAGAAAGAACAACACAGCATGACATCAGAGTGTGAAAATAGCCACTGTTTATGATGACTCCGTACACCATAATTTAAGAGTTGATAATTGGGGTATTAAAAGCCAGAACGTGTCCATTTCCAAGCCATTCAACCAGAACTTTAGACTTTGGAGTAAAAGAAATCAAAATATCTATGATGCCTTTCATAGTTTATGCTCTGTACCATTTCAATATAATAATAAATAAAGCATGAGGTTGAAGCATTACATTACTGTAACCTGATCAGTTTTTCCTATGACATAAATCCAACACAAGATTCTTGCTTAGTAGATGGATGAGTACAAAATATCTAATCATTCCTTGAATTTATCCATTTTGTTATATTATCTGTCTACTCCACAGAAAAAGCATAGTTGTGAAAATGTATTTTTTCAACTGCATAATAGTTATAACTGATAGATACCATTTTTCTTCAAGTTATAGCATGTAATTGAAGGTATAAAATAGATGTGGTTCTGGTAAGATTGGAGGCAGAGTCTGAATGAAAAGGTAGAAACGTCTTAAATTGTCCTTTGCAATGGTGATCCTGTCAACCACATCACTGTTGCCAATGACCACCCATAAATCTGTCGGAGTGATCATCCTCAGGCTTCCACGGCAAAATGGGCATGACTCTGATCTCATATACCTGAATTTCTCGTCTGTTACATTTTGCAGGGGCAACAACATAACTTTATATATATATCCTACCACAACTTCTTCTTATTCAATACTCTGTAATATATTAAACTCATGTTGGTTTTATGAGGAGTAAATAGTTGTCTTATTATTATTATTAATTTTTTGTTAAGAAAAAATAAATATGACATGACAGGATACAAAAACTTGTGGTAATGCATAACCGTGTAAAATGAAGTTTATACCTCAACTTATATGTTATAATTTAATCTACGTCTCTAATGTTTATATTATGAAATCATCATATTTTGGGTTTATTTTGATTTTTTTTTTCATCAAACAAATCCTAGGTGAAGAAATTTAACAAATTGTTGTGGCATTTGACAGTACCAATCATGGAAGCAGCTAATGCAGAGGGAATGTCCACAATTAGGTAGAACCATGTTCATGTTGTTTTCCATGCATATGCCACATTCTTCATCTCTCTCTAAATCTTCATTGAGAACCTTTTCAAGCCTCTTTCTGCTTTCTTCTGCATAACTGTTTCTTCGATCATTGTTAAACTCGCCTTGAAGTAACCTTAATGAAGGGTATATAACAGCTGCAGAAACATGGCATCCTCGTCAAAGTTGATTCAGAGTTCAAGAGAAAAAAGGCACCAAGAAAACATTAGGACGTACCATAAAATTCCTTTATAGTTGCTTTCCTTTCATTTGAGGAAATAGATGGTATTCCATCAGCATATACCTGGACTAAGACAAACAAAACATAGCTAATTCATTTGCATTTTCACCATAAAAGGGTGGGGAGAAAGTATACTGAAGAGTGAAAATTTTGCAAATTGAACTAGGGTGAAACATATAGTTCGTCATATAGAGAAGAACAAAACCAGAATGACCGTGACTAACATTGAAAATGAGTATGTGGAGTAAGCCCAAATACACAGGTAAAGTATCTGTACAACTAAAATCCAACCATTTAATCAAGTACAAGAAAAGAGGTGCAAAGGGGCTGTAAGATAATTTCATCTGAAAATAGTTCCCATCATAATCTCTTGGAAGTGCCGATGCCCTGCATTAATTTTAGATGTCAAGTCAACAACATGTGTAAGATCAGTTCAGCTGTCATAAGCATAGACTAGTCAAACAAGAAATGTATCAGTTAATTTTATGCAAATTTTGTATTATCAACCAATCAAAATAATTGATAATACGACTTGCACGATAATTATTGCAGACATCAATAAACTTAAGTAAATAAAAAAAAATGAATAAATCCCTTTAAAGCTTCTTGATATATCTGTGAATACACTGAGCATAAATATAATTTGAGCACACAGTCATTCTAGCACTTTTACAATTCACCGGCACAATTGATCAATAGCAATGGGAAACCATGACTCAAGGAGATGACTTTTTGGTACCTAATTCTGCTAGATGATTAAAATGACATTTCAGGCCATTGCTAGAGAGTAAAATGCATTTCTATTCTGCATATATAACACACAAATGGGGTGTATATGGAAGACTAAGAGGATATATCAAGTGCATTAACCATATATAGCCATGATAATTCTAATGTTCTCAAACTCTGACCAAACTTCAACCGTCTTAATCTCTCGTAAATTATGCAATACCAAACATACCATTTTGTTTCGGTGCCCTTTGTCATCTATAAAATGAAAAGTGAAAAAACTAGAGACAAATACGCTTACAAATAAAAAGAACTTACAAGGTATTAGCATGCTGTATATCATTTTCAAGAGCTTCGACAGAATCACTGTAAGAAGAATGACTCGGCTGATTTTGCCACATTATAAGTCTCTACAAGAAAAACGTAACAAAAAGGAAGAAAGTTTAAAGAAAAACAAAGTGTTTGAGCTTTTTAGAAATGAGACCAAGTTTAGTTTTTTTAACCAAATTTAAGGAGAATATTTGAAGTATGGAATTAGAAGGAAGAAGGAATATCTCTTAAAAGGAAGCTGAGAGAGTAGGTTGCTTAATTTTCAAACTTTGCAAACTGTAAGGAAAGAAAAGGATGCCTTCAGTCACATATCTTCTTACCTTCTCTTTCCTTCTTCATTAATTTCATCCTCAACTGCACAACACTGTTGCATGGTTTTACCATCATTGACATTCGTATTAGACAAAGTCCTACACAGTTGAAGTTTGATCCTAGAGCTTGTGCTTTTGAACCCTTTAATAAATGTTGCACCCACTTTTGTTTACTTTTTCATTTATCATCTTTCTATGATCAGAAAATTAATGGTACTACTGCTATTATTTTATGGTGTCCAAGTTTACTATTGCAACCGTGACTTCATTTTCTTTCCATGAAAGGGACCAAAACCTATAATCACACTGCATCAACCACACCTTTTTGCATGTCCTTTAAAACATTTTCAGAGTTAAAAATATTCAGAATTTGCAAGTGGAGAGGTCACGAGACTGCATGGGGCTGATGTGTAGTGAGAAAGCAACAAAGAAAATATTTTTTCACTGAAAATATCATCCTACTATATTTGAAAGGGAGAGAGAACCACCGTTTTTAGAATTGAAAGTGTAAGCTTTTTTTTTATTATTATTATTGAAATATGTAAAAATATGTTTTTCTGTGAATTTTAATGTGTTACTTTATGATTTTTAATATATTTTAAAATTTCTTCACGATTATTCTTATACCAAGACATATTTAAAAATCGAACTGAGTGGAATATTATTCCATGCAAATGACTTAGAACGTTAAATCTAATAAATTTTGTGTTTTGTCATCTAGTAGATTAACTATGTGTTCATACATGGTATGAATATTATGATCTTAATTATTTTGTAATAATTAGATTTCTAGAATTTTCACCCTGATAAAACACACAGGATCAATAATAACACAAGAAAACAAAATTCGAAATAGGCTAATAATTACTTTGGATTTAATGTTTTCTTAAAGCCCAACTTCTTCCACCTAAAAAAATAAAATAAAAACATTTCCCATTCCGAAGTAAAGTATGGTGGTTAAAAATTTTCAAAAAATTTAAATTATATATATATATATATATTTATTTATCTAGTAAATAAAAAGTTATTATATCATAAGAGAAATAGTCAAACAATTTAGAGGTCTGGCCCATTGGATAAGCTCAAGGCCCAATATTTTACCAAGAAATTTGTCGTTTGATAATCCATAATCGATTGATTTTTGGACAATTCTAAAAGAACAATAACAAATTAACTTATGCATAAACTAATTTCAAGAAGTTGCTTTTATTTATTTTTTTCTTATAACTTTTTAGGAAAAGAATTGCCTGAACATGCTCATACATTATTTGCTATAAAAAAAAATGAAAAGAGAGAAGCGAGATGAAAAAAATATATCTTTTTTTTTTTTGAAGAAAATATAAAATAGAAAAAAAAGTTATGGAATCCTCACTAATGTTATTTCTCCCCTACGTAGAAGCTGAGAAAAAGGAACAAGTTGAATGAAAATGTAAACTTTTCTTAGTCAATAATTAGATAATCTATGACTGGATAATTGAGATTAATCTTATTTATTGATACGTTGATAAAATTAGTATTTTTTTATTTATCCTCATGAAATTAAAGACGATATTCGTTTTTTAGTTAGTTATGTTATACATTTTTATTTTATTTTCTTACTACAAAAATTATTTATATTATTCTTGGGTTTAAATTATAAAAATATTTTTATCATTTTAATTTTCAATCAAATAAGAAAAATGGTTAATTTTAAAAATAATGATAAATAAGTTTTTAAAAACATACGTAAGAATAAGGATTCAACACAAATTTTATGTTTTGATTCTTGTTGAAAACTACTAAAATCATGTTGGGTGACACTTTTCTTAAAAGAGATTATGTGACATGCCAGAAACTAAAACTACTTGGGATTTAAGATTATGCGACAATCTTAAAAAATTGCCTAAACATACCATCATAATATTAGTACCTTGTAAAATAATACACTTAAAGTGTAGTTATTTGTTTAAATGTTTTTTAAAAGTAAGTGAATATATACATCAATAAACCATATAATATTTTTCTGTGGCAGTAACTTTTTTTTTTTTTTACTTATTTCTCTACACTAATTTTACATAAACTATTTCTTTTTCTTCTTTCCATTTCTCTTTTTGTTTTACAAATTCTGTAGAGGAAAAGTATATAAATACAACAGTGTTTCGTACTTGTCTCTTGTTAGTAGGAAGAGTTTTAGTAAAAATAAAATAAAATAATGGAATCTTTTTCTAAATATTTTAGATGAGTTCACAAAGAATAAGAGAAAAGTTAGTTCGTATAATAAATAAACTTTATATGAAAGGATCATTATTCTGATTTTATTCACCCCAGAGAAGATTGAAAAAAGGGATTTTATTTGTCCACTTATACAAATAGCGTAAGCATATCTTTCAATTGTCGAATTTATTTTATAGAATTTGATACTACATTCACAAGGCATAATAGTTGCATTTGGAGAACAGAACAGAGTAATAAATGTGTGCATATTGGACCACTGAATTTATTGCATCCAGATTAGAGAGGGGACCGCACAATATCTCTGTAATTTTTGAAGGTTCAAAAAGCAGAAAGACGACAACAACAACAACATGGTCTAAAGTTGCACCATTCATGAGGTTATGTGGTCTGCCAAAGCACAAATTGAGTAACATAAATTAATTACCTTTCATTCTAATCATGCATTGTTTTCCACCTTTTGGCTTTTGGCCCTTGCTTTTGGCAGGGTTAAGGTTGTGTCTAACACAATTTTTACATTAGGTAGCGCTTACATGTCTATCAACTTTTGTCAATGTATTAAAAGAGAAGTTTCAAATCCAGTACAGAATATTGTTAATACTTAATAACAAAGAAAAGAAGTGGATCTTACCATAGTGTGGTGGTGCATGCAGGATTATTGATGCAACCTTATATTGTTTCTGTTCATGTTGTTGTCTAGTCACAAGACATTTTTCTACCCAACTTGTGTAGCTTCTTCTTCCAGTGAAAACAAAGTAGTTGGCTCGGATATTCATTTCCACAGTTCTTCTTGGATTGACTGATTGAGCCTGTGCCTTGTGTGTCACTCTTTTTTATGAGGGAAAGATAAAAAGAAAAGGAGAACATGAAGTCATATTTTCTTAAAGAAAAAGAAGATTCCATCCTCGGATAAAGATACAACAAACGTGAATGAACAATCAATAAACTCACCAATCAAAAAAGCTAAAGTGAAGTGGGAGAAAGCTGGTTCTGATGCTGAACTCAAACAACAAGCAGTTAAAATTTTGTCCATCACCCAATTTTCTTGATGCAAGCCCTAAATACAATGGGTTTATGGTCTCTCTTTCTGGTTACATTTCTTCTGGTGCTAACATCATATGTGGTTTGCCAACTTGAAGGTATGTTTCCTTTAGTAGACAACGAGTCAAGGAGTTAGTTCTGAATTCTATTTCAGTTCAAGCAACCATGTATTACAAAAGCTACAACTCGTTTTTGTCAACAAAAAATTCCCAAGTTAAGTATGTTTATTCTGCAAAATATCATGTCATTTTGAAAAGAGAAGAATAATACTTAGATGCAATCTCTTAAGTGCTTTTAGGGTTCTATTCTAATTAGAACTGAAGTTTTATCTTTGTACTGCGCACTATAAATGCTTGCATTAAAGATCAATATAAGATACCTAGTGATACTCCGATTCTGTTTGAAGAACACCACCAAAAATAAAAATTTTGTTTGGCTCTAAATTTGCGAGATAATTTTTTTGGGATGCAGAATTTATCAGTATTGACTGTGGAGGGACAAGTAACTACACTGATAAAAGCACAGGGCTTTCATGGATATCAGATTCTGGGATGATGAAGCATGGCAAGTCAGTGGAGGTACAAAGTCCAAGTGGAAACAAGGTTCAGTATCAGAGACGCCGAGACTTTCCAATAGACAGCAGAAAATACTGTTATACACTTGGCTCTAAGGAGAGAAGAAGATATCTAGTGCGAGCAACGTTTCAGTATGGTAGCTTGGATGATGGAGACACATACCCTCAGTTTCAGCTTTATTTGGATGCAACCAAATGGGCTACTGTGTCAATATATGATGCCTCAAGAATTTATGTGAAGGAAATGATCTTCAGGGCACCCTCTAACTCTATTGATGTTTGCATGTGCTGTGCTACCACCGGTTCTCCCTTCATATCTACCCTTGAACTAAGGCCCTTGAATCTTTCTATGTATGCCACAGATTTTGAGGGCAGTTTCTTCTTGAAAGTGGCTGCAAGAATTAACTTTGGTGCTTCAAGTGAGGATGTAGTCAGGTCTGATACCCCACTCTTATTTTATTTTCCATTTCTTCCAAAGTTTTTAGCACCAAAATGGGGAGTTTCAAATGTTTGATATGATAGAACAAAAACCAATGGAATCTATGTTTAAAATTTTGCATCACTGTTGGTTTGACTGGAAAAAAGATCAATATATTTGGTGGCATCAGCTTGATTGATTTGTTTGTTTATTAACAAATATTTATCAGGTATCCAGATGATCCATACGATAGAATTTGGGAGTCTGATCTTATTAAAAGACAAAACTATCTTGTTGGGGTGGCCCCAGGCACTGAAAGAATTAACACAACAAAGAAAATAAAAATAGAGACAAGAGAATATCCCCCTGTTAAAGTGATGCAAACTGCAGTTGTTGGCACAAAAGGAGTTCTTAGCTATAGACTAAACCTGGAAGACTTCCCTGGAAATGCTAGAGCCTATGCATATTTTGCAGAGATTGAAGATCTGGCTAAGAATGAAACTAGAAAATTCAAATTGGAGCAACCTTACATAGCTGACTATAGTAATGCAGTGGTGAACATTGCTGAGAATGCCAATGGGAGCTACACTCTTTATGAGCCAAGTTACATGAACGTGAGTCTTGAGTTTGTGCTTTCGTTCTCCTTTGTTCAGACCCGAGATTCTTCTCAGGGACCTCTTCTAAATGCAATGGAAATAAGCAAATACGTGCAAATTGCTTCCAAGACTGTCAGACAAGATTGTAAGTTCTTAATATCAGTTTATATTTGGTAAAATTAATCTTTTCTTGATATTACATCAAATAATTAGTGTTTGATAAAAAAATATTGCATTTCTGTGATGACTGAACAGATTGCTAACCATACTCTTATTTTACAGCAAATTCTGTAAATGCGTTTCTCTTCTTATCCGCTGAAAGTGTCCTGCAGAATGAAGGTGATCCCTGTATTCCAACTCCCTGGGAGTGGGTAAATTGTAGTACAACTACACCTCCAAGAATTACAAAGATGTAACATCTCCATACCTTTTTGTTGATGCTTCTGTTTTATGATACCTTCTAGCTTGTTGAATTGTTATTCTATGAATTAGTCATCTCTGACACAAGTAGTTATGCACACAAGAGTGTTGGATTGCAGAAGTTGGTATTATAGAATGCCAGATACTGAAATAATTATATTTGTAGCACCAATTAAGCAGAAGCATCATTGAAAATTATCATAAAATGTTTCTGTTGTTTGCTTAACATTTTTCCATAGAGAATATTTACTGGAATTTCAAACAGAACAAATACTTACTAATTGTTAAAAGTTGTATCAGAAACCTTTCAAGAAGGAATCTGAAGGGTGAAATCCCATGGGAGCTCAACAACGTGGAATCATTGACAGAGCTGTAAGTAGATCACCTTCAGAATAGAAGTGTTTTTTTGGATGTTGTTTCTTTTGTAATTCATTGATGTTACCTAGGTGGTTAGATGGCAACTTGCTTACAGGACAGCTTCCTGACATGAGCAATCTTATCAATCTAAAGATTGTGTAAGTTCTTTAGTTCACATACAAAATATTTTATGGAAAGTTTGTGGTTGAATTAATATATTGGAAAACACCATTCTATGCTTCTTTTTTCTTAATTTCCTTTTTTTCAACTAATGCAGGCATCTAGAGAACAACAGATTCACTGGTCCATTACCATCTTACTTGGGTAGTTTGCCAAGTTTACAAGCCCTGTACGCAGCACTTAATCATCCATGTTTATCATCTATGCTTTGGGAATTTGAAGCATATTCCTAGTAACATGATTGTTACCCCTCAGAATTTATTAATCATGCTCATATGTGGATCTGTGGCAGGTTCATACAGAATAACTCTTTTAGTGGGGCAATACCATCAGAGTTACTGTCTGGCAAAATAATTTTCAAGTAAGAATCTTCATCAAAAACATAATTTTTTTCTAGTATTAGGTCAATTTAAGTGAAGATGCTAAAAACTCAAATGAATTTGAATTAATATCAGTGTGAATATATTTTATTGCTTTAATACCTAGATTGAAGTAACAGATATTTATTTTTTCTTCCAGCTTTGATGATAATCCCGAACTGCATAAAGGGAACAAGAAGCATTTTCAGTTGATGCTAGGAATTTCTATTGGAGTACTAGTGATTCTATTAATATTATTCTTAACAAGTTTGGTGCTATTGCTTAATCTGCGGAGAAAAACATCTCGACAGAAACGAGATGAAAAGGGTTAGTCCACCAAGCCAAATTTGATACTTCTAAATTGATAAATATGAATTTCTACCTCAAAACATTCTTGTGCTTTACAGGTATTTCTGGACGCTGCAGTACTAAACCTTTAACTGGATACTCATTTGGTCCGGGTGGAAATTTAATGGACGAAGGTACTGCTTACTATATTACACTGTCTGAGTTGACAGAAGCTACTAATAATTTCTCAAAGAAAATTGGCAAAGGAAGCTTTGGATCTGTCTACTATGGGAAAATGAGGGATGGAAAAGAGGTGGCAGTTAAGACTATGACTGATCCATCCAGCTATGGGAACCAGCAATTTGTAAATGAGGTAGCATTTCCATAATTGAATTCTGAATGAGATTTTGTACAGTATAATCGGTCAATTAGTGTCCTACTATAATTTTTAGCTGCATGCATTCAAAAGGATTATGGTTCTTGACTTTCATTAACATAGCATTATCTATGTTAAAGATATAGTAATATCAATGCCCAAACAGCTTAAAAAAATTGAACTAAAAAACTTTCTTAACTCCGTCTCAGGTCTAACTGCAGAAAACCTACATTAGAACACGAGTTTCTTAAATAACTGAGGAGAACTAGAAGAATATGAGAAAACCTTAATTTTCAGCTCATTGATTGTAGAGTCACAAATGCAGGTAGCCCTCTTATCAAGAATTCATCACAGAAACTTGGTTCCTCTGATTGGATATTGTGAAGAAGAATATCAGCATATTCTGGTTTATGAGTATATGCACAATGGCACTTTAAGGGAGTACATTCATGGTCTAATTCCACACCCTCGTGTTCATTTATTTACCTAGTTGTAAAAACTGTCACATGATACAAATTCAAATTCTTTGCCAGAATGTTCGAGCCAGAAGCAATTGGATTGGTTAGCTCGCCTTAGAATTGCAGAAGATGCAGCTAAAGGTTGATTAATGACTAGCTTCTTGGTCGGTCCACAAGTAATTATATCATTTCACTTCCAAGTTAACAGTTATAGAGCGACTTTCTATTTGTAGGTCTTGAATATTTACACACAGGATGCAATCCTAGTATCATTCACCGTGATGTGAAGACAAGCAATATCCTCCTAGACATCAATATGAGAGCAAAAGTGTCAGATTTTGGACTCTCAAGACTTGCTGAAGAAGATTTAACACACATATCAAGTGTTGCAAGGGGAACTGTAGGTTACCTGGATCCTGAGTAAGCCATGGTTCTCATGTGTCTATGATCAACAAAATATCATTTCTCCTTAAAACATGGAGCTCAGGTTTTTTACCCCTTAACAGGTACTATGCAAATCAGCAATTGACTGAAAAGAGTGACGTGTATAGTTTTGGAGTTGTTCTGCTGGAACTGATATCAGGAAAAAAACCTGTATCTTCAGAAGATTATGGTCCCGAAATGAATATTGTTCACTGGGTATGTTAGCCTTTTCTCAACAATCCAAAGTTTAAAAATAGGATCAGCAAAGTTTGCCAAACCAGAAGCTGAAACATGAACATGTGATTATGAATCAATTAGTTTTGGCTAAATACAGTCCTAAGTTTGAAAAGTACGCATTTCTATTGGACCAAATTGTTCTTTTCATCAGTATTTAACTAACAGCATTAAATTTGGCGGCTGATATATCTAATGTGACATGTCATCTTTTCATAGTTTACCACATGTTATCAAGTTAATCAAATTAGTAATGGTAAACTGATACAAAGATAAACTTGGTCCAACAAAACTATTTCAAGGGATCAAAGTGAAATGGTGTTAACTTAAGAGGATAAGCTAAGACCAAAAATAAGATGATGAAACAAAAGCTCATTTTAGGCATTAATTTTGCTAGCAATGTACCTCTTAGAAATGTTGTTAAATACTTTAATGCCAACCCCACATGCAAATTTACGTGTTTTGCAGGTAAGATCCTTAATTCGTAAAGGAGATGTGATAAGCATCATGGATCCTTCCCTTGTGGGGAATGCCAAAACAGAGTCAGTTTGGAGGGTAGTTGAAATCGCCATCCAGTGTGTAGAACAACACGGTGCCTCCAGGCCAAGAATGCAAGAGGTCATTTTGGCCATACAAGATGCTTCTAACATTGAAAAAGGTTCAGAAAGTCAACTTAAGTTATCATCTTCAGGAGGTTCAAAGCCACAGTCTTCACGTAAGACTTTGCTTGCAAGCTTTCTAGAAATTGAGAGTCCTGACTTGTCAAATAGTTGCCTCCCCTCAGCCAGATAACTTTTCTATTTTTCATGATGAGTTTTGTACATTGCTTATCATTGTTTTCTTTTGCCTTTTCTCCATTGTCACACTGCTAATATGTTAATACCCATGACCACTCATTGACTAGTGATGATATAACCTTCAAATCTTAGAACCAACCAAAGAAAATGTATTATTTTGATTTCATTTGGTTATATGTAACAAGGAAAATGCCTTTTTCTGGCAGAGTGCTGAGAACATGACAAGCCCAAAGCAAAATTGAGTAAATAATTACGTTGTTGAAAATCTTACTCTATTCGTTCTTATCCATAATAATATATCACGCGACCAAAGAATAAATTAAAAACTTAAATTTTACAGGTTAAAAATTCCTTTTTTTGGTTACTAAAAAAAATTCATGCGATGATATTTATAGAGTGAAATCTCTGGGTAAAAAATATGCATGGTTTAGAGGAAAAAAATTACTTTAAATTGATTCATTGGAAATGTCTTAACCCAAATCAACTCAATAAATTAACGAGGATTGCGAATTTTCGTCACTAAACAAAAATAGGGAACTAATCCTCACTAAAAAAGTTGTATTGATCTAAATACATTATAAAATAGGAATTAATTTTTACCAAAAAAAATAAAGAAATTAGGAATTGGAATTTTAGATATATTTTCCAAAAGAAACTATTTGGAATTCTAGATTTTTCTAAATCAACCTTCCTTTTTTTTTCTTTTTTTTTTTTGGAAAATAAGAGTGTGCATTTCCTATTTAGGATTTAGGGTACTTTATTTTATAATTCCCAATTGTCACTAATCAATTTCTCCATTTTTGGGCCGAAATTTTTTACATGATTTGAATGGTTTGAATGAGTTGATTACTTAAAAGATTAATTTATTAACAATAATTCTCCTTCGTCGTTGTCAAATTTATTAGCATATTATATAACATATGTTTAGGTTCAATAATCTGTTTTATATATCCCATTGAGGAAGCGTGAATATTATAACTTACTATTCTAATCTTTATTAGAATAAAATAAATTATGAGTGGATTTGACTTTACTTTGTTGGATTATACAGCACATAAACCTAATCTTGGCATCTAAAATAAAATAAAAATGCTATTAATATTCATTGCTAACGTAATGTTTTCTATTTATTGAGCAGCCAAACCATGCGTGTTATACAAAAAGATTAGGATAAGACTCATAATATAAATATTGTATATATGAGAAAATATTTTAAAGATTTTCAAAACCTTTTACTTGGGAAATATTTAAAGAACTTTTTTTTTCAAGATTTGAATTTGGTTGGTTTTTATACATAAAAAATTCTTCATTTTTTTTCAATTTTTATAATTTTTAATTTCTAACATAAATAATATTTATTTTAGCTTTTAAGTTTTTTTGTGTGTGGATCAATAAAACTTAATATATGCATTATTTGGATATCACATGAACTTCTTATGAAAAAAAAATAGTAAAAATATAAAAATATTGATTTTAGATTTTGATATATTAAAAAAATATGCAAGTTGAATAATATTTTACTATTTTCACTGCATAAATCAAACCTTCGGATTAAACGAATTTGATTAGATAATGTCATTTTATTCAAATTTTGAATTATTCATGGAGGAATAGAAAATAGATTTATAATATTTAAATTAAAAATAAGAAAAGAGTAGAATATAGGGTAGAATGGGACAAGGGAAATTTTAGATAAGTTAGCCAGGGGCATTCTAGGACGAGGACAGATAAAGAATAAGAACACAAGTAAACATCCTCAGATTCCTGCCACAAATAGGCACACATTATTTGCTCACAGTTTTTTTTTTTTTTGTAATAATTTGTAATATTGCTTCATTTTTAATTTGATCACGGTTATATTTTAAAAATATTATAAATTTTATTCAATTTTGTATATATCTTATTTTATTTTTTATCTAACATATTCATTTAAAGTATCATTGAGAAATAACTTAATTGATTAAAATATGAAAACAATGTGGAATTGAGAAATAGTACAAAGTTAAAACCTTTTTGAATTCAAAGACTGAAATTGTAAAATTTAAAGAAGAAGACTAAAATTGTGGATAAAAATGGAAGAAGGACAAAAATTAAAAGTGTAACTAATTTTTTATTGTCAATAGAATTTATTGAACAATATGATCTTTGATTTTTTTTATTAAATATTTAATTCATTAATAAATTTGTATTGATTTAAATTACTTGGTCGTTCAATGATTTAAATAACATTTAATTAGATCTTATCTGTTAACTGAATCTTTAAAGAGTTTAAAGCTGTCATAAATTATTGGTTCTTTACAATTTTAAACCACAAAAATTAACGTCAGTAACTTTTTTTAGTTTATAGATTCAATTAGCATTTTTAATTTTTAAATCTATTTTATTTGGTTTACCTTTTTTGTATTCTTCATCTATTAAAAATGTGATTAATATTTGTTTACTTACAAACCCAAGTTGTCTGTTTTCGTTGTGCTTTTGTTTGTGTCGTATATCGTATGATTCTCGTTGTCTCGTAGTCATAATCGTAGGTATGGTGATAATCTCATCATGGGAAAAAACGCAATACTCAACGCAACGCATCGTTTCTGTTACGGCATTCCTTACCTCACCCACCGCAACACCCAAAAACCAAAACCCAACCACACTCTCTTCAACTCGTATCAAATATCCTCTCAAAAGCTTCAAACTTTTGGGACGCAACCCATCAAAAACCCAAGCCCTACTTTTTTTCTTCTCTCAATTCATCACTTCTCTTTCTTAGTTTTCCTTTTTTCGGTGGGGATTAGGATAAGGGTGTTCATCTCAATTCTGATCACTTCTCTCTCTTTCTGTCACCCTGTTGAGTTTTTTCTTTCTTCTGTGCTTCAGCTTTCCACAAAGTAAAGCCAAAGGGAAAGATGGCAATGATTCCGTACCAACTTTCCCGATTACCTTACCACGATTCCCTCAAAGTACTTGAGGCTGATATACAGCACGCCAATGCTTTGTGAGTCTAATATTTCCCCTCCCCTTTAAAATTTCTCACCAATTTATGAACTTTCCTTTTTTAATATGTATGTTTTGGCTACTAGGAAAAAAGTGGGGGTGAAGGGTCTTCTTGTTATTGTTGATTATCGCCTTTAATTGTTTTCTAGTTGGTTAGTTTTATAAAAGGAACATGATCAACTTGTATAAACAGGGTCATTGAATTTGTTACTCATAACAGGAATTTGCTAGTCACTTGTGAATTTTATTGTGATTTTTTATTATTGCCCCCCCTCTGAATTTGGATTGTGTGTTGTGCTGCCCTCTTCTAGGGCTGCTGCAATTCCCAGAGCCAAGGGTGGCACTCTTCTTCAAATGAAATTGGTTTACAATCAATTGGCTCCTCTCTTCCTTTTATTTCTACAATGGATGGATTGTTCTTGTGCAGGCTTTCTCCATAGATATCTCAACCTCTTCCACATAATTATATACAAGGTGTCCATCTCTCTGTCTATTTCTTTCTGTTGATCCTTTTATTTTTACTTTTTTGGACAGTTTGATATGTGATACCCTTGATTCATTTTTTTTTCTTGATGTTGTTGCTTTCATAATTTACCGAAGGTACATAATGATGGTAGATCAAACATGTCTACTCATGGAAGGAAGGCTACCATTGGGGACTTTTATGGTGCGTGAATGTTTGACTTTGGAAAGGAAAAGCTTTTAAACTTTTTTTTTATTTTTTCTTTAATCAAAAGTATAATCCATTTGTGGCTGTCATCCATTGGTGACTATTCCTCACATTTTTTATGTTATCACAAATTGAACTTTTAGCCGTTATATTGCCATCTCTCCAACGCCTTCATGGTAGTTTGGAGAAGTTGGAGGTTGTTGAAGAAGGGCAATCAAGCATAGAAAGTTCAAGTTATGGCAAGAAGGTGACTGAAGCAAGTGGGAGACTAACCAATGTTGATTTGCAAAGAGAAGATGAATGTGGGATTTGCTTAGAGCCTTGCACCAAAATGGTTTTACCTGGCTGTTGCCATGCCATGTGTATTAAATGCTACCGCAAGTGGTAATCAAAATATTTCTTCATATCCCATATGATCATTTTTCAAATTTTTATGCCATTACCAACGGTTTCTCATTTTTGACACTTGTGCTGGACTTGTTCATCTTGCAGGAACAGAAAGTCAGAGTCTTGTCCTTTTTGTAGAGGTAGCTTGAGGAGAGTTAACTCAGAGGATCTATGGGTACTAACCTGTGATGATGATGTTGTTGACCCTGAAACAGTTTCTAAGGAGGACTTGTTGCGTTTTTACCTCTACATCAGCAAGCTGCCTAAAGATCACCCAGATGCTCTTTTCTTGATGTATTATGAATACCTCATTTAATCCTCCATTGAATCAGAAGAACAAAACAAAAAAAAAAGTGTACAGATAGGAAATTTCGGACTGCAAATGTGAATAGAGTCTGTTTCAAAAAGAAAATACTCTGGTAGTCTAATCACAGTTGTTCTAGATATTTCTGGTTTTTTGGCCCAGAAAAACCATTCTTCTTACTCCTGTGATATATCTCCATTGTAGACGTTGTTCTTGCAATTAACTTGGAATCCATTGTATGAAGGATCCATCAAGCTAAATCTTCTTGTATGTTACTTGTTGCCACACACTGATGTTGAGAAAATGATTCTGTTCTGTTTGATTGTATTGTATTATGTTGGACATGTTTACGTGTGCAAAATCATCAAGAGGAAAATATAATTAATGGCAAAGTATGTTCATAGTTTCTCAAAAATTTATAAAGTTCCATTTTAGTTTCTCTATTTTTGAAATGAATTACATTTTAATTTTAGTCCAGTTTGAAGAAAAGTTATTAGATAACACTTAAAAGAGATAAAAAATTATCAAAAATGAATAAAAAAGAACTAGAGAGGTTAAACTAAATTTTAAAGATTAGAGACGTTAAACTATATTTTATTTATTAATTGAATGATGTGAAAGAGTAGCATGAATTTTTATGAATTGAAATTTAGAAATATGTGTTAAAAATTATGAAAATACGTTTTCCACTTTGATTAAGACATAACCTAAACTGGCAGATTAGGTTGAGTTGTAGAATAAAGACAGTATAACTTGATTATATGTTTGACATTATGTCTTGGTTCATAAACTAATTATCTTTAAAAGCTTAAGCATTTAGGTGAGGAAAGTGAGTGAATGCTTTTATATGCAATGACGTGTTGTCTTTGAATTTTGCACAGAAGTTTGAATCAATAGTTATGTTCTGCATTAATACAAACTTTTTCTTTTCTTTTTTCCATTTTAACTTCACCTGCCCCGTTTTCAAGTGATGTAGACTTTTTATACGAATTTGTACCTTCATTTTCTGGGTTTCAACTTAATCTCTATTTGTAAATGATTGTAATAGAATATATATGAATATGATAGGGAGGCAAACCCTTTTTTATTATTATTATTATTATTATTATTATAAAATTGACTTAAATTATTGTTTGATAATATTTTATATCAATAATTTTCAACAAGTATTGCATACCAGTCAATCCAATCCATTGAAAGCAGAGACAAGACCTGTTTCAAAAAGCAAAAAAAAAAAAAAATGAAAATAAAGAGATGCAAAGTCAAAAGAAATTGTGTATCAATAAATGACAGGGAACAAACACAGTCTTGCCCCAACTAAACGCTTCTTAAATTTACATTTAAAATTAGAGCAATGATATTCAATCAAATGAAAAAAATACATTTTTAGATAATCATCTTATATTAATATAATATATAATAAATAAATCTATGATTCAAAATAAAGATATATAATCGTTTATAGTTTTTTTTTATTCTTACAATTATGTATACGTGTTAGTTTCAAGAAATATAAAAATTATATTTATATGAAAAAGAAAAAGTTGTTTCAAAAATAATAAATAAATAAATAAATAAATAAAATTTAAATAATTGTTTTTATATATTTATTATGAAAAAATAAAAAAAGTTTAAAATGTTATTTTATTGCATTTTTCTCTTATATTTCATCAAATATAAATTAAAAGTAAAAAATAAGACTCAATAGATTATTCATTTTTCTATACCAGTAATTTTTTTCTATAAAAAACAAATTCATAACGAATAAACGTTGATTAATAATCTTAGTTATTATTTTCGTCTAAATCACCTTTTTCTTTATAATTTTTCATCCTAACCTAACGAATCAATGTTAATTAATAATCATAATTAAGGACACATTTAAGAATTATGATTTTGAAAGACAGCTTTTTATAAATATCACTACCATCAAATAATTCTAAGAAAAATATTGAAATTTGTCAAGATTTATTTCTTTTTCTACTGATCACTAAATTTATATATCTAAATATTAAAAAAAAATCTTACTACATAAATTCATTAAAATGGAATTACCAAAAATCTGATAAATCATAAATTTTTTACGTATTTTTTAAAAAATGAAAAATTGTTTTATCTTAAAGTAACATTTTAAAATCCCATTTCAATACACTGCTTTACTAACACACAAAAATTGTAATGAAAAGAAAAAACAATTATAATTCGTAGAAAATAAGAAAGTGACGTCCGAGCTCTTCCAAATCCAAATGATCCGACGGAAAAAATCCCTAAAAAAATAGGAGGAAGGTCAACGACGAGTCTCGCAACGTTGCCGTTTACCACATACCAGTTTCAGGATCATATAATAACCAAATAAATATTATTAAAATAAAATCTTCTTCTAAATTTGAGTATTTTTCTTACAATCCGAAATTCCTCGTCTTAACAGATACCATTTACAGTTTCTTTGGCTTTCACTCTCCTATTTCAGGTTTTTCAAGTCAATTTCATCTTAGGGTTTCTGTCAGAATAAATACTCTAGCTCGTTTGCTTGCTTTTAGATTGAATAGATTTGATTTTGGATATAATTGGTTTGATTTATTTATTTACTTGTTTATTTTAAGTTATCATTTGTCTATTGTAATTTTATTGAAGGAAACAGAAATTGCAGATCCAAATCTCGTTTAGGAGTGAGGAAATTGAATGTTGAGATGTCTGAGAATCACGTAGCGGAGCAGCTTTCGGAAGTGGATTCGGGTCGTGGTGTGGTTGTGGATACCGAATCAAACACTGGTACAAATCAAGATCAGGTACTTATTGGTTACCAATTCTTAATTCCCTAAGCTACGAAAGGGCAATGACGAATACTGATGCTTTTGGATCAATGTGAGTGAAGCAGGGAGAACCTGAAGATGAAAAGTCTACAGAGGATACTGCCAGGGATGACATGTTTGTTGATTGTCCCGATGAGTTAACTGGGCAAAAGGAGGAAGAACTTGCAACTGCTAGAAATGAAGATGTGGGATCGCAGGAAAATGAAGATATGCATCAGCAGCAGAGACATTTTGTTGAAATGGGCAATGGAATGGGGGATGCTCACTCCCCAGACCAGCTGGAGAAAGCTGATACTGAGAACGAACGGGTCTTGCAGGAATACCAGGTTTGTTGTTTGTATTAAGAGTAGTTTTTTAGCTAGCACAGATTGAATTTTGATGTCAAGTACTCATTATTTCCTTTATGGGTTGGGCAGGATGAAAGACAAACTGTTGCACAGGGACTGCTTGATCTTCATCGGCAGCTAAAGACTCTCACTGGCAAAGTTAATGAAGGTGAAATCAGAGATAGGGAAGTGACTGATGTTCCTGTGAGGGAGATGATAAAAGAGTGTTTGGAGTTTGTGAGTACTGCTTCAGAAGAACGGTCAAACAGTGAAACCACTATAAGTAATCTTCGCGAACATCTGTCTAGCAGGGACCGTGAGATAGAGGATCTTAATGCAAAGGTTGCTCAGTTAGTGGTATCTAATAACAGTTTTCAGGTTTCCTCTGAAGCTCAACTTGGAAAGGATCGTAATGTAGAGATTTTGATAGATAAGACGATATCCTCTCTTGCAACAGTTGTTACTCAAGAACAAGTATTGGATGATTCTATTAGTGGGAAAATAGTTTATATCGAGGAAGGCACTATGCATTTAATTGGAATGTATAATCAGATTCTTTCCGATGTTTATCAACTCAGGCAATTTTTCTCCGAGGTAAGTGTGGATACTAAAGAGCAGGAATATGGAAACATACTTGCTGATGTTCATGGTGGGTTACTGGAGCTCAAAAGAAGGGAAACGGATTTGGTTGAAAAACTGGCTCAGTTAGAAGATGAAAACCGGAAAGTGGTTGATGAGCTTGATAAGGAAAAGGTGATGATAGGGGCATTAAATACTGAACTAGGAAATCTGAAAATAGAACTTGAGCAGGAAAAGGTTAAATGTGCTAATACAAAAGAAAAGCTTAGTATGGCTGTGACAAAAGGAAAGGCATTAGTACAGCAGCGAGATTCGTTAAAGAAGTCTCTGGCTGATAAATCCAGTGAGCTTGAGAAATGTTTGATTGAATTGCAAGAGAAGTCAGTTGCAATCCAAACTGCTGAACTTGCTAAGGAGGAGTTGGCCTATAGTGAAAATATGGTTGCATCCCTACAGAACTTGTTATTAGAAAAGAATGCAATTTTTGATCAAGTGCAAGAAATCTTGTGTGATGCCAAACCTGATGAACCTGGAATGTTTGATGTGCCAGAGAAACTCAGATGGCTTGTGGATGAGAGAAATACACTGAAGGAAGCCTTCATAGAGTTATGCAAGTTGAAGGAAGCTCTATCTCTAGTGGACCTACCAGAGCCTGTTTCATCATATGATATGGAATCACAAATGAATTGGCTTGTGGATTCTTTTCTTAGGGCCCGGGACCACATGGATACTCTACAGGAAGAAAATTCTGCTGTCCAGGAAGCATCACGTAACAATATTGATCAATTAAGTGTTTCTCTTTTGCTGGAATTGCAGGAAAAAGATTACCTTCTGTCAGAGTTAACAGATTTGAGGTTCAAATATGACAAACTTGTCGGCAAGAACTCTCAGATTTCTTTGGAGAAGGATCATATAGTCAATATGTTAGTTGATCTTTGTGGCCTGAACAAGGAAGATGAAGGGATTGACTCTTCCAACACTTCTGTGATCATTGACTTATGCTTTCAAATTATAAAAGGTCAGAGTGGTCCCTCTAGAGCATCTGTTATTGATGCTGAGTTGTTTGAAAAGATTCAAAGTCTCTTGTATGTTCGAGATCAGGGATTAATACTCTATGAAGATATACTGGAAGAGGAGATGCTAATTAGATCAGGTATGAATAAGCTTTCAAATGAATTGAAAGTGGCATGTGAGGAAATTGTAACACTGAAAGAAGAAAGGAGTTCTCTCCTGCAAGATCTTGATCGATCAGAGGAAAAGACTGCCATGCTTAGGGATAAATTGTCCATGGCAGTTAAGAAAGGAAAGGGGCTGGTTCAAGATAGGGACAATCTAAAAGGTCTTCTAAATGAAAGGAACTCAGAGATTGAGCAGTTGAAGGTTGGATTGCAGAAGCAAGAATCTGCTGTTTCTGAATACAGGGATGAGATCAACAGATTGTCCAGTGATGTGGAAAGCATCCCAAAGCTGGAGGCTGATCTTCTGGAAATGAAAAAGGAGAGGAATCAGTTAGAACATTTCTTAATGGAGAGCAATAACATGTTACAGAAAGTGATGGAGTGTATTGATGGCATCACTCTTCTAGTTGTTGAGCCCGTTTTTGATGAACCAATAGAAAAGGTGAAGTGGCTTGCTGGTTATGTCAGTGAATGCCAAGATGCTAAGGTACACTTAGAAAAAGAGTTGCAGCTAGTGAAGGAGAAAGCCAGTATACTTGAAATTAAAGTAGCTGAATTCCAAGCCACTGTAAAATCCCTTGAACAGGAATTATCATCTTCAGATGACAGTCTTTCTCAACTTGCTGAAGAAAAAACAGAATTAGAACGTGGGAAGGCAAAAATTGAGGAAGAGTTACAGAAAGTTAAAGAAAAAGTTGCTGAAGGTTGTAGTACTAATAAGTCACTTGAAGATGCCTTATCAGAAGCAGAAAAAGAAATTTCTATTCTTTCCGAAGAGAAAGAGCAGGCTCAAGTTAGCAGAGTTGCTGCAGAGAGAGAGTTAGAGACTCTTAAAGATGAAGCAGTCAGTCAAACAAGCAAACTGGTAGAGGCCAGCAGGAACATAAAGGATCTAGAAGATAAACTGTATCAGGTTGAGGATACTAATAAGATACTTGAAGATGCGTTATCACAAGCAGACAAAGATATTTCTATTCTTTCCGAAGAGAAAGAGCAGGCTCAAGTTAGCAGAGTAGCTGCAGAGAGAGTTTTAGAGAGTTTTAAAGATGAAGCAGCCAGTCGAACAAGCAAACTGGAAGAGGCCAGCAGGACCATAAAGGATCTAGAAGATAAACTATCTCAGGTTGAGGGTAATGTCAATTTATTGACTGAAAAGTATAATGCTGATCAAGTTGTCAAGATTGACATGGAAAATGAATTGAAGAAGCTGCAAGATGAAGCTGGAAATTATGCTAACAAATTGGTAGGTGCCTCTGAAACTATAAAATCACTGGAGGATGCATTATCGAAGGCACAGGATGATATTTCTGCCTTAGAATATTCAAATAAAATTGCGAAGCAGGAGATATCTTCACTTGATTTGAAGTTAAATTCATGCATGGACGAGTTAGCTGGAAAGAATGAAAGCTTAGAAAACAGGTCCTTACAGCTCATTGGACTCCTTAATGATCTTCAAGTGCTCATGAAAGACACGACTCTATTTACCAGAATAAAACAATGCTTTGAGGCGAAATGTGAGACCATGAGGAATATGAATCTCATTCTCAACAAAATAAGAGATAATGTTGCCTTGACTGCAAAGGACTCCAAGGGACAGCTAGTGATGGAGGTAATATTGTTACCAACCTCTTATGGTGGTTATTATTTTCTTCTATTCCATTCTTTAAATACTTATTTAACCTGTGCGTATATGCTGTCCATGTCATCTGACCAGGGACATATATATATCACATATAATTGAAAAAAATTAATTGTGATTAATGTATGGTGTATGTACTGATTAGAAAATTACACAGGGCTTTTGATATCAAATGTGTTGTTTCGAATCTTTTCATCCTGTTAAATCATTCTCTATGTGTATTGGTGTTTTTGTTTTGTTATTATGGTTTTGTCTATGATTTTTTTCCTTAATGTTTTGTTTGTTTCAGGAAAATCCACTAATGCAAAAAACATTATTGGATGGCCCTGAAAATTTTAAAGTTGAACTGGACAATACAGAGATTGATGGTGCTGATATTGACAGCATAATCTCATCATTTGGAAAGATTGTGAAAGCATTTCAGTTGAGCAACAAACACATTGCAGATAAGTTTGATGAATTTTCAGATTGTATGGATGAGTTTATTTCTCCTCTCCATGAGAAACTATTGGAAACAGAGACCATCTCATTGACTATTGTTCAGAAAATGGAAATTATGAAAGAAGAAGCAAATACCATGGAAAGGTTGAAAGAAGAACAGGAAAATATTATTGCCACTTTAGAAAACAATGTCAGTGTGTTGCTATCTGCATGCACTGATTCTACCGTTGCACTTCAGAGTGAAGTTGACAAGAATCTTGGGCAGCCAGATTCCATTTTTGAGGTTGAAAAGTTAAACCTTGAAGCAGGTGCACAAGCAGAACATCATAGGAACAGTAAATATGTGGAGGCCACACATAAGTTGATTAATGCTTCTAGAAAAGCTCAAACTTTGATTAGACAGTTTGAATGTAGAAGTAAGCAGTTAGATGCAACAATTGAAGATTTACAGAATAAATTGAAAGAAACAACAGTTGCTTTTGAATTAGTCGCAGATGAGAGAGACTCATATAAAAACATAGTTTCACGACTGGAATCTGATATTCAATCACTGCAAAGTGCTTGCAGTGAGCTTAAGGATAAGTTGGAGAGTTTTCATGCCCAAGAAGAAAAATTGGAGGAAAAAGAGGCTGAGATTTCATCGATGCACAATGCTTTGTTGGCAAAAGAAGGTAAAGAAATTTGAAAATTTTCTTGACTGAACCATATTTAATTTCATATGCTTATTTAATTTCATATCTTCCTTTTCCATTGGCAGAAAACTCCCTCCTTACATCATCTCAAATGAGAGAGCTCTTTGACAAGATAGATATGACCAAAATCCCTATTGTAGAGGCTGAAGAAGATGACTTGGAGCTACAGACTTCAGCCCCTATGAAAAAACTCCTCTACATAATTGATAGTGTTACTAGGTTGCATAATCAATTAAACTCTCTGTCTCATGATAAAGAAAATCTGCAGTCAATTCTTGAAACGAAGGATCTTGAAATTAAGGATATGAAGGAGGAAGTTAAACAGCTCAATAGAAACTGCGAAGATGCAAAAATCATTAAGAATGAATTGTCTGAGCTCACCTATGTATTAGAAAAAATTATGAATATTTCGGGAGCCGATGAATGGGCTGTAGATAGGAAATCTAAAGGTTTGAAGGAATTAATTCCAGCACTGGAAAAACATATAATTGCCATTCTTTCAGAATCTGATAATTCAAAATCCAAGGCCCAAGAACTTGATATTAAGTTAGTTGGAAGTCAAAAGGTTATTGATGAATTAACAACCAAGGTTAAATTACTTGAAGATTCACTCCAGGATAGGAGGACTTCTCAGCCAGACATTGTCCTGGACAGGAGCATATATGAAGCATCCTCATTACCTACTGGGACCGAGATAACTGAAGTTGAAGAGGTGGTCAATTTTAACCTTGTTAAGCTTATAGTTCTTACATGATGTGATATTAGAAGTGGATCTGCGGGGATATATAAGTTCAAATGTTTTAAAGACTCATTAAAAACATTTTCTGTGAGTCTTTTCCTGACATAATATATATGGTTTCATGTGTCTTTAGTTAATACTTGTCTTTGTCTTTAAGAATTGCTTATGAAATATGGCAAGTAGATATGTCTATCTACCGGTGCCATATTTATTTATTTTCTTGAACTTAATACAGATGAACTTGGAATAGTGTGCTTTGAACGGTTATTGTCCCGGTTTACACATTGGAACTTCATTTGATTTCTGCTTGACCATATCTTGTTTTTTTCTTTTATCAATTCATTAAGATTATGATGCATTCTCAAATTATGTGTTAAAGTGATTAAGGGAAATTCATATGCTAAGTGTTTGCTTCTTTACACAGGGTCCATCACGTGGCAAGAACGCAACATCTCCTGTGCCATCAGCTGCTCACGTGCGGAATATGCGAAAAGGATCTACTGACCATCTTGCACTTGATATTAGTTTGGAGTCTGATAGTTTGATTAACAAGGCGGACACGGATGAGGATAAAGGTAATTATGAGTTTCTCATTATCATGAACTGCTTGATTGGAAAATTTGAAGACTTAATTGTTGGTTCCTTTGCAGGTCATGTATTCAAGTCTCTGAACACTACTGGATTTGTACCAAAACAGGGAAAGCTCATTGCAGATCGTATTGATGGACTCTGGTAAAATTGCTATTTTCTTTTACTTTTTTTAACCAATGGTAAAGGAAGAATATTTATTTGAAACTGCCTGTGTCAGCTTTTTAGCATGAAAGAATCTTAGAATTTTGATGGTAAAATTGATGGCTGTGGCGTTGAATGTTGAAAGCAGTAGACCTAAAATGTTAAAACGCTACGCTGGGTTGAGAAACACGCCCAGAATATGCTAAAGATCCATGGTTTGGATAGCCTTAAATGAAGCATGTACTACTGTTAAAATGGTTTCCTTCTATAGGAAAAAAAAGAAGTAAATGCTACATATATTTGGAGTTATTTAGAGAAAAAAGTTACCTTTCTTACAGTATCAAATTCAAATCACTCAACTATACACCATGACATTTTCTTTGGAAGAAATGAATTAAAAATTTGTTCAAAAACTCAAGTTGAAATTGATTTGTTGGCGTTGTTTAGTTTGTTTAAGGATAACTTAACAAGGGGGCAATTAATTGTATTCAGTAGCACTATGGCAACTACTTTTAAATAAAATCATTAAATGATATTTAGTAAATTCATCCATATCTCTATTATATTAATAGTGCCTTTTAATTGAACTTTATACATTAAATGAAAAGATTTTCAGAACTACAAATTCAATTATTTTATTATTTACCACTAATACAAGTCGATTTTTACTGTTGCAAATTTCCATTTATTTTTAATTATATAAAAACACTCATAAATAGGAATTTGATTTCCTTGTGCAGGGTATCTGGGGGTCGAGTTCTCATGAGTCGTCCTAGAGCAAGATTAGGACTTATTGGTTATTGGCTTATCTTGCATATATGGCTGCTGGGGACGATCTTGTAGAAAAGTTGTGATCAAACCTACCTCGACTGCTCAACATGGAATGTCCCGCGTCTGCAAGTTGTATAATAGATATAAAATTGTCTCCTTTTATTCATGCCTTTCTTTTTGCTTCTTAATGAAGCCTAACCTGTTTTTCCCTAGCCTCGTCAAATCCACTATTTGTTCTCTGCATCACATTTTAGGGATTCAGAGATTCTGGTCTTCAATGTCTGGGCTCATTTTTTTGACAACATTTTTAGAAAAAAACGAAGCCCCTCCATTGTATTGGCCTACAATTGTTTCAATATTTATGTATGTGGTGGGTAGAAAGTAGGTACATGATTTTTTGTGCATGCCAATGTAATAAAATGTAGAAATATTTTGAAGGTGATTCATTTATATCTCAAGCAGTGGATGAGAATGAAGATACAAAGACCAATTGAAGGATAACTCTTTTCTCTCTATATGAAGAAAAATTCAAATCTGTGATTTTGGATGTTGTTTTCAGTTTATGCGTAGCCATCTAAATTTATTTATTCTATATAGTTAACTGTTATTATGCAACGGAAACAGCCTATCAAAATAATAATAATAATAATAATAATAATAATAATAATAATATTAATTGTTTATATAAATCTTATTATATACAGATGATTAAGATTAAGAGATCATCAGAGAAAAAGGTTAAAGATATTTATGTTTTAATTTTAATCTTTTTAAATAATCTGGAATAATCAATGTTTATCAGTCTTATTTTTTAAAAGTATTTTTAACTGATATAAATCACTGGCATTTCGGACAAGTTATTAGTTGACATATTTCTCTTCGTAGTTTGTTATGCATTTATTTATATTCCTGAATTTATAGTTTTACTGAATGTTACAAAACTTCGTTCGTATAGCTTCAGTATGCATGATCATTTTGTAAGATTTCGATTTTTTTTTATACATAAAACAAAATATTAAATTACAAAGGACTAAGAAAAGAAAGAAACGTCCAATGTTTTAGCTCTGCCAACCATATTTTACTATCTTTAGAAAAATGACAAAGTAAACAATATTTTAATGTTATAAACAAAAAAAAAAAAGAGTCAAAGTTATGACAGCTCAAATTTACGTTTTTGTTTGTTGTTCTAATATATATATACCGTAAATAGTTAATTGTTATTTAGTAACGGAAACAAGTGATGGGAAAAGGACACAACATTTGGTCTGTGTGTGCTATTATTGTTAACAAACAAATGTACAGAATTAAATAAAGCGTGTTTTGAATGAGTTGGCTACGCAAACCCTACAGCTAATTTTCGTTTCACTTCGTTCCATCTCCCTCTTTAGCTTTTATAAAATGATATGCATTCCAATCTTTTCGCATTCAATTTCACTTCTTCCCTTTCCCCTCATCTTCTTAGCTTCTGTTCATTTTCCTCAACATTTCTGGTTTGTTGAATATAACAACCTTCAATCCCATGGCCTCGGTATGATTTCTTCTTCTTCTCCACCACCACCTTCTCAATTACTATGCATTGCATTTGCATGTCGCCTTTTTCTTCTTTTTTTTTTTTTCCTTATGTCATTTCTAACATTTAGATTCTCTTCTTTTCTTTAAGAACAAAATAGCTTGTCACAAATGATTAATCAATCAATGATGCCATGCAAATGTTTGGATATAATTTAGCTGGATTCAATAAATGATAGATTATCTGATCAAATGAAGAAGTAAGAATCAAATTTGTCCATAACCATTTTCTTTTCTTTTATAGAAACTACTTTTTATGTGAAAAATTTCTATATCTATTGTTCTCTTTGTTGCCAAAAGATTATGTGCACGATGCAATCGCAAAAGCTTTGACCAATTAATCATTTGTTTGGGACATATTAGTTATATTCACATATTTGTACATGCAGTATGATGAACAACAAGGAAAGCCTTTACCCAAATTTGGGGAATGGGATGTGAACGATCCTGCTTCAGCCGAAGGATTCACTGTTATATTCAACAAAGCCAGAGATGAAAAGAAAATTGCCTCAGTTTCAGGACGATTCCCTTCTCAGCGAAGACTTGATTCTCGAAAGCGCAAGAATCATAAAAAGATCAAGAGTTCCTCTAACTCAAAGGTAAATTCATTCGTAACTCGTTCCTAAACCTTCTTAATATTACACTATTGTTTAAAACTACGATTAAGAATGACCAGCTTTTTATAGCCTCAAGTCACATACCCGAATTTTTTTAATTTACATGAAAAATTTGATAAAATTCAATGACTTGGATGATGTTCAATTATTTGAGATCTGTGTTGTGAATGGTTTTGTGGTGCAGAAAAAATGGTTTTGCTTTGGCGCTTAGAGAAGGACAAGAAGATGTTTCCTGGAAGAAGTGTTGATTCAAAAACTACCATATTATCATTTTATTTCCTTATGAAGTAAATAATGCAGCCTGCTCATCTCTTGGTTTAATTGTTTCATGTATTGTGTGCTTTTTATAAAATGCAGCATACATTTAAATACATGAATCAATGTCAAATCTTTTTTTTGCACATTAATACAATATAATGTAACACAAAATGGGATTCTGTTTATTTATTATTTCCATTAAAATCATATTCCATTTTGACCATGTTGGTTGAAAAGTTGAGAGTGATGATGCAATTTGATCTTCATTTGGATCAACTTATATTGTTGTTAATTACATAATGAACACGTGTGCTTCTACCAGAAGCATGATATATTTTTCTTATTTTTTCACACTATTCAACTTTTGCTAATGTAATTCTTGGAATAGTTCTTTATAACAATGGTTTCTAACGATAATTAATACCAAACTAATTATTTGAAGAAGTGCATGTTTTAACGTTTTTAAAAGATATTTTCTGTTATAACAATAATTCAAATTTTTTTCTCTTTTCATTAAAATTATTTGAAAGAATAATATAAAAATTCAATTATTTTGAAGAAATAAATACAACTTTTTAACTATCTTAACACTCTCACGATAAAAGAATTTATTTATTTTTTTAGTAATTTACAATTTTTTTATGCGTACACCGATTAACATAATTTTAGTTAAAATATTAATTATTCAGCTGAATTGGACGTCTAATAAAATAACCCTTTCAAATTCAACAAAAGTGAGTGAGTTAACCTTGATTTAGACTCTTTTTTTTTAATTAAGAAATAAACATCTTGCTATTTGCCAACTAATTACTCTTTAATTAAGAAATATTAAATGCATTCTAATAACCACTCCTAATCTCCTGTGTATTTAAATAATATTTATATTCACTGTAAAAATAACCTTGTAATAATCAATAATATTTTTTTAGGAAAAGAATTTATCTACATGTATTAGTATAGTGTATTTTATGATAATTATCATAAATTTCAAAAATGATAAAAATTGAAGAAGTTTGAAAGGTAAGATAGATCGTGGATGAAGGAAGGAAGGCTAATAACTTTTTATTATTATTAACAATTAATATTTATCTATTACAAAAAATTATAATTCTCGTGCAAAATTATCAGCGGTAACGTGTCTGACATTTTTAATAAAAAAAAAAAACACTTTTTTTAACCCATAATTGTAATATTAATTATGAGAGTGTAGGGTTCTGTACGAAGATTTGGTAAGAGATTGGCTTTATGATTTCCGTACTAGTCAAGGTCTTTACTTTGATTGGGATTTGTTAAATAAAAGAACAATTCTTGAAAACACTGTCGTAGATATCTTGGGAAATTCCGAAGCAAGCAAATTGTGGTGAAACAAATATCACGTGGAAGTAAGGACTATGTTGACTGCATAATTTACGAGGAACAGAACAGAACAGGAAAGTGCAAGGATCGATTCAATGCCACTGTTTGAACTCTGAACTATGAATCTGTAGATTGTAACTACCAAATGAAATCAGAATGGCAAGCTGTGCTGCCAAAGGAGGTTGCCCCACTGACTACATAGCCATTGCTGTGTCCATTCTTTCCTTCACTGTGTAAGTTTCTCTCTTTGCCCCTATCCATGTTATGGGTCATTCTTATTGTGCCAAATTGGTCACTATACCTGTTTGATCTTATGACCCTAAGAGTTTTGAGCCCTGGTTAACTAGTTATAATCTTATACGTATTTATATACCCTTTTGGTTTCGCAACATGCCCATACCTGATCTGCTTATTGATTGAGGTTGTTTCCTTGGTGGGGCTGTATTTGTTGATTCATGTGATTCCTGAGTTGGTTGATTTAGTTTTTTCTTAATATTGTTTCGAAATGATATATGTAAAGACTATAATTACTTTTAGAGTAAAAAATAAAATCAGTTCTCCAAAAACTAAAATTGGTTTACGAACACAAGTTAAAATTAAGAATTTAGAGAATTTTTGCAAAAAAAACTTCCAGAAATTAGCTTATTTATGAGTTAATTTTAGATTATAAAGAAACTCTTTATTTTATTTTTCTCGTCTGAAAATGCTAATAGAAAAATTTTATGTATACAGATGACATTTGCTTTCTTATGCATATGCTGTTGGTTGGCTTCTATCTTTCAGGCTTCTCTTATGGTCCATAATTCCCTTCATAGTTCACAAGGTTCCTCGTACCAAAGGCAGTGGCTTCTGGATACCTGTAATTCAAGTTGTTGCCAGCTTCATCCTTCTTCTATCGCTTGTGGTAGAAATAAGTTCTTTATGTCGATGTCATTTATTTTCTGTTACAACTTCAAAAATCCCAATTTTTCTAGTTGTTTAGTGTTACTGCAGTATCAACTCAGCATTGCCTTTTTCTCAAGCTAAGTGATCGTATATTTGTTTTTTATGCAGATATCGAATAATTACTTGAAACTTGGAGATAGACATTGGTGGCGGTCATGCTACCTATGGGGAGGTTATCCTTCTTTTTGCCATATTTTCTGACTTGTTTATGCTTATGTATTGAAAAGAGGAACACTTGTTATCATAATCATGTTTTTCCTGTTTATTTTCAGTCTGGGGTGAAGGTCCACTAGGGTTTGGGTTACTCTTCAGCTGTCGCATTACACAGGCTTCACAATTATATTTTATCTTTGTGAAGTAAGTGACAGCTTGATATTGGTTTTGTTTGGGCACATTGTTGCAAGTTCCTGACTCTCTACTCTACCTCTTAACCATTAAAGTCAAAAAGATGGCTTTAGGATGCATTTGGATAAACAACTTAATTACGTGCTTATTGGATAAGTATTTATCTTGTTAACACTTATGATAAGATTTTTTGTAATCAAAGGAGGATATATGATTAAACTCTTTTTCTATAAATTGTAAGCTATTTTCATGAGTGGTCATAGAGATTGGAGAGCTTATTGAAATAAACTGAACAACTTATGGACAAATCATGAGCTATGGATAACCTTTTCCAAAACACTTTTAGGAGAAAAATTTAGTTTTTTCATAAACTAAAATTAGCTTAAGCATAAGCTAAATTTGGAGAAGATTTCTCGTATTAGATTAGTTCTTCTAAAAGATAAAATTGAGACTATTCATAAGCTAATTTTAGGTTATGGAGTTGTTTGTCATTTTTCCTTCTTAATTTCTCCTAAAAATACTTATAAAGAAGTTTATTTGAATAGACTATTTGTCAATAAGCTTGTTAAACACTTATACAAGTTCTTATGCATAAGATAAAACCAAATAAACTGTAAATACCATAACCACCCTAATGTCCATGATGGATAGCTTAAAGCAGTTAGTGTGTATTTTCTACAGCCACAATACGTAGCAACCAACCTGTTGAATGTATCATCATAACATTCTGTTTGTCTGTTTGATTTTCACTGGTGAAACTATTATTCACTTGATCTCATGGAGACTTGTGAATTTTTACCGATGTGGTTATATGTAGGCAAGGCATTATTGCTCATAATTAATTAGCACATTGCCTGTTACTTCAAGATGCTATAATTTTATTTTTTTATTGTTGATACTTCTTCTTTGGTTTTCACTGCAATTCTTAACCGGTGCTAAAAGAGTTATCATCTGGTTATGACTTGAGTGTTTAATTTCCTGTTTTATTGATCTTTCAGGAGACGTTTACCACTGATAAGATCATATATTTTTCTTCCACTTATTCTACTTCCCTGGATTGCTGGTGCTGCTGGTATGAATCTGAATTAGAATTTACTTATTGCTGTAGTTTTTGGAATTAACTACTGGAAGTATAGGTAGCAGGTGTAATTCTTTCACTTCCGTCCATAGAATTTCATTTTTTTATCTCCTTGTATCTAATATTTCAAAATTTTGCTTGACTTTGTCTCTTCAGTTGACATAGTTATTTTATTTTAAGTGTTTCTGCTTTGTGTCCATGATTTTCTCAACATCTTGTGGAGTTTATGGAAATGATTACCAGAACCCACTCCCCTTTCTTTCCCCAATCCTGTCTCTTTTGTTTACTTTCTTTCTACTATTTATTTCTAATAAAACTATTCATTAATTCTCTAGTTATCCATTGGATGAAGCCTCTAAGCAGTCGCTGCCACATGAGAGCTCAATGGACCATCCCAGTTATAAGCCTTCATTCATTGTATATTGCTATTTTGGTTGGGGTTACAACTGCTGTTCATCACATAGAGTTCAGGTTTGATGAACTCAAAGATCTCTGGCGGGGAATACTTGTATCAGCTGTGTCCATTGGTACACCTTTTCCTAGATTTTATAAGAAAAACTCCTTTATTTCTCTATTTATTTTGAAGTTCCTAGCTTCCTAGTAACCTGTTCTCTAAGGCTGTTACTAAGGTGATGAATTAACTTAGGTTTCTTCTGTTTTCAGAAAAAAAAAAAAAAAAAGAAAAATCCTGTCTAATATAAATGTGTGACATGTAAAGAAAAATCTGATGCCAAAATTCATCTTAACTAAGTAACGCATATTTGCAAATGTTACATATATCGCATAAGCTAGTGTGCTCAGACAATATATCCACTTCTTTATTAATTAAGAGATTACAAAGTTTGTAGACTCTTAATTAACCACGATTTTTTAATCACATTTAACTATGGCTTTCTGAGCTAAAAACCACCTATTCATTTTGCATTGCCTAGTCCTATATCCACTTATTTATTTTCAAACTATAGTTATCAAATATGAGCTTGCATATTTTCTGGATGGCTTTTCTCGGTGGTCTCTATAATTTATCTTTTACTCTTTTTATTCTGGCAGCTGTTTGGGTTACTGCTTACACACTAAATGAAATTTATGACGATATCTCATGGCTTCAAGTTGCCTCTAGATTTATGCTTTTAGTTGTGGTATGCTTTCCTACTGTTTCTTATGTTTCATTACTATGAAATCTCAGCATTTTCAGTACATTGAAAGTTAAAATCCTAGTGATTACTTTGTGAATATTTTTCTTTACTTCCACTCTATATGGGTTTTGTTTAAAGGCTAGTATACTTGTGGTGGCTTTCTTTTCAATATCAAGTTCTCAACCACTTCTCTCACAAATAAGTTTGAGGAGAAGAGAAACCCTAGAATTTCGAACGATGAGCCAGGCTCTGGGCATACCTGATAGTGGGGTATTAGCACAAAGTGAACCAATTTTAAGGATAGATCCTAATGAACCATTGGATAAGCTTCTCTTGAACAAGAAATTCCGGCAGTCTTTTATGGCATTTGCTGATAGGTAAAACATCCTTCTTTGTGTACTCCAGTTTGTTGTAGACATTTGTACCATTTATAGTGTCTCTTGAGGACTTGTAAGATATGACTTATTTAAGAAAAGCAATTCTAATAAAATGAATAATATTTACTCTCGTCCTGCAAGGCCCAGAAAGTTTTCGACCTAAAACATCATAGTCGAAGTAAAGAATGCACATTTTTCTTTTATGATCTTTGTTTAAACCAAAAAAGGTAATACTGTTATAATGTATATACAGTTGCTTGGCTGGGGAGAGTGTGCACTTCTTTGATGAAGTATATGAGCTTAGTAAAATACCTGAAGATGACTGTGTGAGAAGGATCTATATGGCACGCCATATTATTCAGAAATACATAGTTGCAGGTTTGTAATTCTTCTTCCAGGTGGCTTCCTTCTTTCACCCTTTCTCTTGGTTATTCCTACGATGACCACTGTTTGCCATATTCAAAATTGTAACATTACTTTTCTCTCAATCCTTATGAACATGGCTATTTGATTTAACTCAGCTGTATGTCTCATTTACGGGGTTCCAGTGAAAGTGTTGAAGTACCAAGACTTAAAGGGGGAAGTCACATGTTAGTAATCGTTTCTTCAAATTTGGGAGCTTTGTCTAACATTTGCTAGAATTTAATTTGACAGGTGCGGCTATGGAGGTGAACATCTCTCATAGAAGCAAACAAGAAATTTTGTCTACTTCCAACCTCGCACACCCTAATCTCTTCCAAAATGCACTCAACGAGATCATTCAGTTGATGAGAACAGTAAGTTCCTTAGGTTCAAAACAATTTGACCAAACACCCTTGATTAACATTGAGTGATGTTATATCCATCTCAATTCTAGTTTCTTTTTGTAAGAAACAAATGATAGTGTATTCCTTGTTATAAAAAAGATTCAAGATAGTATCTAGACATCATGAAAAACATTGTTGTACGCTAATTTGTCCATTAAAATTAGGCAAGCCACAGCAGCATAGTTTTTCATCTAAATTAAACATTCTACTTGTGCAGAACTTGGCTAGAGATTACTGGTCATCAATGTTCTTCCTGAAGTTCCAGGAAGACTCCAATGTGAGATCTAATGAGTATGAACTGGAGCACATGACAGGGTGGAACTTTTCCCCAAGGTTGAGTTCTGTGCATGGTGCAGATGATCCTTTTCAGCAGGACCATCTTCTCAAGAGCTCAGGCTGTAGCAGTGATACTACTGTCTTATGACTTGTTAGTTGTTACACTTATTTACACAGTTTCTCCACTTTGATGATGCCTTACCAAACTAGTTTCACTTAAACAAAAAATTACTGACAGATTTTCTTCTGACAACATTTATGCTTATTATCCATAGAAGATGAACAGTGGAGGATAGTGGGGAAGTATAAGGAAGATGTAACATTGTTTTTGGTTTATTTGTTTTTACTTCAATCCATAAAACATGAGCAACATCTGTACAGTTAGGCTGGGACCATGCACATCCTAGCCTGTAGCTTGTATTATACTGATTTCAGTTGAACACTGAATAGTCTCCACACACTTTACCCATGCGTTTGTCTAGCATTTAAAGAGTCCAAGGTACAAGCAAGAGATCTAAGTGCTGTTGATCAAATTATTTAGGACACATTTATTTTACTAACTTGCAACAACAATTTATAAGACACTATTTGAAGTAGCTTTTGGCTTGTGAATTGTATTCTATTATATCTTTATCTTTAAATATTACTTGAATTTACTTTATATATATAGTTTCTTCTTTTTACTCAATTTTAACCAATATTTGGCATTGTAGGTAGCAGGAGCAATAGAAATCAATACAAAAGCTGATATTAGTGAAATGATAAATTATATATATATATATATATATATATATATATATATATGTTTATATTTATTTTTTTCCTTTTCTTCTACAAATAAATTCGTGTTGCCGTGAATCATTACTAACAACCATGACCAACTAATGTTTCTGCACCTTTCAGTGCCATGCTTTTATGTGTGATATAAACATAAGTTAACAAAGAAATCATTTATATGTCGCTATCCCTGTCCCCTTTAATAAAATGTCATTATTAAATAAAATGATATAGCATTTTTTTATCTGAGGAGATATGGATTAGATAATGTAAAATTTATGCCAATGGTATTTCCAATATTTCTATTTACATGAATTTCAATTAATAAAAATATATTAAAATGTTTAACTGTATGTTCATAATTAATTTCTTCTAACTAATAAATATTGTCTCCTTCTTTTTTAACTTTATTATTATTTAAGTAAATGTTCGTCATCCACTTTACTTTAAAAGAAGTTTTTCAACAAATATAAAATATAAAATAAAATAAATGACTATCAATTTATTCATAAATATAATTCTCCTAAACTGAACAGTCCCTTAAGTAATGAAATTGTATGATTATTAAATATTTATCAATTAATCCCTGAAGTGATATATTTTATTAGGCCTTTTCACTAAAGTGGGTTAAAAAAAATTTAATTCTACTCAAATGGGTCAAATTTTTAAAATTTTTTCTAAGAGGGTAAAATCGTGTTAAGTTACACGATTTTAAATAAAGAAATCGTATAACATAAAACGATTATGTGATAAAAAAAAATTTATGTAATATATTCAACGTATTTTTTTTTTATAAACCTAAAGTTAAGTACGATTTTAGTTATATTCATATATAACTAAAATTGTATTACGTCTTTGGTTTTATTTTTTAAAATAATTAAATTGATTTTATTAAATAATATATTAATTAAAAATTAAAATTATTTTATTATTATATATTTATATAAACCTAAAGTTAAGTACGATTTTAGTTATATTCATATATAACTAAAATTGTATTACGTCTTTGGTTTTCTTTTTTAAAATAATTAAATTTATTTTATTAAATAATATATTAATTAAAAATTAAAAATTAATTTATTATTATATATTTATATTATAAAATATTAAATTAATAAATTTAAATTATGTTATATTATTTATTTTAAAATTAATAATATATATTTTTATAGTTTTTTTATAATTAAATTAAGTTATTGAGATAAATATATATTATTTAAAAAAATTATAATTTATTTATTTTTTATATAAATATATTTTAGAAATTATAAAGTATTATATTATTTATTTATATTAATTATTATTTTATATACACTTTATATAAGTAGTATATAAATAATAAAGGTAATATATATATATATATATATATATATAATATTATTATTATAAAATTAAATAATATATATTTTAAATGATATATGTATTTAAAATATTATATTAATTATTTAAATAATATATTTATCTAAATAATATTTATTATTAATTTTGAAATAAATACATTAATATAATTTAAATTTATTAATTTAATATATTTTATAATATAAATATATAATAATAAATATTTTATTAATTTTTAAATAACATATTTATTTAATAAAATTAATTTAATTATTTAAAAAAATAAAACCAAAATTCGTACTTACGTATTACGACTTTAGTTTTATATATATTAAAAAAAATTACATTGAATACGTTACAGAAAACGTAATTTTTTTTTTTTTTATCACGTACTTGTTTTTTATATGATTTCTTTATTTAAAATCGTGTAGCACGATTTAATCCTTTCTGATAAATTTTTAAAAATTTGACCCAGTAAAATTAAATTTTTTTTAACTCACTTTGGTGAAAAAGCCATTTTATTAACATTAGCAGATTAATTTGGTGTGTGAAAAAAATAATAGGAAAAACTTTCCAATACTTGAAAGGCTACAAAGCATGAATTCTAATTTTTCTAATTATAATTTGAAAGTAACGAGGGGAGATGGAAATGTCCTTACATTATAATTTGATGATGATTCAATTCAACTACATTTAAGTCAACACTATTCAAGATGAATTAAAGACAAATTGAATTTATGACGTTGGTGAAAATATGAAACATTTTCCTATATGGCAAAGATATGTTTTTGACAAAGATGATGATTCAAGCAAGCCCAAAATGATTTCTGAAGACTAGATAGAGTCTTAGAATACTGGATATGAGGTACAAGTTGATGAAGTAATATTATGCATAAGCCTCCAAAGCACAAGTGTGATAAAATTCATAACATGATATTTTTCTCTATCATAATTAATTATGATGCATCGAAATGGAAAAATGATTTTCTCTATCATAATTGATTATACTGGTAATATAATCAATTAAGGCAATTCAAATTTGAAAAATATATTCGTTTTAAAGAATAAATGTTTTTTAATACATCCTGATTTTCTCTATGATATTATTAATGTCCAACGATAATTTTCTGATGCTATTTTTCTATTTAATTAAGTTTTGATGAAAAATAAAAAACACACAACTACAGAATTCAAAAATATAATTTACATTCAATCAGTTTTGAGAAAAAAATTCTGAGCAAGACAACAGAGATATTTTACACCTTTTGAGAAAACTCTCTTCTCTACTGTCTTCTGTGCTTTCATTGTTAATCACACTTGTTCTTGGAGATTGACATTCTACAGGCTTCTACAATTTGTTGTCTCCATTACCCAGATGTGTGTGTTCTTATTTTTATTACCTTCATCCTTTGTGTATTGGTGGCAAATGAGGTGTTTTCATCCTTTGATTTGTTCAAATGAGGTTTTCATCCCTAGTGTGATTCTAGATAGGTGTTCATCCTTAGTGGGATTCTAAGAAGGTGTTTTTCATCCTTTGATTTGTTCAGAGGAGTTGTTCATCCCTAGTGGGATTCTAGGGAGGTGTTCATCCCTAGTAGGATTCTAGGGAGGTGTTCATCCTTAGTGAGTTTCTAAGGAGGTGATTGTCTTTTTGTGCTGAGTTGATTGTAATTTGTAAACTGAATTTGAGAGATAGTGAAGGGGGGAGTCACTCTTGTGTTAAGAGTTGACTGAGAACTGGATGTAGGGTTAACTATACCCAAACCAATATAAATCTCTGTGTGTTCTTCTCTTTCCTTTATCTCTTTCTCTTTTCCTGATTATATTATCGCTTCCGCTTTATCTGTGTTCAAACAAATTATTGACTCACAAATAAATTTTTAATTTGACATCTATTTTAATTTGTACATCTTTTCACCCCCTCTAAATGCTATTTGTCTAACATAATTTTGTTAGTTTAAAGACTTGGAGAGTGTGTTATCTATAGTACTTTTTAGTGTTATTAGAAAAAAAAATATTATAGCTTAAAAAGATAATTATTATAATTTATATATTTAAAAAAATAATAAAAATTATGAGATAGAAAAAAAAAGTAGATATATTTAAATAATAAAAATATAATAAAATAATTATAGACAAACAGAAACTTTAGTGTTTTCAGTTTACTTCATTAACTAAATTCATAATTTATCTATCTCTATCTCGCAGCATGGATATATTTATATACAAGTTTTCTTCTGAATAGTAATTTTAATTGTTACTCATAAATTTATATATGATAGATGAATGGTAGGTTTATCTTTTTGGAAAATAAAATTATTTTAGAGAGGACGCGCATAAGAATAATATTTTTTACAAATTAATAAATGTAAACATTGTTAATAAATTTCCTTAACAAAAAACATCATTATCAATTTAATAATAATATATTTTATGAACTTCCATCCAACCCCCCACACTAACGACATGATTCAGTCACATGTTACGTGGTTTCCTGAGTTCCCGTTAAAGGTTACTTTTTTGTTAAATCCAAATTATTTTTTATGTCCAGAATCAAAGATTAATCATTCATTTTGTTGTACTCAGATTCCTTTAAGAAATTGATATTTCTCCACCAATATTTTTTAAGAAGTAAATACTTAAGATCAAATCACTAATATGATTAAATATTTCATTGAACAGACTTTTTCCCCGTTTTTGATGGGGATATATTATTAAAGTCTTATGTAAAGTGACGAGATTTCTTGCAGATTGTTGGAAAGAAAATGGAGGGGTTGGAGTGGTTCCTTGTGGCAACAAGCAGCATAGGCTTCATTTGTGTGTGCAAGGCACTTGTGAAATTTCTCAAGTGGGTGTGGGCGATGTTCTTGAGGCCACCAAAGAACCTCAAAGAATATGGTTCATGGGCTATAATCACTGGCTCCACTGATGGAATTGGCAAGGCCATGGCCTTTGAATTGGCATCCAAGGGACTCAACCTTCTCTTGGTAGGTCGAAACCCTCTAAAACTTGAGGCAACCTTGAAGGAAATAAGAGAGAGACATGGTGTTGAGGTCAAGTTTGTGGTGATAGACATGCAAAAGGTTGGTGGAGAGGAAATAGCAAAGAGAATAGAGGAAGCAATAGATGGTTTAGATGTTGGTTTGCTTGTTAATGGTGCTGGCTTGGCTTACCCTTATGCAAGATTCTTTCATGAGGTTGATTTGGAGCTTATGGATGCCATTGTCAAAGTGAATGTGGAGGCAACAACTTGGATCACAAAGGCTGTGATTCCATCCATGATCAAGAAGAAAAAAGGTGCTATACTGAACATTGGTTCTGGTTCCACTGTGGTCCTTCCTTCATATCCTCTAGTCACTCTCTATGCTGCTACAAAAGGGTAAATAAGTTGATCCCTGGTTAAGTTTGTTCCATTGTCAATTCCATGCATCATGCATTCTAGCTTTTCAATCATAATAGTTCTTCAATATAATTAAATGTGTTATCTTAAGGGTAAACTGATATATTAATTCAATAGAGAGAATTCTCTCGTTGAAAGAAAATGTTGACATTTTCAAGCAGAAATATACTTATTAGCCAAATTATTATTTTATTTTTTACTTGGCTTTTAAAAAGATGTGAATCCAGATCTGAGATGTGATTTTTTTTGGTAGATACCTTGCAATGTTCTCTAGATGCATCAGTTTGGAATATAAGCATCAAGGAATTGATATCCAATGTCAGGTGGTTCTCATTCATCATTCATACCCTTTTAAGGTTCTGATTGTTTGGTTTTAGACTATCATCATTCATTAGAAAAAGATCAATTTATTAATGGTGGAAAACACTACATATTTATTTGACACAAAGGCATGTAGAGTTGAGTATCATTTCTTATTCATATCAGATGAGTAAATAAAATACACCAAACAAGTTTGGTAATATTTTTTGATCTGGTGCTGAGTTATACAAACATATACAGGTTCCATTATTTGTGTCAACAAAGATGACCAAAATGAAGAGTTCAGTTTTTGTGCCAACACCAGAATTGTACAGCAAAACATGCACAAGGTGGATTGGCTATGAAAAACTGGTTGTGCCATACTTTCTCCATTCTCTGCAAGCCTTTCTCATAAAGGCAATTCCTCATGCATTTCTGGATTCCTACATGTTCAGTTATTTTCTTTATTTTCGTGCAAGAGGAATCTCCAAGGACTCCAAAAACAAAACATTATTAGCTGCATCTAATTCTGCAGAACCAAACATCATTAATCAAGATTATAGTACAAAATATATGTAAAATTGTGGGTCATCATGGAGGGCCCCACTGAATTAATTATATATTATCTTTCCTGAATCTTATACTTTTTAGATTTCTTTTGGTGGAATAGTTTACCTACTCACCAGTGTTGTTATTTTTATTTGAATTTTTCTTTGGAGTTTATCTGTAATTGGTCTGCGTTTACTTAATTCAGTTATTATTTGAATATTTGCCATCTTTCTGGTTAACTTGTAGAGCCAGCTGTTTAACCAAAGATTGTGAAAAATATTTTTCACCACCACTTGCAGCATAAATTAACAATTCATTATGAAAGCTTGTGCTAGTTCAGACAAAGTTAAAGTTTCTTAATTGGTTAGGTTAAAAATTCTGTAAGCTTCAGAAGTTATATATATTTTTTATGCAAAAGTTTTATAACTTTTTTTACACAAAGTTTATTTTTTTATTTGTAGGAATTCAACGCAGGTATATATATATATATATATGCATTTTTTTTTTAATTTTCTGTTCAAGAATTGTTTATAATCATAAAATTCATTTTATACCCTTTTATACCACTGCCTAAAAAACAATAAGCTAATCAATTTAAATGAAAAGTAGATGCTATAACAACGCATTACTAAAATTTACATGTGTTAGAATATGTAATTTTTTTTAATAATCTAAATTAAGGATGGAAACTTTTAATTATTTTATAATTTATTTTATATGTATTTTATAATAATAATAATAATAATAATTGATTTTATTCCCATGTATTCATCATTATAAATTGTTTAGTTGGTTTGTTCAATTTTTTTATTTATCGAATATTTTTTAAGAATAAAATTATAATATACTAGAGTTTCAAAACAAACATGAAATATGAAAATTGATCCTAATGATATTACCGTAACAAAAAGATTAAGTAACGATATTATTATAATAAAGAGGTTGAGACATTTTTATTTTTAAAAGAAATATTTGATGTTCATATTATTCGTACCTTTTAATATTAAATATTAGAAGATTATGTTCTGCTATATTAATAAGTCTCACGTTCTTTAGAGTTAAAATTAAAAATAATTTATATACACCATTCTTTTTTAATGTACTGAAATCTTTTTTAAAAATTAAACTATAATAATTATAAAGTAGGTCATGTTTCAAAAATAAAAATTTATGATTATAATATTATTATAATAAATTTAAAAAGAAAAATGGATTCTAAAATATGATATGTCCAAGGTTAAATATAAAAAAAATTGAGATTTTCCTTAATTTTATTCGTATAAATAAACCATTCAAAATTCTTCGACTTTTTTTAGAATAGGTTCGAGTCAAATGAAAATTATTTTACATTATTTTAAACATCCAAAATACAGGTGAAAAATAAATATTCTATTTTAAGTGTGTAAACAAAATTTCATACTAAACACAGAGATACGCAAAACTTTTATTCCTGGCAAGTTGTTTTTAGTCTAGCAACTAAAAATACATTTTATTTTCTATATATCTTTCACATTCTAAGGATTGTTTCTAGGTAGGTACGCTGTTCTTTTTCATGTGAACTAATGTCCCATTATGAATTTCGTGTGTCCGTGATGTTTTTTATTTGAATTATTTTTTTTTTCACAATGTATTTGAAGTTTGTAAGATAAAAATGTAAAAACTAAAATAAAATAATCCATTAAAAAAATACATAAAAATGAAAAAAATATTCAAATTAAAAGTAAATATTTGTTTATCTATAAAATTAATATTAATAAAATAGTTTTAAAAATGTATTTTTAACATTTATTTTTTTAATAATATATGTTTTATATATAACTATAATTTTTTATTTTAAAACTAATTATTTCTAAGAATATTTAAATTTAAATTCATAAAATAGTATTATATTATATTATAAATGAATAAAAAGATATATTAAATTATAAACTTAATTTTTTTAATCATTTTCATATATTATATTTTATTAAAATAATAATTAATATGCATATATTAAAATATAAATATAAAAATAAAGAATAATTTATTTCAAATAAAATAATTTTATAAAATAATATTTTTTATATTTTCTTTGATTTTTTTACTTATATATTAGTAAAATAAAAAAATATTTTTTTATCTTTTTTTCTTTCTTTTATAGTTTTTTTCTAATTTAACGTGGTATATTGACCAATATTAATTGTACTTCCATCAAGCTTCTTCCTGTTTTAGACTTATTATAATCATAACATTAAACACTACACAAAACCATCTAAAGCAAAAGCGCGTATAGAACGCAGATACACTTAAGACCTTCCAGATTTATACCACCCACATGCACTTCCAACCAAACAAGTCCTAAACCAACACCCATAACCTACAACTCAACCACAGCTTCTGCAATAAAATGGGCCTAATCCATACTCCCACTTTTTTCGTATCATTTTCTAAAAAAAATAAAAAATTAAGTGAAATAAAATAACATAATTATTTTTTATTAAATTTTATATGTATTTTGTTTTAAAATATACTCTTAAATATTAACTTAAATTGTTTTAAATTATAATATTCAGTATACAATTATACATTTTACACATTTTTTCCCTTTATCATTTCAAGAATTAAATTAACACACCTCATGTTGTTTCACAATACTCCCACAGTTTTATTTTTTCAATTCACAATATTCATATCCAATAATATCTTATTAAAAAAATATAAAGTTTTTTTTTTTAAAACAACTGCATCGTCACATTTTTATTGTCTGCGAAACAATTTGCGGTCTCAATATTCATTGAATGCCACCGTAATGCCCCAACTTTCTACTTAATTCTGGTGGTTTTTCGCTCATCTACCTCACCCACACTTCCCTCTCTCTCAATCACTTTCTATATCTAATCTATCTTTCACTCATCATCATTAATAAATTCAATGCTCTTCACGTTTCCCTCATAAACTCCTTCTTCTCCTGTACCATACCATCATCTTCCTCATCTTTCACTCTATCCCCATCCCAACATGGAATGCTGCATAATCTCCAGGCTCAAGGCCCAGCCCATATGGTTCGCGCTGCTCTTTCTTGTCGGATTATTAACTGTTCTCAAACTGGTTTTCGTGGTTGTCAGATGGGTCTATGTTAATTTCCTCAGACCACCCAAAAACCTTAGAAAGTACGGATCTTGGGCTCTCGTCACTGGACCCACTGACGGCATTGGAAAGAGTTTTGCTTTCGAGCTCGCACGCAAAGGCCTCAACCTCGTACTTGTCGGTCGGAACCCCGACAAGCTCAAAGACGTGTCGGATTCGATCGTGGCCAAGTTCGGAAAAACCGAGGTCAGGACTGTGGTGGTCGATTTCTCGGGGGATCTGGACGAGGGTGTGGCCAAGATTGGCGAAGCGATTGAAGGGTTGGACGTTGGAGTGCTGGTTAACAATGTGGGAGTTTCGTACCCTTACGCCAGGTTCTTCCATGAAGTTGACGAGGGGCTTCTCAATAATCTTATTAAGGTTAACGTTGTTGGAACCACCAAGGTTACGCAGGCAGTTCTGCCGGGGATGCTGAAGAGAAAAAGAGGAGCTATTGTTAACATTGGTTCTGGTGCTGCTATTGTTATTCCTTCTGATCCCCTTTATGCTGTTTATGCCGCCACCAAAGCGTGAGTTGTTGTTGCTGATTGCTTTTGTTGGTTTCTTTGTTCCCTCTCTGTAGTATTTGTTGGTTGATGTTATGTGTTGTGTTCATCCTTTTAGGTACATCGATCAGTTTTCCAGATGTCTCTATGTTGAATACAAGAAGAGTGGAATTGATGTTCAGTGTCAGGTATTGTGCTGTTCTTTTAGTGTTCGATTCTTCATGTTAGCTTCTTGCTTGCTTAGTAACTTTTTTCTTATATTAGGTGTAAAAAATTTCTTCTTTTTTTTTTTCACCTTTTTGCTTAATTCCCCTTATCAAGTTTCAGCCAACTAGTTTAGTTATGTGTACTAGAGCTGAACTGCTCTAGTCTAAATACTTTAAATTGTGGCTGCAGTTTTGTTGTAATTTTTAGTATAAAGCCTGTAATTGCGGTTGAAATTTGGTCTTGATGCAGCCGATTCAGCCACAGTTGTGATCTTTTTGCAGTTGCAGGGACCCTGAAAACCTTCAGTTGTAGCTGAAATTGCAATTATAAACCAGTTTTTAACACCTTGCTTAATACTGTGGAAAATTATGGATTTCCAATGATTTGGCCACGGGAGACTCAATTTTTTACTTAATGGATGAAATTGCGGTACTAACTTAAAAAAATAAAAAATAAACAAGGATAATTTCAATTGAAATCAGTTGGAGTTATACGGTGATGAAAAGAAAGCATAAGCCTTGTTGAGGCACAAATCTTTAACTTAACGGACAAGACTTAACGGAAAAGAGTCCCCTTTACTCTGTACTTTTTCATTTAGTTGAGGCTGGTATGGTTATAAATTGCTGAAAGTTGAAGATATGTCATGACTTTGTTTATTACTGATTTTTGTGTACAACTCGGTCGTTATAAAAATTGTAGTACGTGTGTTCGTATCCGGGTGTATTTTTCTTCTACCATCCAAAAGTAGTAGCAATGTCAAAAGCGTTTTGAGTATTATCGGCACTTTCTTTTTGCTTTTTCTCTTTCTCTTTCTCTTTTAAAGTTTTGCTTTAATGTTACGTATGGGGTATGTTACGGCATTCTATTTTGGTTTTTCCAGGGTACTTGTGTATTATGTTCTTGTATACTTAGCATGTCCAATCTACTTTGTGGTTTTACTATTTATGACTATATATAGAGCAACATATGATATCATTTTTTAAGGTAGTGTAGCTACAATTATTGACTATTAGCGTGCTTGACGATTGCAAATTTTCAGAGTGTAATTTAATATTCTTCATGGCCTTAGCTATTACCATTTCCCTTACTCCTTCCTATATGTTCCTTCTGTCCACCAAAATTTGTGTGAAAGAGTGGACCGTGTGGAAATGGATTGATTTGCTATGAACGTTGACTACAAGTGCCATGATTCTTTTGTCATTTTTCTGATTGAAATTTTCCTGATGCAGGTTCCATTGTATGTGGCAACCAAGATGGCATCAATCAGGAGATCTTCATTCTTTGTTCCATCAACGGATGGCTATGCCAAAGCCGGTGTGCGATGGATCGGGTACGAGCCGCGGTGCACGCCGTACTGGCCACATACTCTCCTCTGGGCGGTGGCGAGCTCATTGCCTGAGTTTGTTGTTGATGCTTGGCGCCTGTGGTTCTGCTTGGGTATTAGAAAGAGGGGACAGCGCAAAGATTCCATGAAGAAGGAGTAGAAGGATGCTTGGTTCTGCTGTGTAGGCAATACATGTTACTCATCTCATACATATGCAGATTGTTATCAAATTGTTATCAGATTAGGGACTCCAAGTATCTTCTGTGTTCCTAAATTTCATCTTAATGTTATTAGTCTTTGTTTAGTATCAGTTGTGTGGCCTATAAATTCTTTTGGGGTGTTTCTGTAGTTTGTTGAACTGATATGATGTTTATGGCATATCGCTTAACCCGGTTTTCTCTGGTCTCATTCTTTGTTTGTTTATTTTTTTCACTCACTGTGAGCTTTTTTAGAAAGCCTGTGTTTCAAGCCAACAACAACTAAGGGTGTATTTGGAAAAACATAGAGTTGGGGTAACTTTGTTTTTCTCAATCCATCAATATAGTTTCTGGGGTTTATGTATTGGAAAGTATGAACATGCAAAAATTTAGCATACATTTTTTTTTTCTTTGATATAAAAGCTATTAAAAAATGCTTCAATTTAGAATGAATTCTTGTTCAATCTGTTTTTCCATGTAATTTCGTGTAGCTCAGAACCTATTTAATGTCTTATTGTCTCACTTGACTCTCATCATTGAACAAAAGTAAAGGGATGCCTAATCTTATTTTGTTTTTGGTCCAATAAAACCATTTTTCATTATTATAGTTATCAAAATAGTAAAATTATAGAAGGGTTGCAAACAGAATACGAAATTTCGATAACAGAAAGTGATGTTTTTGAATTGGAGTAAGAGAAGTGTTTTTTTTTTTGGGAATAAGAACTTTGTTCTCTAGTATACAGAGACCCTCTTTTCTTAATTTATTTAGACTTTTTTAAATAATAAATTAAGATATTAAGGTATTGAATATAAAATATAATTTTAATAATAAATAAGATATTGAATATTTTTATCATCAATATTGACTTTTTTTTATATAAAAATATTCAAGATGATAAAATACAAAAATATCTTTTAAACTTAATTTTATATTTTATGTAACATGAAAGAACTCAAAATATAATATAATATGAATCTCAAAATAAAATATAAAAAAAAAAGCATTTTTATATTATATTCTTTTATCAAACATACTAGATCTTCGTTAATAATAAATATATTTTTTATTTTAAATTTGAATCGTAATATTTTATTATATATTTAGAATATTTCGTATGAAAATATTGTAATAGCAATTTCTAAAGGAAAATAGTTTTTAGATTATTTTCATTCTCGTTAAACTAAATGTTTATCACAATCAAAATACATTTTTTAATTTTATTATAATTTTTAAATTATCCCAACAAATAAAATTTACAATAATTTCATTTCAAACCTTTTATCACTATCCATATTTGTTTTTATCTTTACTATCCAACTAGATTTTAATATTTTAAATTTTCCGCTCTCACTGGATTAAGTCTTATCATAATCATATAAATAAATTTGTATTGCTTCCAATACATTTATTAATTTAAATATCAAATTTAATCTAATTTAACAATTATTCCAAAATAATCTCTCACAACATTTTTAAATATCTATCTTTTGTCCTTATCATTTTTAATCTTTTATTCCAAATAATTCATGATTTTTATCTTTATTTTTAAATAAAATTTTAATATTTTTAAAATCATCAACACGTCTTATCATATATATATATATATATATATATAAAAGTTTGTGCAGGGTATAACCCGGTGTCGTTGTGCCATAAACCCCAGGAGGAAACACAACGCAAGGGTGTGAACGAACATGGCCACTCACAACACCAACGTCGTTTACATAGACACCAATCTCGATACCCGCTTCGCGCTCCTCGTTTCCGACCTCGACACTGTCTCTGACCTCAAAAGTAATTCTTTTTTTTCTTTCAATTTTAGACACTGATTGTTGACATTTTTTTGTTATGCCTTTTAAATCATTAACTGCAAATGCTCTTCTTGTTAACATCATTTGGTCTCAATCGATGGATTTTTGGTTATTTGCTTTTAATGTAGCAGTATTCACTATTAATTTATAGTGCTGCTCTTTTGTTTAAATGATTTGAATGTGTGAATGTAGAGAGTATTCTGTTGGAACACCCCTTATGCTTTCCCCAAATTGGGCAAATTCAGATTCATGGGATCAAGGTATTTTTCATATTCTACTGTTCAAGTCACGCTTTTGTTTTCTTCACTATGTATTGTTTTGCTTACAATTCAATTTTATTTTATTTGAGGTAGGTTGAGCGCGAGGGGCACTTTTATCACCTTGTAGATTCCATGCCTCTGAGAAGTGCCTTTACTGGTTCCAACAAGAGCTGGTTGGTTAGTGTGGATGCTACTGTGTTGAGGGAGTGTTCTCAGAATAACCATGTGGCCACTGTCGGCATAGCAAATAATGTTTTGATTAGTGGTGGTGATAATGCTATCGGTTCTCCATCCAAGAGGGTGTCCACCTTTGGCAATTTCAAGTTGCTGCAGTTGGAGAACAAACTAGCTGAGAATGAAGAAGATCTTGTTCCTAGTCCATGTGTTTCACAACATACTGGCAAAGGAGCTGTTGAAAAATTGAATACAGGTGTTAAATCACCTATAAAAAATAATGAACTTCCAGGTTCAGCCATTGAATTTGAGGTTGATGGAACCAATAAAGGCATTATGGGTGCTGTATCCAATGTGAACAGTAAACATAAAAGTAAAAACAAAAAGAAAAACAAAGACACAGTGCGAGAAGACACTTCAAAAGTAAATGATACTTCTGTTGTTGGGCTCTTCGATTGTATGACTCAGCAGGATATTGAGGTTGTAGCGAAACCTTCAGAGAATGCAGATAAAGAAGTGATGAAGGAGATTGAAGTTTTGAAGGAGCATCAGCATACTGATTGCAACAATAATAACACGATGAGTGATATTGATACTGCTGTGGCAATGAAAGAAGCTTCAAAACCTGAACTTACTGCAAAGAAGAAAGGTAAGAAAAGGAAGAGGTCTTTGACTGTTGATTCTAAAGAAGTGTTCACCGTAGAGAAGGCTGCTCAGGAGAATGAAGTGCACAAGTCTGATGAAGCATACGAGGAAAGGAAAGAATCAAAGTATGATTTTGAACTTCAGAATGAAAAATATAGGGATGATGTTGAATATAAGCATGATAAGGTAACTGGAGACATTTTAAATACAATAACTCCTGCAAAGAAAAAGCTGAAGAGCAAAGAGAAAAGTGGAGAAAAAAGTTTGTCCAAGGCCAAGTTGATTAATGATTTCAATGTAAACATTTCTTCTAGCCATGATCTGGTGGAAATTTCTCTATACGACCAATTGTATGAAGGTGATACTACTTGGGAAAAGGGTGAAAATAGTAAAGTACCAGCCTTATACATGCTAACCTTGTACCATGTTAGGATTAGCTTGCTATGTTTATTTTTTGTTTAGATCAAACTAAAATAGAAATCCATTTTAGAATATTGAATATAATACTGATCTTTTTTCTTTTTTGGGCCAGATATCAATATGGACAAAACTAATATTGACAACATGGAGACTGGAACAGATGCATGCAAAGAAGGCATTAAATCTGCAGAAAAAACTACAGGAAACTATATGAACCATTCTGATATTGAAGCAAAAGCGCACGCTGCTAATGTGGATGGGTCTATGGAGCTGACTGAGGATGATGATAAAAGTGAAGCTGATCAGGTTGAAGGAGCTGAGGAAGGAATAGAAGTATCACCACAAAATGATCCTAAGCTAATGCTGTTACAAAAGTCTACACCATCTATCCAGGACAATATAGATGCAAAAATTGGAGCATTAAATGTGACATCAAAAGTTGTGGATGTCAATAGAATAAATGAATCTATAAAATCAGAGAAGGAAAAAAATAGGAAGAGAAAAACTAAGAATTTAGGTGGAGGGTCCGCACTCAGAGGAGGTATTGGCCTTGTGGATGCTTCTGAGAATGAAACTGTTATTATGAAGTCGCTTGGTGCAACAAATTGTGATCCTACGTTAAGAAATACGGAGACAGGGGATAACCCTTTAAATCAAACAGAAGGAGGGAAAATACAGGAGGAGGAAACTAATGCTGAGTCCACATGCAAGAGACAGAGAAAGAAATCAAACAACAAACAGACTTCTATCTCAAAGAGCATTTTCAATAGGCTTCCGAAAGATCAAGTTCTTGATGGTAAGAATTCATCGCCATCTCCTGACCACGGAAGACATTCCAAATCTTCAGTTGCGGTGACAAAGAAAAGTAACTCTGCAAGCACAAAGTCCCCTAACAAATCACGCAAAGCAAATGTGAAACCGCGGAAAGACTCTATTAGACTTGAACCTTCTGATTCTCGGATTAATTCTGGGAGTAAGGATGCTGTGCAACGTACAATACACTCTCCTGAAGAGAAAGATGATGATAACTTGGAAGCACCTTCTAAAACTTTAAAGGTTAATGCTGACCAACATTTGTCATCCTGTAAACAGCCAGATGAAGAGCTTGTTGACAAGTTGAATGGAACAAAGATGAAAGATATTGAGACGATGGCCAGAAATAACATGCACCAGCTTGAAGCAACAAATGGACAAACTCCTGCTGAGGATTTAAGCTCCTCGCAGAAATTATCATCAAAGGAAGAGCTTGATGTCAGGATTCATCCTGTTGACAAGGTACAGAATGCTCACAGGACTGGACAAGATTCAAAAGTGTCTGGCAGGACTGACAGTGCTGTGATTGAAGAAAATAAAAAGATTCGTCTCAATGCTTATGGGAAAAAAAGGGATTTGAAAAAACAAAGATCACATGTTCCTGTATCAAACTCAAAGCTGGAAGGCTCCATAAAAATGGTTCAAAATAAAATAGAAAAAGCTTTTAGGAATAAAATACTGCAAAAGAAGAGCTTGTTATCAGGAGCAATTTTCAAGGATGATAGTAGCAGCAGCTCTGAATATGAAGTTGATAATTCTGATGCCAGCACTAGAACTCCATCAGATAATCCACTGTTATCTGATTTTTCTGATGGAGATAGCAGTTCAGGTATGGATTCACAATTAGATGGTAACTGCAATATGTATTAATTCGGAATGTGCCTTTATGTTTTAATTAAATTGATGTAATACTAGAAATACTGGGTTGTGGGTGGAAGAGTGAGTTTCTGTTGAGTTGGTTGGGGTGATCTTGTCTTCCTTTTTTCTTTTTTTCTTTTTTTCTTTTTTCTTTTAGATCTGATCTTTGGAATTTGGTTATCAACTACTACTCCTTACATGTTTTGTTCGAGGAGCTGGAAATATCTACATTGGCATATATTTATGGAGGATGAAAATGTTGTAATTCCTGAAGTTGAGAAAAGCTTGTATATTTGTAGCTCACCACTTTCATATTCATTCGTGGATAACCTCTGGTTTTTTCTTATCTACTGTTTTACCTAGGAATGTTTTGCTATCTCACTTATTCGACTATGGTATTAGTATCATCTTAATTATTTTTTTTTTATCTTATTGTTTTTCTCTAGAATATGTATCTGTTATGCTTTTTGAATATTGGTGTTAGCATTGATGACAAGCTTGAATTAAAGATTTATATTGCTGTGTTCAGTTTATCTTGTGTTCTTCATGAAAATAGCGATGATGCAATTTGTAACCAAATTCTTTCATTTTTTTTTTATCAGATTCATATGGTGGGAGAAGTTTGGAAAATGATGGAAGAAGTTCTTCAAAAGCAAAGTAAGTTAATGAATTACATTTCTGCTGAATGCTGGTATAAGTTGGCAAAGTCGTTTGTATGTAGTTTTTGGCTACAAGACACTTACATGTTTGAATGGAAATTTTCAGCAATAAATTAAATCCTGTGTCTCTTTCCCAGCCTTTCTTTTTTTATTACTCGAAATTTGTTTTGACGCATATGATTAAAAATACTCGAGCAAATCTTGAAACTCAAGTTTTATAATTGATTGTGACAAGGACTTTGACTCTAACCTGAACGTACAGTTGAGCAATAGCGTTATTTTTACATTGTAAACATAGCATAGCTAGAATTACTGTGACTATTATCTGGGCGTGTTTTTTTTTTTTTGTTTATATTTTAGCTCATTGTATAAGTTTGTATTTGAACATCAAGATTTAATTGGGCGATTACAATGTGAAATCTTTCAACTGAATGGTTTATTCATAGTTAATTAAGCCATTCACATCCACCTTGTTCTCATCTCATGAATTATGGCTTGGGCAGGGTATTGCCAATCTTTGCTGCTACATTCTCCGTGTGACATGAATCTGTATCACAAAAGACTTTCATATACTTGTTTTTGTCGTTAACATTTAATAACACATTGTATGCTAGTGGTAAAGAATGATCATCCGTGAAATTAAAAGTGAAACTTTGCCGTTCAAAATTGTTTCTTTGAAATTCTGACCGTGCATGCTTTTCATCTCTGCATCATTGCTGCAACAATAGTTTTGTGGCTCGTCATCATTTATGAATCATCTTGCATAATCAGCATACCAGGTGAGTTCTGAAACCGTTGTTTGTGCAGTTTGACAGAAACAAAAGGAATGTCAATCGATGACGTTCTTAGAAGCTCAAGCTGGTTTAAGAAGGCTAAAATAACGGCCTCTCAATTGCAAGAATCTCAAAGCCAGCCCCCCGAATTTGTCCCAGATAGCCTGGCTGATTGATTGATCACATCTTTGAGCAGAAGAAAGGAAAAACGACACTAACCACAACTGTAGCTTTTTTATTCATTTATGTGTCACATAGCATCTGTTCTATTTTCCTTGCCCTCTTTTTCTTACCATTCCAAAGAGAACGGTATTTTGGCATTTTACGCCGTTTTGACGTTTAAGTTGGTGATTAATGTCACGAGCAAAGTTTAATTATAAGAACAGTGTGATATATACTTTTACAATATGTATGTTACACTAAATTACTAATATCCCTAGTTTTAATACTTTTGAGTGTTCATTTTTATTTTTGGTTATCATGTTTGTTTAGTTGACTATCTCTTGATCACTTTTTCTATTCTTGATTTTCTGGAAAGAACATTAACTTCCAAAAGAAACCTTGGCGGAAATAAACATCCCAAATTTTCCGGAAACAGAGATACTATAAAACCGTAACATGAAAAACTGAAAGTTTCAGATAAAGATATCAACCACGACAACGGTTATGAAACATACAAAAATGATAAAAGAAAACTTGTAGGATCATAATGTACAAAAGACTAAATGTCCATTATCACATAAGCAAGGGAAATTAACATGTTAAAGAATTTGCACTGCAACAAACTCACGTAGGAAATTAAACATATTAACGTATTTGAACCATACGACTCCAAATCTCTTAATAGCAAACTTGAACCGGAAACATTTTGTGTGCGAGCGTACTAATCACAGTGGACCACACAATTCTTGCCATTGTAGTATCATCCCCATGCTCCGTGTCCACGTTTCCTCCATTATTAAACTACTGTCATCTTAACAACATGGTGTTTAAGTGTGCATCTATAATCATCACTAAAATGTATTAAGTCAAATGTAACAACAAAATCTTGTCCTATTAAGTAAGATCGATTATACAATGATTACATGAATTGTGCGCGCGCTTGTTGGTATGAGTAAAAACTAAAACTTCAGAAGTATCATTTAGTTTGAGATCTCTTGTCGAATCTTTAAGCTCAGTAAAGGAAATCACAGAGAAGGAAACATTGTATTTATATGGAGAGGGACAGAGAGGTAGATAATAAGTTACAATGAAAAAGTGGTACAAGAAAAAAAGCGTTGGAAGTGGGTGCACTAAATTCCATTCCCATAGCAAACTCACACTCACTCTGATCTCATTCTGTTAAGCTGATTCAGTGCAGGTTGCAGAATGTTGTACAGAACCCACGCAATCGCCGGCGCAACCACAAACAGCAGAAGCTGCCCCCTGTTGTCACTCCCCGCCGTAGCATCCGCAATCAGCCCCATCTCACTCGCCGACGCCTCCGGACCCCACATCAAGCCCGAGGCGCCGAGCCCAAGCCCAAGCCCAACGATGACCCCCTTGCTGTTCCGCATGCGGTTCAGCTGGTTCAGCGCCGGCTGCAGAATGTTGAACAGCACCCACGCTAAGGCGGGAACCACCGGCAGCAACAGTGCAAGCCCACGATTGTCACCCTCCGCTATTTGGGCTATTTGCGACGCCGCAAAAGCCGCGTCGCAGTTTCCGAGGGTAGAAAAAATTGCCCCCGCGATTGCAGTGCCCGCTACGGAAGATTTTGTTGCTGACACGTTGATGTTAACGGTGGGGGTTAGACCCTTTGGAAGGTTGTGAAGGGAAAAAAGAGAAAGGGTGGGTCTTGAAGGTGGGCTTTTGGGGTTGAGGCTCTTGGTCTTTACTATGGCCATGCTTGTTGCTATGGTTGCTGCCATTCTTGAACTTTGAGAGCCTGAAGCGGAACTTGGCACTCACTCGACTCTTTGGTTTGGAATCTAATGGCAAAATCAAGTCCAGAAATTTTGTCGAATTACAACTTTCTCTTTATCCAACAATGTCATTCCTGGATTTTCGACCTCATATTCCTCTCTTCCCTTATCACTTCAAATGCTTAGTCAGTGCAATTTTTTTAGATCGAAGTTAGAGAAAATATTTTGCGAATTTTTCCAGTTTAAATAAATAAAATCACGAAAAAATGTGTTGTTTCGAAAAAAAAAAAAAATGGTATAAAGTTCTACATAAATTCTACATCCATTTACTGTATATATGGCAACCGTTTTTCTACTTTTTTTTCTTTTTTTTTCTCTAGTGGGCTGCGAATATTTTTAGTTTGTTCTATGTTGGGCTTATCTTAGTCCACGTAGAAACTATGAAACCAAGCCCAGTTATTGCGGGCTAAAATCTTTTTTAATTTTCCAGCCCGTGTATCGTTATTTTTATATGGTTATGTAGATATTTAGATTATATTTTTAGAGGCATAATAATGTAAAAAGCACATGATCACGTGAAATTAGACAATTTTTTCCTCCTAAATTACTCATTAAATTAAGACAAAATAATTATAATAGTGGCCAAACATCAAAGAGATGTTGACATGGTATCATTTTAATGAAACCACTTCCTCTCAAAGAAAGAGATGTTGTCATGAGGCTAAGTTAGGATGATTAAAGTGAAATTCAATTTAATCATTTTAAACAAGTTTATAGATTTGAATTTTGTGGAAGAAAAAAAAAAAATATGGAATGAGAGATTCCACTAAAAAGAGTAAACAAATTTTGTTGACAAATATGAGTCATCAGAGTTACTCCATAATAACAATATTGTTGAGAATAATTAAACTTAAACTAAAGCATATAAGTGTAGCTTAATATACCACTAATTTATTTGAGACTATTAATTTAGAATAACACAAAGAAACTGACCAATGATAATTGTTGTAAGAAAAATTAATTTAGTGTAAAAAAAACATAAATGATTTTTAAAAAAAATAGTGATATTTTTATTGTTATAGTTGTGAAATATGATGATATGGATGGGTCCTTCTAATTTTTTAAAACCCAAAAAAGGAGGAGAAGAAGAAAGAAAGGGACGAAGCTTAGCGCTCCAACAATATCTCCATAATTTTGCATTTGCGTTACTCAAAATCCATTTCGGAGCTCCTGCTATATCTACTTTCAACTGAACCGCCAACTAGGTTTTTTTCTTTCCTTCTTTGAACCGCCCGGTTCATTGCGAACCGAATACCATGGCAGCTCTGTTACCTTGCGCGCCCAACGTAGTCTCTGCTCCGTTCGGGAACCGGTGCACGAGCCGCCTCCCGAACCGGCCTCCATCCCTCGCCTTCTCCGGTACGACCAGACACTTTCTCCGCGGTTCGCTCTCTGTCGCCCGGTTCGGACTCAAACCCGGTTTCTTGCCCGAGCCGGAGGACGCTGAAGGCGTGCTCAGAGAACTGTTTGCCCGAGCGGAGGGACTTCTTTACACGATTGCCGACGCTGCTGTTTCTTCTTCTTCCGACACGGTTGCGGCTTCTGCCACCGCCAAACAGAGCAACGACTGGCTTTCCGGAATAACCAATTACATGGAGACGATTCTCAAGGTATTGTTCTCTGAAACTCCGAACTCTTCGGTTGATTTGGTTTTCTTCGTGTGTTAAATCGAAACTGGAATTTGAATTATCAACGCGCTAGATGGAGCTTGTGATTACCGCGTTTTGGAGAAAATGTTATTAGAATTATTGAATGGAAGAGTAAGCTTAAGATTATAGCTCCCTACAGTTTGCACTTGTTGTTATTGGTTGGTAGGACAGGGTTCTGGTGCGGATGGTTAGTTGCATTTGCTGCTGTAGTTGAGAACTGCGAAACATAGGTCTAGGTGCCATGGACCGACTTAATTTATGATGATAGTTTTTGCTTAATAATGAAATAATTTATTCCTGTTGAAATCTCAACTTGTATACGTTCTAATGTTGGAACTGATGCATTGAAGATTGCAAATTTGACAAATTTATTAAAGTTCTTTTTATCGATGTTCAACCAAAGGATTATTAAACCGATGTGGTAAACACTTCCCCTGCCAATACACGATAAATTAGTTCAAAAGACTGTAAACAACTTAGCAAAAAACAATAAAAGGAAGTTGCAGTTTATTGTTATGGAGTATTAAGATGATTGACTGAAGGATATAGCAGTACTTGTGATTTATTGTTACATGTGAATTAGATAATTATTTTGCCTCGAAGTTGTACTGGTCTAAGTACACACGGGTCTTCTTTTGCCATTACAAATACTGTCCAGTAATTCTGACCGGAAGTAATTTACATTTCTCAGGTACTCAAGGATGGGCTTTCTGCTTTGCATGTCCCATATGCGTATGGTTTTGCAATTATACTGCTCACAGTTCTTGTAAAAGCTGCCACGTTTCCTTTAACCAAAAAACAGGTTTGTATGTAGTTGTTCAAATATGTCGACAATGATCAATACAATCCACGATCTTTTGAATCTTTGTGTTTATGGTTTTGAACTGACTATTATTGCTTTTGACATTAAAGAACTTGGTAATGGGTAGAATATTCTTTCTTATATCATATTCATCATGATTCAGTCAATAAATTCGGTGTGATTATTCTCAGGTAGAATCTGCCTTAGCTATGCGAACTTTGCAACCTCAAATAAAGGCTATCCAGGAGCGGTATGCTGGTGATCAGGTATTTAGCCTTTATAACAATTAAACTACTGTGGGAACTATCATTGAATACATTTTTACATATTGCCTTAAAGCATAAGCTCCTATAATTTTGATTGAATTTCATTGCTAGTACTCGTTTTAGTGTGTGCTTTGAATGTTAAAAGATGGGATTTGATTGGATTCTAAATCAAAAGTTGTATTTGAAATGATAAAAATAAGATTTGATTTTAAAATGTATGGATCTCTATGAAATTTTATGAATCCTGTCAAATTTAGCAGGATTTGTGGGAATTGATTAATTTTTACCCTTACTGAATTGCCTTATTAAATGAAAAATAAATTTCATTTTTAATGAATTCTAAACATGGGATTTAAATCAGTTAAAATCCCACTTTTATAATTAGGTTCCAACATAGAATTTACTGAATTGTCACCTTTGAGGATTCCAAACACAATGTTAGCATTTTGACTCTGCAATCTCTTAATCAATGGAGTTCTCTAAAAAATAGTTCAAACCTGAAGATATATATTGCTTCTTGCAGGAGAGAATTCAACTTGAAACTGCTCGATTGTATAAACTAGCCAACATTAATCCTCTTGCAGGTATTCATTTTATTATTGTCTCTATTGCAAAAGGTTTATTGATGTTTCTCTTTGGCTTTTTTGAGCATGGTGCCTTCCAAAGATTTCATGTCCCAAGTGCTATCATTTTCTGAGTTATTCCCATAAATTTTCTCCTAATGTTTCCTAGGATACTTGGAACTATGGGCATTATCTAATTTTTAAAACATGAAGTTGGTAACATTTTTGCCGATATGTCTTCATTTTTTACTAGGATGCCTGCCCACACTCGCAACAATACCAGTGTGGATTGGGCTATATAGAGCCCTTTCAAATGTGGCAGACGAGGTATGCTGCTTATGATGTTGATTTTTTATTTGATTGTTAACTATACAATGTTATTCACTTGTCGGATCTGATATATGAAGGGACTCCTTACTGAAGGCTTCTTTTGGATACCTTCTCTTGCTGGTCCAACTACAGTTGCAGCTCGTCAGAATGGAAGTGGTATCTCTTGGCTTTTTCCTTTTGTGGTCAGTATCCCGGATAGAAAGTAAAGTCATGTTACAAATATTTAATTATGTAACCTTGTGGTTTTTCTGTTTTGACCTCCATTTTTTAGGTTACCTGATATGAATCACAAGGGGTAATTTAGGATCTTTAAGGTTAAAACATTGTAAGAAATTTAGGAATTAGAAAGAAGGTGGAAGGAAAGAATCACTCTTCCCAAGGGAGGCAACACACAAAGGATGTGACAGTCCTTTGATACAGCCAAGGGTTCTTGAATCACTCAAGAATTTAGGAGAATCACTCTCACTAAGATAAAAGAGATAAATTCTAATATTTCTGAATAAAATTTCACTTGTTATTTCTTGATAAGAATGGTTCAGCTGATATAGAGGCGTTGCCATCAGAATTACAAAAGACTTAATAAAAGAAAATAAATACTAATAATAACCCATTAATCTAGGAATTGAAAACTATTTAATGGAAACAAATAAAGGCTAATAATGATCCATTAACCTAGGAATTGAAACTACTTAATGACTGATTGTATCTAAAATTGTGGCAACCAAAAGTCAATCAGCTATGCACCCCTTGGTCTCCCAAAGGCTGATGACTAAATTTTCAATTGGGCCCTTATTACAACTTAAAACAAAATCAAACTAAAGCCCATTAATTGATTAATCCAAAACACAATTTGGTCAACCAACAATACTTGTTGAAGAACTTCCTTTGTTTTCCTTGCTCTAGCCCTTATCATAGGTCATATTCACATCATTCTCTCCCTCTTGAAAAGGATTTGTCCTCAAATCAGATTCGTCATCTACATTAAAAAGAGATAAGTCTGACAAATTAAATGTAGAACAAACATTATACTCACTTTTTATGGCTAAATAGCTCTGTTTCACTTCAAGTGTTTCACTCCTCTTTTGATCACTCTTTTTCCTTTCAAGTGTTTCACTAAACGCTTTCTTTCCCTCTCTTTTCTTGAAGAAGTTTTTCTTTCATTTTCTTTTTATCCTCACATACTTCTTGTGGACTCAAAGGTTTGAGCACAATCTTCTTGTCTTGGTGCATGAAAGAAATCTTGTTGGTGAACCCGTTAAGATTAACTCTTTTATCAAATTGTCATGGTCTCCCCAAAAGTAAATGACTAACTTCCATAGGAATAATATCACAAAGCACCTTATCATTGTATTTTCCAATGGAAATGTCCACTTCAACTTGTTGTCTCACTTGCACCTCTCCATCCTTACTAAGCCATTGAAGTTTATATGGCCTAGGATGTGGTTTGGTAGCTAAATTTAGCTTTGATACTAATCTAGCACTAGCCACATTGGTGCAACTACCGCCATCTATGATCATTATGCACACCTTGTCATTGATTAAACATCTAGTGTGAAAAATATTTTTTCTTTGGTTTTCTTCCATAGGTTTCAATTGACTATCAAGTAATCGCCTAATCATCAATAAATCTCCCTTTGGAATCTCTTCCTCCTCCTCAGTGTCTTCACTCTTTTCTCCCTCTTCAACCTCAGATTCACTTATATATTCTCCCTCTCTAAGAATCATGGTCTTTGTGTTAGGGCACTCATAAGCATAGTGTCCTAGGCCTTGACACTTGAAACACTTCACATCTCTACTTTTTTTAGAGGGTTGTTCTTCATATTTTGAATGAGTCTTTGTAGGAATAGGTGTGGAACTACTAGAAGTAACAGTCCCATCTTTTTTGCCTTTGTCCTTCCAACTTGAAAATTCAAAGTTGGTAGAACTCTTCTTAGTCACTTCTTTTCTTTTGAGTTGTTGCTCCACTCGAATTACTTTATGAAGTAAATCCTCCATATCAACTAACTCCTGCAACTCAACAATATCACATATATCAATATTCAAACCACCAATAAATCAGGCCATAGTTACCTCTTCATCTTCTTCAATCTTTGCTTGAATCATGAGCATGTCCATTTCTTTGAAATACTCCTCAACCCCTTTGTTGCCTTGAGTAAGTTTTTGGAGTTTAAATTTCAAGTCCCTTGCATAACTAGCCGGCACATACCGCTTCCTCATGATCCTTTTCATCTCAGTCCATGTATTAACCATTGACTCTTCATTTCTATCTCTCTGCTTTTGTAGCTTGTTCCACCAAACAAGAGCATAGTCAGAAAATTCTGTTGTTGCAAGCCTCACCTTTTGGGTCTCCTCATAATTGTTGCATGAGAAAACATGCTCTATTTTCATCTCCCACTCCAAGTATGTTTCTGGATCACTTTTTCCTTTGAACGGAGGAATGTTAAACTTGACTCCTTCAAGCCTACTTGGTCTTGTTACTCCATCATTCATTCTCCTATTTCTCCTTTCTTCTTCGTCTTCAGGATTTCTATTCTCCAACCGGTTCAATCTTTCATGGAGCTTATTGTTATGTCGTATCATTAATCCTTCCAAATGTTGTGTCAATACTCTCATTTGAATTGGACTAATTCCTGCTTCTTGATTGTAATTTTTCTCTTCTGCCATCAATTTAATGTTCAAACCTTTAAACCGGAGCTCTGAATACCAAATGATATGAATTACAAGGGGTAATTTAGGATCTTTAGGGTTAAAACATTGTAAGAAATTTAGGAATTAGAAAGAAGGTGGAAGGAAAGAATCACTCTTTCCAAGGAAGGCAACACACAAAGGATGCGACAGTCCTTTGATACAGCCAAGGGTTCTTTAATCACTCAAGAATTTAGGAGAATCACTCAAGAATTTAGGAGAATCACTCTCACTAAGATAAAAGAGATAAACTCTAATATTTCTGAATAAAATTTCACTTGTTATTTCTTGATAAGAATGGTTCAGCTGATTGCCATTAGAATTAAAAAAGACTCAAAAGAAAATAAATACTAATAATAACCCATTAATCTAGGAATTGAAAACTATTTAATGGAAACAAATAAAGGCTAATAATGATCCATTAACCTAAGAATTGAAACTACTTAATGACTAATTGTATCTGAAACTGTGGCAACCAAAAGTCAATCAGCTATGCACCCCTTGGTCTCCCAAAGGCTGATGACTAAATTTTCAATTGGGCCCTTATTACAACTTAAAACAAAATCAAATTAAAGCCCATTAATTGATTAATCCAAAACACAATTTGGTCAACCAACAATACTTGTTGAAGAGCTTCCTTTGTTTCCCTTGCTCTAGCCCTTATCATAGGTCATGTTCACATCATTACCCCTTTTGGCAACTTGATATTTTTTTTCATTCTTTATAATAGGAGAGAGCCAAACTATCCATTGTTCTAATTTTTGTGACTGCTCTTCTATAAGTAATCTTCTGTCACAAGTTACCCAGGTTATATAGGGAACCCCCAACCTTTTGTTGGGAGTGCTCAAATCACAATCATATCATATGTACTAAAGTTGATTTTATTGCTGACTTTAGAGGGTATATTTAGGTAAAATCTTTGCATGTGAAAAAAATCTGAAATCAATTTCTTTTTTGGCATATATCTTTAGAATAAGCTGTGTGTGTGTTCATTGTCCACAAGTGTGGGTTACACAATGAGAAAAGGAAGGATATATGTGTATTTACATTCAACGTATTACTTGAAGAGCGTATATTTGTATCTGACCTACTAAGATTAACCTCTCTTTTCTAAAAACCAATAATTGAATGAATGTCAATGTTCGGTTTGTCTAGTGGGACAGAACTTTTTAAATTTTGAATCGCCTTCATTGATCTAGACTATTGTAAGATATTTCACATATATTATGGGTTTTCTTTGTTCACGTTGTTGGTGATTTATTGCAGATTCTAGGTGGATTTAAATGTCAATCTTGTTTTAATGATTTTCGCTTTACTCTGTCTTCAGGATGGTCTCCCTCCCCTTGGATGGTCAGATACATTGGCTTACCTGGTCTTGCCTGTGTTGCTGGTCGTCTCTCAGTACATCTCTGTCCAAATAATGCAGTCATCACAGGTCAATCATGTTGCATGTACAATTAAATCAAATGCATCTTAATTTTATTCATGAACCTTATTGTGCTTTATAAGAGTTTTAGCCATGTCTATTATAGCTTTTAAATAGAAAACATATCAAGCTGCTTCGTAATTATCTCAATATGTTTGAATATTGTATTAATTTGGCCATTTTGTATCCATATTGTGGCTATATAACGGATTAACTTCTCATCTAATATGTCATGTAACCCAACCCTTCCCCTGTTCTATAAGGATTAAAGAAAACTGTGTTAATTTACTTTATGTGTCTGCTTATTAAAAGGGAATCTATGCATTTACACTGTTAGCTGAGTTTAACTTTCATTGTCAATTTTCAGCCTAATGATCCCAACATGAAAAGTTCTCAAGTCTTGACCAAGTTCCTTCCATTAATGATTGGTTACTTTGCTCTCTCAGTTCCTTCTGGTCTTAGCCTTTACTGGTCAGTATAGGTAAAGGTCACAGCTAGTTTTTTTTATTTAACCCATATGTATACTTACCTATTATTTTTATGTTTTGTAGGTTAACAAATAATATATTGAGCACTGCACAACAAGTATGGCTTCAAAAGTTAGGAGGTGCCAAAAATCCAGTCAGGCAAGTCCCAGGTGATATCATGAAGAATGACGTAACACAGGTTCAGAAGTCAATATCTAAACTAAATTCCACAGCAGCGGAAGAAACCAGACAAAATGAGAAAAAATCAGAGGGGCCACGAGCTGGTGATAGGTTAGTAGGTGGAGGCGGTTACACTCATTTCATATGCTATTAGTTTATTTTCATCTGTTGTGATTGGTCTCCTCTTTGTGTTGAAGATTTAAGCAATTAAAGGAGCAAGAGGCAAGGCGAAGACAACAAAGAGAAGAAGAAAAAAGAAAAAGCATGGAAGCAGCAGCTAGAGAAACTAAAGTAAATGAGAGTCACGAGTCACTTGAGAAAACTGGAGGTGATTTAGTTGTTGAAAAACCTCTGTCTGTGGCTTCAGACACTGATCCCTCCATATCTGGAGTAGTAAATGGTAACCTTTTAGGTAAAGACTTGGATGGAAATCAGAATTCTACATCTACATCTGAGACAGAAAATAATGAAGGTTCTACACATTCCAACAATGTTGAGATAAACGAGAAAAATTCAGACAAGGTACTATTTCACATGAGTATGGGGGATTTTCCCTACTATTTATTTGTTAAAGATGCATTTGCTTCATTCATATATATAGATGCTAGAATAAGTGATTATTTCTTCAAAATAAAATGAATGCAGCCTGCATATTAGTGTAAGGGCCAATGATTAATTGTTGAGTGAATTTCATATAAATTTTATTAAAACAATAAATTCAATTCTTTTTGTTATAATTCTTATGTAAATTGTTCACAACAACTAAAATATATTAAAATGGAGTTTTCTAATATACTCCAAAGAGTTATGTATTGTACACCAAAATTAAATGAACAAAATGCAACAACTTCACTTTAGGGGTGTTTAAGTAATTTTCTTTTTAAATTTAAAAACAGTAAAGTCTCTTCATTTTCCCACTATTTCCCCAACATGTACTCGTCTTCGCCCATAGCCCTTCAGCATCCCAATGCGAACAGTTCATTTTATTTTATAAATTTAAAGAATAGTATTAGCTTTTTTCCCTCCATATATGGAGTAGTAAATGCTAATCAATTACGTGTGAAGACTTGGAGGGAAATCAGAATTTGACATCTACATAGAAAAAATAATGAAGGATCTGCTTATTTCAAACATGTTAGATAAACTAGAAAAGTTTAGACAATATATTATTGCACCTATGAATATAGGGCATTTTTCCTAATATTTATTTGTCAAAGATACATTCTTTATAATAGATATGGTAGAAAATACCTTTTAATTTCCGTCTCTGAACATGTGAGAAAGATGGATGACGAGAGAAATATGAAGTGCTTTTGGCAATTTCTTCCAGTTCCTTTTGTGGGATAGGAATGACAATGTGTGTGTGAACACCTCAATCACCTTTTCAACTGACTTATGCTACAAAGATAATGCAAGCGTTAAATTTTTGTAGTCCTATATCCTTTAATGTGAACTGTTTGCTTGACACTTCTGTTTACCGTATTTGGAAAAAGTTTATTCCTTTGACTTCGTGACACTAAGATGTGTATTTGTATATATATATATATATATATGAAGTTGCATACAAAATCTGTAATTGGATGTTCAAATAATGGAACTGACACTAAATTATACTGCTAGTCTTGTGATTTGCTGATACCAAGTCACTGGATAACAAGTTTTGTGCGCGTTTCTTTTTTTCAGCTTTATATTCTCTGGTGCTGATAGAAACCATCAGCATAAAAATAATAACCTCATTAATTGCACAATTCTCTCTGTCTGATCCATAATCTTACAGGAACCAAGAGAAGTATTAACATCTTCAACCACTACAAACAGACAAGCTCCTGCAGAAGATGCAGAACGCATGACAAAGGATTGACCAGCCTAAAGAGATTGATCTTCTTGGATATGACTGGCCCAGTTACCACTATATGCCATATTGGAAACACAGCCTCCCTTGCAATTTGGGGCCTGCCTTGTTAACGCTGTACATTGCCTCGGAAATGGTGGAATGAATGAGATCCAAGGTTTTCTATATAGGCCGAGAAAGTGGTTGGATTTGATGGCTGATTTTACAGCCTTATAGTTGTAGTCTGTATTATACACTTCTCATCAATTTTCATTGACGAAGATGGATGAATTCCCATTAGAACAGATGTTTCACAATACCCTTTATAGTCAGCTCGTCATCTTTGATACTATTTTTGTTTGTTAGTATAATGGTTAAATAAATACTGCGGAGATACCGTGACCAGTGAATATCTATAATACGTTTTTTCTCCTCTAAATTATCGGCACGTAACAGTACTGAATAGTGGGCCTTGTATTTGTCGTGACTTTTACCTATTCAATTGTACTAATTTTGATGGTTTATAAAATTGTAAGGTTTGATTCCCATCCAAGCCATATCTTTGACGTGAAGTTACGGTATATTTTCTTTGAGACACTAGTTTTTAGAAAGTAAACCAGTTTTAATATAGTGCCTTGACTCGTTAAAATTCTTGGGTGCTTGGTTCCGTTCCAAGTTTTCTGCCCCGGGAAACTGAAGTTTTTGAATGCCATGTTTCGTTTGTTGACGCAATTCTCCGTATTGGACGGACAGTTCAACACCTTCATTGTTTCTGTGTTTAGCACGCGCACTTGACTGAGGTGGACTTTGCGTGTTGGCTACATTTTCGTTACTTTTGTTGAATTATTCTACGGTTCTAGACAGAGATGTAAAATCCATTTAGAAAAGAACGAACCGGAATGGTTTTAGGAACTAAACCACTACTTCACTATTTCAATCTTCTTGGTCGATGAGCCATCAAGAAACAAAGACCATGCCTATGGACTTAAAGTTCAGGCCCAACAATTACTAAGCAAAGGGGGAGGGGGAGCCCCACTAAACATTTCCTCATTTCTTAATTCCATCATTTTTTAATAATCAGACATATTGACATATGCAATCTTTCATGTCACAGGCCAAAAGAATGAGTTTCTCTCTCGGGAATCCAAACATTTCATAACGTAGGTTTGAAGCTTTGCATTGAACCACATAAAGAAACATGCTAATGATAATTATTTGCAATGGCCAGCACATGATCCAATCATTAAAGATAACTTTACTTTTCTATTATCGTCATTGTTTCTATACACAAATTATCTTTTGTTACACTAACATTTATTATCTTTGACATTAAGTTGCTTAGTTTATGTTAGCTCACTAGCAACGTCATCATAACTTCATAAATATGCCCGCATTATATAAATTCCACATGAAAAAACAAAAAACTTTGCTAAATAATCGAAGAACAAAGTTTTTTTTGGGAAGAAAGTCACAAGTAAGAACTTATACTTTTATGATAACTTAAACTTTTATGATCTAATAATTTGTCATGAATTTACTTACTTTAATTTGTGGTGAGTGAGCCATAATTGCTCACTTTTCATCATTCCGATTGTATTGATCCATATCATCATAAAAGCCTGTGCTATCTGGCAGCATATCAATGGAAATTCGTAACAAAATATTTCATAAACTTATACATATCTTTTCTTAGTTTTTGTTCTAAAAAGAGGAAAATAAAAATGATTGGGGAGGCTCTTCCAATCAATATTCATTCACGATTGCTCGTTAACTATCGTAACAAGCCACTACAAAAGAATGAACATATTTATTTGTACAATTTGGTAGCATAATGACTAATAGGAATGGTCACTATATTGTTGGAAAAATTTGGGTCATGTATATATATGATACATAATTTAAATGTGTTAGGGTCATTATTTATTAAGCCAAATAATAAAGTGATCTGACTAAATTAAAGTTTTGGCTAAAAGCATATGTCATGAAAATAAAATTGTGTAGAGACCATACAGCAATTTCTAATTTGATGAGGGGCCAAATTGGAAATACTAAAACTTAAGTAATTAACCTAATTCTGGTTATCTAAAGGGTCATGGTCCCCTTCTGAGAGCACACACACAGAACGTAAGTATCAGTCTCGTTCCTTTCTTTCTATCTCCATCAGAGAGAAAATCAAGAGGGAAATACAAGTGCTCTTCAGGTGGAAGACCATAAGATCAATATAGTGCTCTACAAAGACATCATCGTTATGGCTAATTCAGGTACGTTTTCGCATTCAGTTTACAGCATGTTTATCAGTATGGGATTATGTTTATGTTTGATTGTTAGAATCAAAATCAGATGATTATTATTATTATTATTATTAATTTTCCAACATATATGGCACATGGTTTGCTCATGATAAGCTATATGTGTTATAAAGTATAACCTAATCCATATCTAATAATGCCACCACATGCATGTTTTGACAAATAAGTCTTCACCAACATCTTCACATCTTTTGAATCCATAACCCATCCTTTTCTTAATTCACGTACAAGATGTGTACATCATTTGTACAATAAACTAAGATTTGTACATGACTTGTATAAATAACTCTTCATCAACATCTACAATCAAAACACATGATTTGTACAAGATTTGTATAAGAAACTAAGACTAACTTTTCAAGTTTGTGATATGTGAGTGCATTAACTGTAATTGCTTCTTTGTTTTTTTTTTTTAATGGTCAATATGCTCAACCTAACCATCCAAAACAAAAATTTAAATCTAGATCACATGCATTATTATTCCCTATGTATTAATATATTATAATGACAAACTCTTTTACACAAAAAAGTCAAGAATCTCTTCTATATAATTCAAACATTAATATATAGTGTATGACAAGGGAAAACCTTTCCGTAGGATACCTTTCTTGTACTGATGCAATCAACTAATCATTCACATATCATGCCAACAACCTATTCACAAAAATAACAACTAATTTTGTTTTCTTCCTTCAAGTCAATTACTTTAAGAGAATACTCTATTGCTCAAGTTAATTAAATATTTTAAAAAAAAAATATCACTATATGAACAGGGATGAATGAACATTACACTCACTTTTCTTCTTTAATAAATTTTGGGCCATGAATGGAAGCAGCATTTAATTCAGAGCTTGGTTGTGCATCACCCATTTGGAATCTTGCTGTATTGATGAGTTTTGGAGAGAAAGTTTCCCACCCAAAACTACAAAATGGGTTAGTTTGGCCCAATTTGTGGAAGCATACCTGAGTCTTGGATTAGGTCAAAGAAAGTGAAGAAGTAGGCCCCACTTAGACAAGTATGAAGGTAAACAGTGACCACATGCCCTAACATGCCTTCTCATCTATGCATCTCACCACATTCACGGATCCTACGCTCCTCCCATGTGTCCTCTACTGTCCTACACCCCTTTCAATTTACTCTTATCCCCTTTTATCACTAATCATTAATCATTTTTAATATTTTATCAATAACTGTTAAATATACTTTTATTCATTAAAATTGAAAAATATCAACAAAATTTACAACAACTCACTTTTTACTCGGTCAACTGAATGAAATGTCACATTTCATTTCCCTGCACAGTTCACGCTTGTGCATGTGTTCTGGTCAGATCATTTAGTGTTCATCGTTTTTTTTTTCCTTTGTCAAAATGGACCAAATTATGACTGTCACAACTAATTTCTCTTGTGTCTATCCTCATCCCATCACTTTGCTAGATAAGGTAAGGTGTCTGTATTTTGGATACTAGTTATGGATCATGGCAGAGAAATTAATAAATGCACATTTGTCATTTGATAAAGCTTAAAGCCTAAGATTTGAACAAGATCTGCAATTTGCAGAGCATATTTCTCCCTGAGAGATGAATTGAATGTTACATGGAAGAGTTGAATTGCAGGAGGAAATTGAACAGGATAATTGGTGTGAACTGGTATATAAAATACATGGACATCGGGAATGACCCGTCATAAATGGTGTTAATTTATGCAATGTGTCGAGTGTAGACACCTATTTCAACGGCCATAGTGACTTCAGATGCAGATGAAAGTGATATTGAGATGAATGTCACTGAAGTGGGGTCTGAATGCTGTAATTACTGAAGTAGCTCACTGCATACGAAGTAAATAACCGGCAAAGATTTCATCTACACAAACATATGTGTCGGCGCAGAGTTAATTGGTGATTAAACTTTGAAACAACATTCTAAAACCCTTAATACACTCAAAAGTTTAATAGACATATATAGTACTAATGCACCATAACAAATTGAGTATTTCGGACTAAACATTAAACAAAGAGGTGGTATAGGGGATAACAAGTAGCCAAAGTTTGGAAATACAGATCACAAAGAATTAGGGAGCTCAATTAAATAGTTAGCAGAATACTAATAAAGTGTTGTATTAAGGATGATTATTGATTACCTTAACTCCTATGTACCAAATATATATTTATATTCTATAGATATGAGGCACGGTTTTTCAGTTTGTTCCCTATATATAGTGTAAAATGTCCTTACATTTCTTCACAAGCATACTATTCCTTTATCCTCCTTGCCTTTTAGTACTAGTAATCCTCAAGAGTTTTTGATTCTGATTGCAGATCAAGCAGTTATGGAAATTCCAATTCCACTGTCATTTATGTTACTCTTTCTACTGATTGTACCTTCATGCATTTGTTTTTCCCCACTTCAAGATCCTGAACTAGTGGTTGAAGATGTACAAAAGTAGCAAACAAAGCTTTTCTCAATATCTTTTTTTAAGAATGCTGAGTGCTTACATGTACTTGCATGTTTCAGCATTATAAGGGTAACAAAACTTATGTTATGTTCTTCTTCTTTATTTATTGCAGGAGCATTAATGCCTCAAGGAGGAACTTGGCATTTCTCTCTTGTGGGACGGGGAACCCCATTGATGATTGTTGGAGGTGTGATGCCAATTGGGAAAAGAATCGCAAGCATTTAGCAGATTGTTCCATTGGGTTTGGTAAGCAGGCAATTGGAGGGAGGGATGGTAAGATATATGTGGTGACTGACCCTGGTGATCACCCTGTGAATCCCAAGCCAGGAACACTTAGATATGGTGTGATCCAAGAGGAACCACTGTGGATCATTTTCCAGCGTGACATGGTGATCAGGCTGAAGGAAGAGCTTATGATGAACTCTTTCAAGACAATTGATGGCAGAGGGGTAAGTGTGCACATTGCTGGTGGCCCTTGCATTACTATACAGTATGTGACCAACATTATCATTCATGGGATTAACATCCATGACTGCAAACAAGGAGGGAATGCCTATGTGAGGGACTCCCCTTCACACTATGGATGGAGGACTCTCTCAGATGGTGATGGCATCTCCATCTTTGGAGGGAGTCATGTTTGGGTGGATCACTGCTCTCTCTCCAATTGCCGTGATGGCCTAATTGATGCTATCCATGGATCCACTGCCATTACCATATCCAACAATTACATGACCCACCATAACAAGGTCATGCTTTTGGGCCACAGTGATACTTTCACTAGGGACAAGATCATGCAAGTCACCATTGCTTTTAACCACTTTGGAGAAGGGCTAGTACAGAGAATGCCAAGGTAAGAAAGACCTTTATTTGGATCACATAATATTTTATTAGGGATAGCTACTTAGCTATACTTATATCTAAGTTTTTAAGATCAGTCTGCCAGAGGTATTCTGAGTACATGATCCAGAAAAGTAACAGAAGTGTAAACCTTGTTTATCTTAACTCTTTGAAGATAATTTGTACTATTTATCGTGAATTCAAATATGTACTTACTTGCCCACTTTTTACATTTGCAGATGTAGGTATGGATACTTCCATGTGGTGAACAATGATTACACCCAATGGAAAATGTATGCCATAGGGGGGAGTGCTGCCCCAACTATCAATAGCCAAGGGAATAGATTTCTTGCTCCTAATGACAATACCTTCAAAGAGGTGAGTTTGAGAAGAATACGATTTTCCTCTGTTTGTTGACTTTTAAAGTTTTAACTACAGCACATTAAGAATGTCACATCACATTCACTTTGTGGACTGATCATAATTGGTTTTAGAATTCTGGTAGATAGATATCATTATTACAGTTGGTGGTAGTTAAGAATGGAAAATTAAAACTAATTTTCAGGTGACAAAGAGGGAGAATTCAGCACAGAGCAAATGGAAGAACTGGAATTGGAGGTCAACGGGAGATTTGATGTTAAACGGTGCATTTTTCACTGCATCAGGAGCAGGTGCATCTTCAAGCTATGCAAGAGCATCTAGTTTGTCAGCAAAACCATCTTCGCTTGTCAGTTCTATAACGGCATCAGCTGGATCACTTCGATGCAGAAAGGGTTCACGTTGCTGAGTTCAACTATTCACCAACACAATCCAATATTATATGATACTACAATATTATATTACACAGTAATAAAAGGCAAATAATTATGCATGCCAACTGCATCTACTTCTGGGGAAAAAAGTGGTTCAACTTTGTGTACATGTAACTTCTTAGACATCATGTTTTTTGTAACGACAACCTTAGCTTGTGTTCACAAACGATCTACCTTGTGTTACCAAGTGGGGTGATGAGGTTGATAAACTCAACACAAGCGAAAGAGTTGATATGAATGTTCAACCAGAATCCTCAAGAACATTTAATGAATGTGAGAAAGATGTAATACTGTGATAAAGAGATACCCTCATCATCACATGGTGTGTAAAGAAAACAGATTTATGAATCGTCATTGGTAATTGGAACCACGTAGTTGAAAGATGGGACCGATATCTGGGACAAGCATCTTTAATGGCTTGTGTGTGCATTCATGAATTTGACACATACACCCTGTGTATTGTTTAGAAGGATTCATGGATTTTTCTCTGACATGCAAGGCTATGAGTTTGAAACGCCACAAATAATGTTTCTGGCACTTAATTTTCACACACAAAGTGACAATAGTTGAAGTTTAATTTGTGTCTCCGACAAGATACTAGTGCTGCTATAAATGTCACCGCCAAACACTTCTTTTCAGAATTGCATTGCACAATGTAAGGTTTTTGTGTTCTTTCCTAGGTCTAAAAATTAGATTTGTGCATGCAATAATATAAATTAGTTCAAAATAATGCGCTTTTTATTGTTTAAAAATTAGCTAAAAAGTTAAATGTCTATTAGAAATCGTTCAAGCTCTTGCATTAATATTAGTTGAGGAATTAATAATAAAAATAATTATTGAAATTATACCAATAATCTATTGAAAATTACAAGTACATTAATAACATTTTTAAATAAACATTTTTTTTTTTACTTTTGTTTTGTAGCCAGAGACAAAGGAAAGAAAGGGAAGCAGGTCCTAATTCAGTCTTAAATTTTGTCCCAAAAAAAATGATGGAAAATGAAAGAAAAGTTGGGTTTTATTGAAGAGTTAAATAAGTTTTTGTTAATTGCGATTTGTTTAAACAAAATCAATTTTTTAATACATAACATTTAATATGTCTGCAAATTTTGTTCTAATAGTAACTTTATTACATTCAAATTAACATATGTAAATATCAATAATTTAAAAATAACAGAATAATTCTTATAATTAAGTTTACATATTTATTAAATGTAAGATATTAAAAATACAAAAATAAATTGGAGAAATGATTTCCATATATGTCAATTTTATAGGTACTTATTTAAACCTTAATTAAATAATAAAAAATCCTATTTTTTTCTTTATTTTAAGTATTTATATCATATAGTTTAAATATATCCAAGACATTGCACATATTACCAATTTAATAATTAAATTATTGAGTTTTATCTAATAAATTTAACTTTTAATTTTTGGAAATGAGATACCTCACTCATAGTTTATTTTTTTTAGGTTATTCTGTGACGCGTCTTTTATACCAAATTAAATTTAAAAACATAAAAGTGTATGTATGAAAAAATTATTAAAATGATTAAAGGTTTTTTAAATCTGCCGAAGGCAAGGAACAAAGAAATTCTGAAGTCTATTATGGCTTTTTATGGTTTTTAAAGAACAAGTTTGAACTTTATACAAATTTATACTTTTTCTTGATAACAGTTTTTCATAGATATGGTTAGAGATTGTTGTTTCCTTCAAAATTATGTTTCAAGACATTTTTAATTTATTGGGGACAAACCAGACGGCAGAGGAATCTTACACGAAAGCAACATCTAACTTTTCTTGGACCAATTTTATCACTCAAAAAACAAAACAAAATTGTACCTCATTTAACGACCAATTCATGCAGCATAATTGATGGATGATAGACAAAGAAAGTGCCACTTTCTGATGCTGCAACTCCAACGGTACCTCTTAGCTGCGAATACAGACACATACTTCATACTTCAAATGTTAGTGTAATGGATTTTTTTTATTCTTATTATTACTGTTATTTGCTAATTTAAGTAATGTTCTATAGACTCTATAACAGTGTGTAAATTGACGTTGGAATGTATGATCTAGAAATCCCAGAAATTAAACAAGCTTTTTTTATAGATTGATTAATCAGGAATACAAAATACCTATATACCTATATATATAATAAGCTCAAGGTCTATCAGTTTTATAGAGGAACTCAACTGTACAAATCCTCTCTTTATTAATGTTGTTCTTCCCTCCGTAGGAAGTTGAAGACATTATGGCATTTTCATTCACATTTATGTTCCAGTTTTTGGTTCTTGCCCCATCTGTGATTTGTGCATTTCCGGTTCAAGATCCTGAATTAGTGGTCCAGGAAGTGCAAAAGTATGTTATACAATACTTTGTTTGCAACATGTTAAACTCTTGCTCTTTCCCCAGTGGGGTCCTCTACAATACAAGCATCTCTTGCATTGCCTAGTCCATTACCAGAAAATACCACAAAAAGGGATCTGGAGATAATAATCCTTGTCTAAACTTCCATATTAACAACTATTAGTATAAATTAAATTCTTAAAAGTTCTGTTTTTAGTTAATTTTTCCTTAATGACGCTGTGATGCATAGCTTTTATACTATCTTCAATTTTAAATTCAAATTCATTTAAACATTTGTCTGAAGTTTTGGTTTTCACTCATGAATGAAATCTGTTGTAATTCATGTAGCGAATATGAGATAAGACTTTGTACTCGTTATTATTCTTGGTGTACTATATATTTATTTGAAACAATTTTTCTTCTTATATTATCATTATGAACATCCATTAAGAACAAAGTAGAATATTCCCGGCATGCTTTTTCTGATGAAGCAACTCACAGTGATCACGACTTATTGTCGACACACTTCGAACAGAAGAATCATATGCTAGTGACCACGACCTTTTATGATGAAACATTTGGTAGCGACCGAACATTTTTTATTTTTTTTTACTTTCGTAGAAGCCTGGATTAATAGGAGATTTTTGGGTATTTATTCTCATTGATGATCAAGGTTTTTTTTTTCAAGACTACAATACACATGCATGCATGTACTTTGATGCTTAAGCAGGAGACTGAAAATGGAGCATGTTGTTTTGAGTGTAGGAGCATCAATGGCTCAAGGAGAAACTTGGGATATCTTTCTTGTGGGACGGGGAACCCTATTGATGATTGTTGGAGATGCGACCCCAATTGGGGAAGGAACCGCAAGCGTCTAGCTAGTTGTGGTATTGGTTTCGGCAAGCATGCCATTGGTGGAAAAGATGGCAAACAATATTTGGTCACTGACCCGAGTGATAACCCTATGAACCCTAAGCCAGGTACATTGAGACATGCTGTTATCCAACAAGAGCCTTTGTGGATCATTTTCAAGCATGACATGGTGATCCAGCTACACATGGATCTCCTTGTTAATTCTTACAAAACTATTGATGGAAGAGGAGCAACTGTCCACATTGCTGGAGGGCCCTGCGTTAAAGTGCACAAGAAGAGGAATATCATAATTCACGGCATACACATTCATGATTGCAAACGAGGTGGCAGTGCATACGTGAGTGATTCTCCCAACCATCGTAGTTGGAGTGCTAGATCGGACGGTGATGGGATCACAATCTTTGGTGGGAGTCATATTTGGGTGGACCATTGCTCCTTGTCGAACTGTTTTGATGGCCTGATTGACGTTGTTCATGGTTCAACGGCCATCACCATTTCCAACAATTACATGACACACCATAACAAAGTCATGCTCTTGGGCCACAGTGATGCATATAAACATGACAAGAATATGCAAGTCACCATAGCCTTCAACCATTTTGGAGAGGGGCTTGGAGGAAGAATGCCCAGGTAAGTTGTTCTACACCAAAACATAAGATATATAAGGCCTGTATAGCTTGTGTAATATTCATTTCGATTGGATATTAAGAGACAACAGCCTGATCTCCTACACAAATTTGCAGATGCAGGTTTGGATACTTTCATGTGGTGAACAACGATTACACACATTGGCAACATTATGCAATAGGTGGGAGTTCATCCCCAACCATTTTCAGCCAAGGCAATAGATTTCTTGCTCCAAATGACCAAGAGCATAAAGAGGTGAGAGTTACGCTTTGTGAAGTTCTTCGTTTTTCTAGACTTGAAATTGACACTGGGTGATTTTAGGTGACCAAACATTTTAAATCATCAGAAAGAGAATGGAGGAAATGGAATTGGAGATCTGAAGGAGATATAATGTTGAATGGCGCCTTCTTCACAGCGTCCGGGGCAGGAGCAACAGCTACATATGATAAAGCATCAAGCATGGCAGCAAGACCACCTACGCTTCTGCCTTCAATCATAGCCGGGGCTGGACCGCTTAGATGCAAAAATGACCAACTATGCAGCTAGACTGCTAATATGATTGCACTGGGATTTTTTAGCATGACAACTTCTCTTTTTCTATTGAGTGATGTCAGATGTATCATTCATTCCCGTAATGGGAAAATATACTATGGAACCGTACTGTTGAACAAGGAATCCAACATAAAATAATAGAATATTAGATAGTGAAGTTAATGAATCTGCGATATAATTTATTCCTGTAGCTCAAAAAGCATCTACCGCTGACACTACACTAATATAATTCATTCCTCAATACAGAGAGGTTAACGACAGAAGCCCGAGCACTCTAGCTGCAATAAGGCATATTACATTCACGCCGCCAACTCAATGGCCTAAGAAGAATGCACATACAACATTTGATTAGAAAAGTTAAACCCAGGTGAGATAAAATTGCCTGCTTCTAACTTTTCACTAATCATTACGAATTCCACCTAGTTTATCAATAACTTATTTCCTAAATAAATTGCACTCCCGTGTTACAAACAAAGTCCATTACCTAAGAAAATCTTGGACTTCCCTAAACACCTCCGCATGGATTACAACAACTCAAACAAGACTAAGATAAGAGCCCAAAATAAGACTTAAGATAACAAAATTTGACACGGCCTACAAACAAAGGTTAAAATGTCTATAAAAAAAACAACTAATCCATAATGTTTTAAATATCAAAAGATAACAATTGCATTAAAAAACAAAACAGCCGCCCAACTCCGATACAAACCGGGCCAAAATCTTACATTTCAAGTGAACATACGGACTCTGACTACAATCAAACCGATCAAATAAAATACTATGAGCAATTCAGAATCTTCAGGTAGAACGTGACTGTGTTTAAAAGTATCAGTAATCAGATGGGGAAATGACATCATCAATTTTCAATATCATCTTGACAACTTGAGTAGCGAGCAAGATCTGTTGCTGCTTTCCGATCAAAGTTTCGAAGACATTTTGCTCACGCATGTCATTAGTGCCAACATCATTACAATCAATGCCAAAGTGAGGGTTATTATCCTGAAGGCAGACCGTCATGATACACAGGAAAACAGATTAATGTCAAGTACAGATGTTTATCATCGTAAAAAGGCAATCATGTTCAATCCATTACCTTTATTTGCTGAGACTTGACAGCGGATAAAGTTTCAATTGGTTGGAGGCCACTATTTTCAGCGAGGGCCATTGGGATGGACTCCAAAGCATCCCCAAATGCTCTAATAGCATACTGCAGGGAAAGAAAAATACTCAATCAATCTTGGGGAATATCTAAAAAAAATTGTTGGCTTAAGCAAAATATTATTATCACAATGATCCATTGACCACAACTAAGTATCACCGCTATACACTATTTTGAATAGCTTCTTCAAACAGGTAAAATAATTGGATTCACTGAAAATACAACAACTACTTATTCTGACAGAATAAAAACTAATCCTAAATGAGTTTAATAAAATCCATACCTGTTCTACACCAGGGTATCTATCAGCAGCAGCCTCAACAGCTATTGAGCAGGAAATCTCAGCTGAACCACCACCATATACAATAGAATTATTACGGATAAGATTCCTAGCCACACACAAGGCATCATGAAGGCTGCGCTTTGTCTCCTCTATGATCATTTTGTTACCTACCCAAACGAAGACAAATGCATTAATTTTGTCAAGCTTGAATAGACAAATCAGCATTCAAAAGTCTGCTTTCAAAGGCTCCACACAAAATTCAGAACTTAATAGTTGCAAAGTCTAATAGAGGTAGTAGTTAAGGCTACGTTTTGGCATGATGAAAGGTGAAATGGAGAGGAAAGGAATGTAATAGACTTAAGATCCATTATTTGAATTGAAAAATAAAGGGGTAAGTAATGCAAGTATTGGAACCTATTTCTTAACCCTCAAATTGAAGGGAATGTATGGAGCGGAGCTCATAATTTTTTTATTTATTTTTTTTAACTATGACATTAATGCGTTGTCATTGTGCAAGACTAATCACCCAAGCCATCTCCAGCAACTCCAACTCTCCCCTTCTCAGAACATATACCCTTCTCCCTTGCCCCTCTAATGCAGTACTGCCAAGTGCTTCGCATCCCAGCCACTTTATTTATGCAAAGAGTTGTAGACTTTAACACAAGTTATGAAATGTTTGAGAAATGTCAGTAAAGTGTTTGATGAAAATTCTGATAGAAATACTGTGTCTTATACTGTTATGGTTCCTGGGTATAAGAGAGGAACATTTACATCGCTGTCGAGTTGTTCTAAATGACCCAATTTATTTATATGTAATATATCAGCCCATCATGTTATCAATAAAACAAACCAGTCATGAATGAAAAAATAAATAAAAGACAACTATCCAAAAGTGACATGTTAAAAAGGAAATGAAATGAAAACTAGACAGATAAATATAACAAATAAAAAAAATTATTTATTCTGCTCTGTTCAGTACCCAAACAAAAGAATGAAAATTATGTTCCATTACACAATTAATATATCCAACCAATGGAATAGATATTTTATTCTATTATATAAATTTTAGTTACAATCCATTTTAATCCATTCCATCCATTTCCTTCTATTAATCCAAACAGAGTATAAATGCTAATAATTCACACCAAGAGAAATAAAGAAATACATACAAATTTGAACACGCTATAGTTGAAAATTATCTTTCTCCCATGGGGTAACTGATTACATGAAATTTAAAGAAAACCAACAAAATGAAGGAATCAAACAGTATGTCTTTACCTCCACGGATAAATATTGTTACAGCTCTTGAGTTTGCACAATGTTCAATGTACAGCATTCGGTCTTTTGTTGTGCCAAAAGACTTTTCACGAACCATTCCAGCCTAAAAATATTTATACCACAAATTAATGTAGCTTGCTTGTTGTCAAATGAGCAAATAGTGCACAGTATGCCACCACCCCCAACAAATGATACAACAAAAATGTTACCACAGCTTGATGTTATAATTTACTAACTCTCACCATTGTATGTGATTTTAAAACGATTACCATAGCTTACAAAAACAAGCTGCAGGTATTGTCAACCCCTTAAAAGAAATGAAGAGCAAGATTATACCTTTCCCAATTTTTCTGGAGATAACTCCTGGAACCTGGGAACAATTCTTCCACCTGTATTGACAATATAAAGCATTGTTTGTTAAAAAAGCATAGAAGAATAAGAGAATATCAACAAATCCATCTGATAAAAAGTTGTGCAAACAACCTAAAAAGTTTCCAGGCATATACAGTTTGGTTAAATCAAAACATACCAGTTGCTATAGCTATCAATTCCAACTCTACACCACCAACCCATCTGACAGCTGGCAAGTTCCTGTGCATTAAAAGATGATTTGCTTCATCGTCAAAACCCCATTGGCAAATGACAAGGGTTGCACCCACATCCTGCAAAACAATGTTAGTAAAGGATACGAGGGGTTTTAATAATAAGGCTAATTTGAATTTAAATCCCAAAAGGGTTACACACGGGAATAGACAGTCACATTCTCACTGGACTAGATCGTAAACCCTCAAATATAGTTTACAAATATAATGTTTTAGTATAAAAGGTTAGTTTAATAAAATAAATGGTAGAGATCATCACACATGACCTTCTTAACGTTTGTTCCTACATGAGAAATCTTTTCCCCTTCCCCACCGCCAGGTAACAGGACATTTAAATTAGAAGATTAAAACAATTGTAAAGAGAAGTTTCACCTTGCATTTTTGAACCATGTCATCAAAATACTTCTGTTCCTGCAACCTCAACGTCTGGAACTTTTCTACTGTATCAATATCAACCTTATGCTTAGTCTTTGGCTTGGGAGGCTCAAAGGGGCAAGTCAGGATAGCAATTTTAGCATCCTCGATTTGCTTAGGCATTTGAGGATGGCTCATGTCCTTATCAACAACTATCCCATAGATCAACTCAGTGTCCTCCAATTTACCCCCAACTTTCCCCTCGACCTTAATCAGATCCAAATTAACATCTTTCCTCTCCAGATCAGCAACTGCAAGAACAGCCTTAACTGCGATCTCAGCCAAGCTACGCTTACACCGATTCACTCTACAACATTAAAACAAACAACAAACGTATTAAGATAAGCACGTAACAAATGCAAACAAAGTCAAGCAATCGATCACCAATTAGACCAAAGCAGTTCAGTTACATCTTGGAGGAGAGTGTGGTCATGCACGTTTGAATGAGAGGCTCTAAATTTGACTCGTCGAACTCGAACTTGTTGGCCACGCGCTCGAGATGATCAACCGAGATTCTAGACGCCATTTCGTAACCCTCGGCGATCCTGATGGGGTGAATTCCCCTCTCCAGAAGGCGCTCCGCTTTCTCGAGAAGTGCGCCGGCCATAACGACGACCCCAGTGGTACCGTCGCCAATTTCGTAGTCCTGGCTCCTCGAAAGCTCCACCATGAGCTTCGCGATTTGGTTATCCACGTCCATCTGCTCGAGGATGGTGGCGCCATCGTTGGCTGCAAAACGAAGGAGAGAGTGAGTGAAGGAAGTGTAGCACGTGATGATGGCACGTGCGAGGAAGTTAGTAGAACTTACTAATGGTGACGTCGCCGTCGGGGCTCTGGAGCATCTTGTCCATGCCTTTGGGACCGAGGGAGGTGCGGAGGATGCGCGCGACGGCTTTACCGGCGGAGATGTTCGATTTCTGAGCGTCCAAACCTCGGAGTCTGCTCTTCTGCTCCTGCTCTTTCAGGATTATGAACGGCCTTCCGAACTCGTCGAAAGCCAACGCCATTTCGATCGTTGGATCTCTTCTTTCTCTCTTGCACAAAGCGAACAACCAAGAAGAAGAAGAAGAAAGTGGAAAAACACTCTTAAGCCCTAACCCCAACCCTCTATTAACCTTCTTCCTTCCCACCTTTTTCTGATATTTCAATTACCGAATCACAACCCGATTCCTAGATAGGACTTGGGCTTACGCATTTTTTGTATGCTGGGCTTCGGCCCAAGCCCATTTATGAATTTGCCCATTATCTTTCATAAACTTTTGGGTTTTAGAGTTTTTATTTCTTTTAATAGTAAACTCTCTAATAACGGTAAACAAATTTTAAAACTATAAATTAAAAGAGATAAACATTAAAATACACTAAACTGTGCTCATTTTATTGTAATGTAAACTTGTTATAAGAATATTTAAATTACTGAAATATTGCCAAATAAGAGGACTATCTGAAATTTATATGAAGTTTAAAAAACAGAGTTACATGTACGTACGAATTTTCATTTTTGTTTCTTTTATTTGTAATTGTTGTTGTGTTCTTCGTTCTACTTTAAAAGTTTGCCATTCTTGTGGATTGTTACAACAAATATTAACTTTCCATGTTTCTTTTATTGTATAAAGTTATGAGAAAAATGCATTGAATAAACTAATATTATCACATGTTTTGATCTATTCTATTTTTTAAAGTGTGCCAAACATCGAATACAACTCAATACAAATATAAAATCAGATTTTTATTTCATAATAACCTTAAATATATTAATAACTTAATCAAAATTAATTTGAATGTATTAATGATAACAATTTTTATTTTACTTCTGAAGAACGTTTAAAACTTAAAAAGAAAAAAAAAGGTAGAGAGATTAGTTCGTTATACAATACAAGAGAAAAAGGGCAACACCATTTTACACTAATTTGTTAGAACGTTCTAAAGAAAACAATGAAATTTTGTTGTCTTTAGTCCTATTTGTTCCGGTTGAAATAAGTTGTATCACATATATTTTACTATTTTTATAATGCATCCAAAATAGAACACAACTCATTCTAATACTCTCATCCTAACGCCTTTAGCAACATTTAAAAAAGTATTGAAAAAATTCACCGTGATTGAACAACATTACAAAAACTAAATTGATAAAAATATATTCATGTGGAACTATTAATTAGAGTTTTGATAAAATTTGGGAAGGTAAAGTACACAATCTCCCTGAAAAAAAAAAAGAAGAAAGAAAGAGGGAATTGAACCAATGACTAATTTAGTTGAGTGAGCAATTAAAACTTCTTAATCTTCTTCATCCGTCTTCCTCTCTGGTCCCACCCAAAAGCAATCCAAATCCAATTCAAGAGAATACATTTGTTGGAGAAGGTGAAAAAAAAAAAGCCATTAAATCCAATGCCATGTATTGGATATTGGTTGTTGGGTCAACGCTAACGCTAGATATTACCCATTGAACAAATCCAAAAATGGCTTTAGCCATTAGTCATTAAGAGACCATGACATTCTCCTACTACACTGTAACATTGTATAGCATGAGGATCTACATCTTTTTACGACCACCAAAAGTTGCACTTCAAAAGTGACCCCATATTCAACACCATCGTTCAACAATCGCTTTCAGTCACGCGATTTTACCCAGACACCCTCCTACCCATCGCTGTCGCAGACAGACACCCAAGGGCACAAACGTCATTTCGCTTCTCCTACTTCTCATCATGGCATGGGCCTGGCCCAAAGAAAAAAAGAAGCGTTTTCCCCTCACCCAACGGACACGGCCTCCCCCACTTCCCTCCTCTGCGCACAAGTGCGCACGTTAGCTGTCCCCTCACACAATTATGCCCTTTCCCTCTCTCCCTCTCTCACACACTCTCACTCACTCTCCCCCTCATTTCTCACAAAATTTCATTTCATTTAATTTGATTTGGTTTTAGCATGCATTTATTAGATTGGTTTTTTACGTTTAGCTATGAACGGTGAATGGGTAATGGTGTGTGAGAGAGTGTGAGAAGAGTGGTGGCATGTACTGGTGCCTGAGCAGTGCCTTAAATGGATGTGTGTGAGCAGTGGTTCAGCTCTTTATAGCCTGCCATAACCACAACAACTACAACAACAGTACCTCACAATAGCATCTCATCCCACACACCCCCACACTCTCTTCAAACTAAAACAATCATAACGAACTCACTTTTTCATTCCGATCACGTTCTCCGCGTTTCGATCTCAAACAGAATCTGAACCGTTATTGCGATTGCGACTGTCACTGAGTTTTACTTGCTTCGTCATGTGTTGTAGTTGTTGTTGCGAGTTTTTGAGGTGTTGATTGGTTAGATTGAGAGAGAACATGAATCCTCTGTGCTGCATTGCTCCGGTTTCGATCGATCGGGACCGGGCCAACCCTGTGGTGGCCAAATCTCCCACGCAGTGTCAGCTAGGGCTCGATGCGCCCGTCAGGACGGTGAACTACGCTTCCAAATCGACCTTATCCACGCTCGATTCCTCCGTCGGCGCGGATTCCGTCAAGGCAGCCGCCGCCGTGGATCTCGAGGAGGAGGAGGAGCCCCGCGATTCGAAGGCGTTTGCCGGCGGCAATGGCGCCGGCGTTGCCGGGAGTGTTGCTGGGATCCTGTACAAGTGGGTGAATTACGGGAAGGGGTGGAGGTCGAGGTGGTTCGTGCTGGAAGATGGCGTGCTTTCGTATTACAAGATTCACGGACCGGACAAGATCTTGATGAGTCCGGCGAGGGATAGGAGCGTGAGGGTGATTGGGGAAGAGTCATCCAAGTACGTCAAGAAGGCGAATTGGAATCTGAATCGAGCACCTTCTGGAGGAGTAGGGGGAGGTAACAGTAACAACGGGAAGCAATGCAAACCGTTCGGTGAGATACATTTGAAGGTTTGTTCTTATGTTATTATCAGATGCCGACAAAGTTTATATAGATATATTGTTTTGCCACACTTTACTTACGAGAAGCGTAACTAAGGTCCATCACCAATGCACTATATTTTTTATTTTTTTTTCTGGTCCGAATCACTTGCACTAAAATATTGAGGTGCCTTTTTTTACTTTATGATTTTTCTGCTGTTTTGTGTATTTGTATCATGCAATTTTTTTTATTGTTTTTCTTGTTTGAAATTGTATTTTAACGAGCCCCTTTGCTCGGACTTCATCGTAGTTTAGATCACTGCTTTAGTTATGTATGTTTGTTCGAAGTGAAGTTTTATGACTGTCGATGCTGTTTGGTCAAATTTGCCAGATAATGTGAGAGGCTGTGGGTAAAATGGTTAGCTGGTATTATGGTGTTATTGTATGAAACGTCTGTAACTGACGCTTGTACGTTGCTTTTCGTGTATACATGCATCCGCTGTGAAATATGTTTAAAATATGTGTTTTCCACTGGTGGATTTTCTTTCTTTGACCGTAATCGAGCAGTTTTATATTTGTAATATTGATCAAACAATATGCCTGGTTCAGGCATGTCACTAACATTTGTGTTAGGTTGAGTAATTGACTATTGGTTCAATGCCCGGGTCCTGCAATCACAATGTCTTTAAATAGCTGCTGCCGAATTGATATCTGCAGACATAGTATTACGGGATTCTGATTATGTCTTGTCTTCACAGGTTTCTTCAGTTCGTTCCAGCAAGTCTGATGATAAACGGCTTTCCATATTTACTGGGACGAAAACTCTCCACTTGCGATGTGTATCTAGAGAAGATAGAGCCATGTGGATTGAGGCCTTGCAGTCTGCAAAAGATCTTTTTCCCAGAGCTCTAACAAGTAGCGATCTTGCAACGTCAGAGGACATTGTGGTTTCAACGGAGAAGCTGCGATCACGATTGTCACAGGAAGGCATAAGTGAAGTAATCATTAATGACTGTGAGTCTATTATGCTTTCTGAAGTATCTTATCTCCAAAGCAAGTTGAAGTACCTTCAGCAGAAACATGTTATGTTGCTGGACACATTGAAACAACTGGAGGTATGATCAGTCTATTCTTTTAAAATGCATCCTTTCTAATTAGTTAGTTGCAGTTTTATATAAATGGTTATGGACATTAAAATGATTGCACGGCCTAGACATTGAAGCAGTTTTAAAGTTTTCGTAGCTCTGGCTTGAGATTTTAAATACGATTGTAGGAATTGATAACCTAATGGTAATTGGGTGTTTTAATTTACATGGCTTTCAATTCTACATTACCTTTCTACTTTTTAGTGGTTTAGGTAATTAGATTGATTTAAGAATATTGACATTCTCTTCAATATAAAGCTTTTTGCAGGGTTAGGATATATTGTTTGAACCTCCCTTAGTAGTTGAATGTAATTTTGTGTCACTGATGTAGTCATTCCTCACCTGGATTACTTAGATTTTTCTTGCCCTTAGGTCAACCACTGTATTCTTCTTACCATGAGAAAAAAACAGTGTTACTTTTATAGTAATGCTGCAAATTTCTCTATCAATTTTTCTTTTCAACATTTTATCATTAGTGAAGGAGTGCACACTGTTGGTGTGTTCTGCAATTGATCATGTTTATTCAATTCACGTTGCATTTACTCTTATATTTTACTCTCAGTGCCATGTTAAATTATGAAAACCTTACTAGTCGAGTTTAATTTATCTATAAAATTATTCATGCAGTCAGAGAAAATAGAGTTGGAAACTACTGTAGTTGATGAAACAAAGGAACGTGAATCATATTGTGGACAAGGAAATCGAAGGTTCAGCGGTAAGTATTAATGTCCACTGTGAAGTCATTTGCCTTGATTTACTATTAAAATCCGTACATTGAAAGATGTGAATATGAGTGCCATTTTGAATTTGTCTTTATTTTTATCATATATTTTAATTCAAATCCAGTTATTTCAATAATTATACTATTCTGAGATTGAATAACTACCAACAGCCATAAAACATTTTTTGAACAATATTTACGGTAGTTGTATCTCATATGAATGAAACATTTGGAATTTAATGAAGAATCTGAATCCTGTTTAAGAAAATTATTGTTTTGATTATGAAGTTTCCTTGTTAGTGACAGTCCACTGACTCCTTGCCCCTTTCATGTCTCAGATTTCTATTCTGTCATGTCAGAGGGTAGTGCTACTGATTCGGTGGCTGATAATGAAAGTCAAGATGGAGCAGATGTTGAAACAGATGATGATGATAGAACATATTTTGACACAAATGAGTTTTTGTATTCTGATGCCTTAAGAAGTGCATCCTATCGGAGTAGGGAGGGTATGGGCAATGCCAGTATATATGATAGAGATTATATTTGTTATGATGGTGTGCATGGTTTTGAGAAGGAGATCAAAGATGTAAGGTATCCACACGTCAAAAGAAGGGATAACTTACCAGAGCCAAAAGAAAAGGAGAAGCCTGTTGGCTTGTGGTCAATTATTAAAGACAATATTGGGAAGGATCTTTCAGGAGTATGTCTCCCTGTTTATTTTAATGAACCACTATCTTCTTTGCAAAAGTGTTTTGAAGACCTAGAGTATTCATACCTGGTTGATAGAGCATTGGAATGGGGAAAGCAGGTCAGGTCCTCAGCTGTGCTTACTTTTGTCACAAAGCAGTTTTAAAAGCATGATCTCCTAGGTTCATTTTATCAAGGTAGATAATATGCTTGGTTAAATTTAAGAAAATTGCTGCATATAAAAATTTGAACACTTCAGTAGCTTGATAGTCTGTGCATGATCTAGGCTGAGAAATACTCTTTTGTTCTTTAATTTCTTTTTGACTGCCCACAAAAACTGGAGTTTCTATAAAGATAAATAAATGTCAGTCGATATAGAGTCAAAATTGTTCTCAGCTGCTATCCAGCCAAAACAGTAGAATTAATGGGTTTGGTTCAGGATTTTATTGGGTAAACTAAGGGTGTAAATTTGTTAATTATTGTAGATAGGTAGTGGTCTAAGGGTTAGCTACTTTGCTACTTGTCTGTGACCAGTGCCTTCCAAATTATAATATTTGGCTTGATGGGTTTTGTGAACAAAATTAACTCAATATAATTAGCTGTTTTGAATGTTACTATTTGATGTTTTCTATTTTAAAATAGCTCACTCACGTGGTATATAGGCTTGCAAGAAGCCACGTAGTTTTGTTGCATTATGTTGGGTAATCAATTACCCCAGGAGAGTGCATTGATTAAAACTGCTATTGAGCCTAAAAGCACTTAAATGATAAAAATAAATTTCTGCAATTAGATACATTTTGGTTGAACGAGGATCGAATAGATAACTTGACAATGTAAACATGTTTCTATGCTGATTTATGAGGCTTGTGTAGATAGTTACTCTTTATAGGTTTTGGTACTGATTGCTTAATACAAGACTGGTTCTGTATAAGCCAAAATGTGCTTTGTTAGGGCCTGTACAATTTAGTTCAATGTGAAATGTAGTATCATTCAACTATCCAAGTTAACTATCGTAGAATAAAGTTGAGAAATGAATAAAATATTCACCTTCAGACTAAAGAGCATGTTTTATCTCTAGTTTATTGGAATGGCATTGTTTGAAAATTATGTCTTGCGTTGTGCAGGGGAATGATTTGATGAGAATTCTAAATATTGCAGCTTTTGCTGTATCTAGCTATGCATCAACTGAAGGTCGACAATGTAAACCTTTTAATCCTTTACTTGGGGAGACTTACGAAGCTGACTATCCAGATAAAGGACTTAGGTTCTTTTCTGAAAAGGTAACTAGAATTTCCCATTAACTTTTCAATCAAGGTTTATGAGAATGCGTTGGATTACAGGCAAACGTTGCTTCAATGTTGCCTTTGGTCATTTAATCTGAAAACTTCGTTATTGACTTTTGTCATTTAATCTGAAAAAGGACAGTGACTTGTGTCTAGGCTTAGTTGTGCTTTTGGTCAATTGCACATGTGTGATACTTTGAGACCCAATTGGAGCAATTAAAAATTTGGGGACTTAAATTGCACAATTAGGATAGCACAGTGACCAAAAGTACAATTAAGCTCCGTGTATATCTTATGTCTGCTAATTTTCATTTACTGATTGTTGCTCTAGGTTAGTCATCATCCAATGATTGTTGCTTGTCACTGCGAAGGAAGGGGATGGAAGTTTTGGGCGGATTCAAATTTGAAAGGAAAATTCTGGGGACGTTCAATCCAGTTAGATCCTGTGGGTGTCCTAACTTTACAGTTTGAGGATGGTGAAACATTTCACTGGAGCAAGGTCACTACTTCCATATACAATATAATATTAGGTAAAATTTATTGTGACCACTATGGTACCATGCACATCAAGGGCAGCGGAAACTATTCTTGCAAATTGAAATTCAAGGAGCAATCTATTATAGACCGAAATCCACATCAGGTAGGATTTTGAATGCTGCTAGGATATGGAGACTGCATTAATTATTTGTTGTTTACATTTGATAGATAAGTTATAAACTTTATTTTTTCAAATATATTATGTTTTACATTATTTTATTTTAATAAAACATTGTTCTTTATCCTTTTTCCCCCACTTTATTCTTCAAACAAATTCACCATCAAAATTCTGTTTGTACTCTGTAATTAAGCGCAAAAAGTATAGAAGTACCAATGTCAGTTATCATCCTAAATAACTCAAGTCTAGCAAGATTTTATTATCTGCTGCACTTTTATATTAGCTTTATTTTATCATACCATGAATGTGTTGCTTAAAGTACGTTTTGAATCTATTCTATGTTGAGTCTTATAAAGCTCAATAACTTTTAATCGTATATATATAACAGGTCCATGGATTTGTTCAAGACAACCGAACCGGGGAGAAGGTAGCAATGTTAATTGGGAAGTGGGATGAAGCAATGTACTATGTACTTGGGGATCCAACCACCAAGCCAAAAGGTTATGATCCGATGACAGAAGCTGCGATATTGTGGGAAAGGGACAACTCTGTATCCAAGACAAGATACAACCTCTCTCCTTTTGCAATTTCATTAAATGAAATATTACCTGATTTATTAGACAAGTTGCCTCCAACCGACTCAAGGTTGAGACCAGATCAAAGACATTTAGAAAATGGAGAATATGAACTGGCAAATGCAGAGAAACTTAGACTTGAACAGTTACAGAGACAGGTAAATCACCAACTACTTTTTTCTCATTTCATATCCGGATCAGGCCGACCCCTTTTTTCTCCCTTCACAATTGGTTAATTTAATTTAGCCTTGTAGTAATGATGGTGGCAAATAATTATGATATTTGAATAGAGCCTTGAAATTTGTTGTAACTTGTGCTTGATTAATAATTCAGGCAAGAAAGATGCAAGAGAGAGGATGGCAGCCGAGATGGTTTAAGAAGGGTGAGGATGGTTGCTACCGATATAACGGTGGATATTGGGAAACAAGAGAAAAGAATAATTGGGATGGAATCCCCGATATATTTGGACAAAGTTGTGATTTGCCTTCATGTTCGGAAGAGACTGTATCCTACTGAATACCGCTTTTATTTTTCAACAGCCCTTAAAAATCTCATGTTTTGTTAAATGTGAATTTGGTTGTAGGATGTAATTTATCTAAAGATCGTCCAAAATGTGTTAATTCCTTTTCTGCCCACCTTTTTTGTCATTAATCTCCACGAGTAATTTATGTTATGCTTATATTAAAATATCAACTTCTGAGAGTAACAAATCTTCGTCTTCATCCACTTGTTTCAAGGATCTCTACATGTGCTTATGTTAATTGGCTATTCTTCCAGCAAGGGATTAATTATGTAGGATAAATTATGTACATTGTATGATGATTACGTTAACAATACTCTGATACTATATAAAAGTTATTTTGTGAACAAAAATATATTAACATGAATTTAGATTTTATTGGATAATTTATAATTAGCCAACAGTATTACAAAATATACACTTTCAACATATATTAGTTATTTAAAGAATGATATAATGTTTACAATGATTGGTAAGTGTTGTAACAATTTTAAATTGTAGCTTTATATTTAGCATATTTTTTTAGTACTGATACTTGAAATAGAATTAATGTCAAACAAACAAAAGGCAAAGCTTCAAGACTCAACAAGCAAACAGGAAATCTGATTTCGCCTGCTCATTTTTTTTAGTTACGGTTTTGCCATTGAATAGTAATGTCACAAGTTCATGCGGTCTTATGCCAGTTCAATGGGAAAAAAATAAAATTTCTCTTCAGGAAGAGCTGTAACAAAATTCATCAATTACCATCATTTTAATCTATGGAAAAGAAAAAAAAAACTGAAAAGGGTTCATTCTGAAACAAAATTTGAGTTGATTGTATAACAAGACCCATATTTATTGCTTCCAGGCTTTCCTTCCGCGGAACTGTTTGCCAGAACGCTGATTTTTTCTCTTTTTCTCTATCCGAGTTCTTGAAACCTTATCTCTCTTTGCAGCCAAGGGCATTTTCTTCTTGTGCTCCTTTTGTCGGTTGCTTAGGCCACCCGTCTGTTCACAGCAAACAATACATGTCCATTGGATTTCATATACGATTAATAAAAAATTTCATGTTTAGGCCAATTGAGTACTTTACATACCTTATTCTGTTTTACAGCAGTTCGAGCATGATATTTTCCTCTTTCCTCCCTCCCTGCTCTAACCAATGCCAACCTTTCCTCTTTGCTCATCTTTTTCTTTACATGAACCTACAAGATGCGTACATGAATAAATAACCCTCATTACAGAAGTTTGTATTCTATCCTTTTAGCAACAATTGCAGATTGAGATAATCAACCAAACAACTAAAGCTACTTACTTCCAGCATTGCACCATCCACTCGCTTTAGACTCAGTTGATCAGAGCTTGGAACCTTAATTGATGATGATTTCGCTAGCCCTTGCTGAGCCAATGCATTTTTTGCTTCTCTTTTTGCCTATAATTTACATAAATAAATTCAACAAAAATTACAAACGTTAAAAATTGAACTTATTGAATAAGCCAAAGAAACCTTTAATTCTTTGATTCTCTGGAAGTCTTCATTCGAAAGAATTCCATCTTGAGATTCTGGCCCCACTTTTTCCCCTGCCAATTTCTTCAAAGCACGAAGACTTGTATCAGCAGCAATAAGTCGACCATCAAAATCTGTAAACTTCCTCTTTTTTGCCGAGTCTTTCAATTTGCTTTTTGTCTCCACATTGCCATCACTTAAATAATCCAGATCACCATCTTCTTCATGATCTGAAACATCATCATCATCTTCCTCATTGTCATCCTCCTTAACCTCAACATCTTCATCAGTATCACTATCACCAGCTTCAAAATCAGAACTTCTCTCGTCTTCATCTTCTGATATAACATTGTTACCTTTGGCTTCATCATCATCACTGCATAACTGGTTTTTCTCATCATCATCATTAATACTCAACAGATCATTTTCCTGGTCATTGTCCGAGACACTACATGTAGAATCATCACTCTCCTGCTCATCATTGTCAACAGTCTGCAATAGTTCAACACCAGAAACATCAGTTGCAACAGTGACTTCTCCATAGGCCTTTGGTCTTGCCTTGGGGTCAATAGGCCGTCCACGGTCCTTCTTAACTAGCAAGGAGGGGCAAACCTGCAAATGAACAATATTAAAGTTGTGAACGTACATACTGTGCTTAAGCACACAAGAAGTCACCCACTCATAAGGGAGCCAGTCGTGATTAACTACCTCTCTGAATAACCCAATAAGAGATCGAGCTGCCACTGAAACTGCCTTCTCACGTGACTTCTTATATAGTGCAAGGTCTTGTAATAAGTCTTCATTCATTAACTACAGTCCAAAATAGAACACGGTTAGGAAACATGACAGGGCAATCAAGGATAATCTACCAAAGGTGGAACACTGTAGGAATCAAACCCCTAGACTATTTTAGTGACGGTTTCAATTTAATAGTTAACCAACCATAGTGGTGGTGCATTTTACTTTGTGAAAACATAAATCAGTAAGATGCATATATACAAAGGATGATGAGATTGCAATAGTTACCAATGGCATGCGCAGGCATATCTCCCTGACTGCATTTAGTCCAACAGTAATAGCCTAAAAGTATCAACCAAAATCATCAAGAAAGCAAAGTAGAGTGCCCATACCATAAAATAAAAATATATAGCAATATATAAAATGTTAATGAGGTGGAAAACAATACCTCCGGACGTGAACGATCATGGACAAATTGATTTACTATTTGTTTGAACAAGGGCTCAACTGCATCAGGAGGAACCTGAATCCAAATGACATCTTGAATGAAATAGGATGCAAATAAAAACATAGGAGAACAAAACACTACATAATAGCTAACAAAAAGTCAAATTCTGAAAGAAAAAGCTATACTTTTAAAAAAATAATCTGATTGAAAACAGATCACAATCATACTGTACCATGTCATGGCAAGCCTGAACAACTGCTGCAAGCAAGTTTGTAATGTCACGTTGATGTGGCTGTGTAAATGCATATCACAATTATCATACTTCAGTAGCAAAAAGAATACCAAATTTCACCTATCTAATTAAATGATACCTGAATATATTTCTGAAGAAAAGGATAGAAGTCTAGCAAAAATATTCGGTGAAGTCCAACTGTTCGAGCAATCAATTTCAAGATCATCATCTTAACCTAAAAGTTACAGAGGGTAATTGTAGAACCAAGTCAATATGTACTTCTGAATAACCACAAGATTTGAAAGGGATTGCTAGTCTTCATTTAATACAATTATAGCAATGCTTTTCAATTTTAATTAGAGCATGCACCTCAAATCGTTCATTACAATTCTTAAGACGCGAGAACAGCTTCTCGGCAAAACCCTGTAGATCATATGGAATCAAGATGTTGATTTAATAAAACAAAATTTAAAAGCAAAATATATCTAGGACATTGATAGAAAATTTTACAAACCTGAGCATCTTTCAAATGGTTAAGTGGCGAATAATAACTGTTATTGCTCTTTTCAGATGACATGCGTTGATGCCTTTTCATGCTGCGTATAGCTCGTTGTAGTTTTGCTTTCTTTTTCTTTTTGCTTGCTGCTGTACCTTGGTGGCTTGCCTAAAATTTTGCAAGAATGACCAATAATTATAGACAACTAAGTGCAATTTACTACCTCCATACTCAAATATAATAAAAAACAATTAATTACACACTAATTAAGATAGTCAATTAACATTATTTAATTTCACCGATGTCAATTAAAAATACATTCTTTCTTGAAATGCCCATAATTGGAAGATTATATCATCAATAAAGTAGTCAATAAAAATAGAATCACAATTAAATAAGGGTGTTTCAAGATTGATATCATTAAATAGGATGAAATTTGTAGCAACACTACCTCAACAATTAACCCATTGATTGCCTCCCTCTCCACCCCTATATCCTTTCCCTCTCATAATCAAGTTTCCCTCCATATCTCCCATTTCCCTGCTCTTGCTACTGCAATGATTAGGATTCACCATAACAGAATTCCCTCCAGCAGTAACAGACTTCTATCAACCAATCCCACATCATTTCCTATTTTAACCTGTTTCCTTTTTCTCTTGTGATATAACTTGATGGGAGGTCCATCAAAATATATACGAAATCCCATGGTTAAAGTGCAACACAAATTTAATGTTAAATTGTATGGTAATCATTTGACCTCACCTTATAAAGGGTCTCCCTGCTGAGAACAACTTGAGGAGATTCATTTTTTTCATCATCACTGCTTGAATCATCACTATCATCATCATCTTGAATCTTCTCGTAATCAAGCAGAAAGGATAAAGCAGCTATCATAATCCTTAAAGAGATAAAAAAATCATTATCCTTAGTATGGTGAAATTTTGATACGGTAACACAAGATACAGAAAACAGAAAAACCTCGGCGATGGATGGAAGGAAGCAGTGCAAATTGCATTTGCTGTTCTTTCATCAAACCACACTTTTCTTCTGTGAAGCTCACATAGGCTCACAAGTGCCCTCTTGGCGGGCTCTTCCTCCTCTTTCTATTAAAAACACAAATTCATTTACCAGTTAGAAGACTTGCGTTTCTGGATTAGTTTATTTTGTGTTTTAAACCACTTACAGTAAAATAAATAAATAAATAAATAAATAAAGAGCAATTATTTCATCAAAACTCATCAAAACCAAAAATGCACACATGAATCACAAATAACAATAAAAGCAAAGATGAGAAAAGATCCACAAAAAACCTGAAGCAATTCAAACAAGATATTCTGAAGCGCACGGTTCTTGGCGTCGTTCTTATGCTTTTGGTTCATGCGCCTTATACTATGAACAACATGATCGAACGCCAGCTTCTTCAGCGTCCTGTCACCTAAGGTTTGAAGTTCCATGAACAACGACAGCGTTTCTCCAACATCAACAATCTACACAATACAACATCAAATCAAGCTACAACACAACTTCCACGACCGAAATTGAAACGAACCGAATTAATTCAAACCTTTCTATTAGAGAGAAGGATGAGCGCATGAGTGAGGTGGCAGCGAAGTCCAGAAGGTAACGTGCGCGCAGCGCAGCGAAGCAAATCGGCGAGTTTGCGAGGGAAATCGGCGAGGTGCTTGGGGTAAAAAGGAGTGACGTGGGAGAGGAACATGGCCCTGTCGCCGAGGTCCTTGGCAACGGTGGGGTCACTTCCGATGCCGGTGACGGAGGTGAAGTTCATAGCGGCTTGTTTCTGAAAGAGTTCAAGGGAGGAATTGAATTGGTTATAGATAAGAAGTAGCTCCGATTCGTAGCCTTCGGGATCACACTTCATTTTCGATTGGAGTGACGGAAGACTCAGCTTCTCCGAGCTCCGGCCAGACGGCAAAAGTGCCTCCGCCGCGGCCACCATGTCGTCGGAACCCATACTCACTCTGTTCGTTACTCTGTTTGCTTTTCCCACCACGAAGGCATCAAAACCAAAAACCTAACATAAACCCTAATTATTCATTTGTCTTCGTTACCGGCGCAAAATATTTTAAGGTCTAAACAATTTATTTATTTATTATAATATAATTTAGAAATTAGTTTCCAATTTGTGTTATTCCATTTCAATTAGATTTAATTCAATCTTTTTCTAGTCTATAGTTATTTTATTAAAATTGATTTCTCATATATTAATTTATTAAAATGTTTAATTTTCATAAAAAATCTAAATTAAACAAATATCATTAAATAAATCAAAACTAACTAAATGGTGTTTTTTATATATAAATTAGAATAATTATTTTGGACGAAAACATTTTTAAAATTCATTATTTAACCATGGTGACTTTAGGATTTTCCTTATAAATGGTGCTTTTAAATATATTTTTAACTGTTTACCCTTTTAATTTTATATTTTAGTATCCTAACTTTAAATTGAAATTCAATATATTAAAAAAATTATATATATATATATCTATATATATATATATATATATATATATATATATATATATATAGATATAGATATAGATATAGATAGATAGATAGAAAGATAAGCATGGTGAAGTATCTTGATGAGTATCTGATACGAAGCTTCCATTTCCCAGTTCAGTCGCCATGATTCAATTTAACTCTCTTCAAAATCAGGTCTTTTTTCGTTTCAAATTTCAATCAATGATACCTTATTTCAGGTCAACTATAATATCCATTGTTCGTGCATTGGTAGATTGTTTCAATGCTGAAACTGGGAAGTGAGGAATTTATGCAGAAAGTACTCAACAACAGAAGATGGACATTGCCAAGTCCTGAAACGAAAATTCACCAAATAGTACACACACGAGGCCCTAATTTCCTGTTGAACACCCACCCACCTTTTGGTGATGTCAATCGCGTGAGTAAAGAAAGGGATTACTTCTATGTCGTTCGGGATGATTTGTTGCACCCACTTGTTAATGGCAACAAAGCAAGAAAACTCGATGGACTACTTCCTCTGCTTCAGCATTATTCTGTCAGTGATGTGGTACAATACTAGCTAGCAACACAATACTTCACCTACTCGTTATTACAGTAATGTTTTCACAAATCACAAATGACTGTATTGGCTTCTTTACATCGAGATTATTAGATTGTTGTTTCCTACTGTCTTATCGGTATAGGGTATTTCGCTTGCAATCTTCTTGAGTTGTTGCAAATTATTGTAATCAATTTATAAATTTCTTTTTACAACAGTTTTCTCAATTTTAGGATTTTCTGAGATAAAATAACATTCAACAGGGACATTTTCTAGGTTACATGTGGAGGTTGTCAGAGTGCTCACACAGCTGCCATTGGTAGGTACTTTCTTGGTTATAGTTATAATAGTGGTGAGGTTTTAGAGGTGAAGTATACCTTTGGGTAGACCTTTGTTAAACTCTTAGTGTATGTTTTGTTTCACTTTAAATTACTAGCTAATGGCTAAAGTTCACGTGTTTGCTTTCATGTTGAAGAATTCATTTTGGATTCATAGCTGATTTTAAGTTGAAACATTTTTAAATAGTTTCTATGTTAAATTGAGAATTTTACAGAGTTTTTCCACTGACTTGCTTTTAAAATTAAAATACTTAAACGTAAATAACTTCACTTCAAAATCAATTGTAATTAGAATAAATTTTGCAAATGCTCACCCAAGTACGCACTTAATGGTAATACTATTCTTTCCAAACCATGGTTTCTTATTTTGAAGCGGTTCTGTGTGCTGAGAGAGGAATTGTGTCACATCTGCTTCTACGAGGAGAGCAGCCTGAAATCTTGACTGGCTATAACTTGATGTCTACTATGTATGGAAATGTCATATATGTTCCAAGAACTATTTATGCCAACAGGGAAGAGATGCTGAAGAGCTATGCCAAGTCCGTGGCTGGTAACGATGGTTCTGTCCTGTGGTTCGGTGATATCATTGAAGCTTCTTCAGCAACTGAATTGTCTACTTCTCCAAATTTCATGCAAATGGATGTAAGTAGAAGTGAGGGAAACCATCACCGAAACATTTTAGTTATCAATGAAGGTGCTGGTGATTCTGTTGCTCTACTAGGTAATGAGAAGATGGAGTTTCAAAAACAACCAATGAATATCTTCAGGAACATTCTCTTTTAACTTGGTAAAAATTCAGATAGAATTGGGCTTGAATAATAAGCAGTCTTAGTTAGGTGGTGCTTACCTATATACATTTTCCAAGATAAAAAAAAAAACATTTGTCTTCTATTAGAAAAAATAATTTTTGTTTGCAGCTGTACATATCTTCTGGATTGTTCACAAACAAGTGAGATTTGGATCCTATATAATCACAAAGAAGCAAACATCTTTTTAGCACACCAAATTGAATCAGTTTAAAAGGACAGTAAATTCCTATGAATCTATGCAAGTAATAATGTGAAACCTGCCTTTCTGCCTGACATGTATGTTCATGTGATTTAGTTGTTCATTGAATTGATTTGTCTATGCATGGCTATACTTTGTGAGAATTTTCATCTTGACATAGTTTCTCATGTTCAAATTACTGTCTGTTTTTGGGTAAAAGAATATTTTGTTGGTGTTTGAATTTAATTAAGTTTAATGGTTGATTGTTCAATACCCTATGAAAATATTTTTCTTTTTTTGTAGGTGTTATTCGCTTAGTACAATACTTATCACAGAACCATTTACTTGGCAAAGAAAGACCCATGAAATTTGTTGTAGATGCTGGTACTGGCACAACAGCTGTTGGCTTAGGGCTTGCAGCCCATTGCTTGGGGTGCGCTTCAGCTTGTAGCATGCCATTTTATTTAAAAATAATTTTTTTAATACTTTTCCTACCACAGCATTAGATTATGGTGAAAGTAATTTTTTTCTTTCATGCAGACTCCCATGGGAGGTATATGCTGTCATTCTGGCTGACAAAATTGAAGGGTACAGAAAACAGGAAGCGCATTTAATTTCTGAATTCAAGAAGCATTTTAACATTGAGTTTATTGACCAAAATGTAAATAGAGAAGATGCAGGGATTGTGAATTGGGTGGAACGTGGCCGTCCAAGAAAGTAAGATGCTATATACACCTCTCTCTTTTTTTTTGTATAATGATGTTAAAGACTTTACTGGCACAAGATTATTAGTTATTGTTCTGGTAGACTATTAGAGCGGATATGAATCCAAAACATTGTTGTTCCTACACAGAACAGTTATAAAGATAAATAAATTTATTATGGGTGTGCAGGTTGGCAATTAGAGTTATAATCAGAAACTATCACTTTGTTTAATTTTATAAACCTAGCTTTATGCCTATATATATTGAACATTCATTATTAGAGTGGATAGTGCTTTCAAATCCATTATTATTGATTGTTGATTACTACATCATCATGATTTTATGTCTCAAAAATAAATATACAGATAAATACTCAAAAATACTAGTTAGTCTAAGCACCCTGCCATATAAAAGACAAACTCTTATTGTTAGCTGCTACACACAGTAGTTACAATAGCCAGGTGACTTGGTTCTTCTGCAGCCACTTAACAGGAATCATGCTTAAATATCTTTATACCAAAGAGCAAAAAGTAGTTGTTGCAAGGAACTTGATGCCAATTTATAATTGATCTCTCTGACTTTTGTTTTGCTCCCTCTCACACATTTGCAATTTCTAGATTTGGTAATGTTTTGGAGGGGGAAGTGGAAACATGTCAGCAAATTGCCCAACAAACTGGAATTTTGGTGGATCCTGTGTATACATTAGCTGCTTGGGAAACAGCGATGCTTCTCTCCAGCAGCGATGCTGAAGAAGGGCCAGAAGTGGTGTTGCTTCACACTGGAGGCACGTTGGGAATGTTTGGACTGGCACAGAGGTACAAAAATTATTTTGGCATGCTGAAAAAAGGGGTGTTGTAGTTTAGATGACAGATTGAGAAGCTTTATGTTTCTCCCATGTAGAAAATACATTCAGCCGCTATCCTTTAACCATAGAAATGCAGCGTAAAAATTTTCATTCCAACTTCCCAAAACTTCAGCCGATTAGTCTATTTGGAAGAAATTGAGCATCTATTGACACCTTGAATGGAAGGATGCTTATTCTAAACTATTTTGTATCACTCAACATGGGGTCTATTACTGTATTTGTTTGTTTACTGGGAATATTATGATAAATATTCGGTCTATTCCAAAATATAGGCTTATTATTTCTGTAAGTTTGTGGTTCCAGTATGCACCTCCTGTAGTCTTGTCTATGATTCCATGGGAGCTTTAGTTTTGTAGCAACTCAAAACGTTATGGTATTTCACTTAGAGGTGTATGGTGTGAAAGAAATTAGTTTGTTAGAAATCAGCAGAAATTGTAAAATTTCGTTTCCCATGATTAGTTTAATTTTCAATTTACAATGTTCACTGAAGAAGTTTTTTAATTATGCTTTTTTTTTTTCAGAAGATTCCTATACAACATGTTACAATCTAACTTTTCCCACTTAAAAGAGTTTGACTATAATAAAATTATGACAGTTTTATTATTAGTTCGTTTAATATATAGTAAACAACTAAAGCTTTTGTGAATTATCACTTTGCTTTTTTATTTTCGAAGAGTTGATAATAGATTCGACAAACTTTATTAAAATGTTGATATAATATTAGAAAATAAGATTAAGTCTGGGCTTTTAAATAAATATGGTTTATGTACTTTATGTTTTTATGTAATTATTTTTTATAATATTTATGATAAAAAATGTATATTTTAGTTCTTTTTAATGATTATAATTTTCGAAAATTATTATTTTTGGACATAAAAAACTACTTTTGTCTTCAGCAAGACTTCCATGTATATTTGCTTTGTTCGTGTTTTTAATTGATGTTTGTAAACGTAAGTGAGGATGAATTTTATCTTGTAAACTTAGTTTGTAAAAATAAGTCCATTTTTCTTTTGAAGACAAAACTGAGTTTGGAATTGGACCGAATTGAAAATCAAACAAGAGGTTTTTCATCTTTTCTTTTTGAATGTGCATTGGGATTTCCAATTAAAAACCAAACATGGCATTCATTAATTTTGGACATGAAGCAGTTTCCCTTTCTGGTCTGGAAACTAATACCATGAACTGGTTGAAGAAAATAATAATAATAAATAAATAAAAACTTTTTTCCTGAAGCTGACCCACCTGCCACAAAAGTCATGTTCTATTTGCTTCTGTAAATGGAAAATTCAGAGAATAAGAAAGTTTTAGATCTTTTAGAATCTCTTGCAGTTACCAAAATGAAATTAGGTTACTCATGCCATACACCATATTACTAAATTCACCGTTTTTCAATAACAAGGAGGCCCAATAAAGCAACCAAGCTCACCTTAAGCCCAAACCAAACCCATATAATAATCTCACTGACAACACTACACTAATGAGAAAAGTGCATGTACATTTCATTGAATAGAAACTTGAACTCAATTTTAGCCCTTAACTAAAAACTCTAGTCATTGAATTATTAATCAATTTTCGGGTATCTATGTTTGTTGTGCAAATGATATGCTAACTTTGTCATTAGTTTTCCTAAATAAATAAATAAATAAAAAAATCTAAAGAACCATGTTTACTATGGTCTCTCATCACGACTATGTTTTTATAATAATGCTCCAATCTCAAACATTGTCTAAAAAATCTTTCAATTTCATTAGGATAAAAAACTTTACACCCTATGTCTTAAATTATTAATAAACTGAGTCAGTTATTAAATATCCACATTAAATTGCAGAGAAACAGAAGAATGCAGGAGGTAGTTGAATTAATTAATTAATTAGAAATTGTTAATTATGATGAAAGAGATAAAAAATTTACGTTTTTTTTTTCTTCTTTATGAAAGTATAATATTTTGGGCACACATAATAGAGAATTGCAAAATGATTCGGCAGAATGAGACTATAGACTTTGTAACATGATATCTTGGTCTGTGGTCCCGCATCACGCAACCACTCCCCAAGATTCAATTTTTAACCCTATTTCTTCACATTACCAAACACTACAACCCTTCAATTCTATAAATGTTTATTAAATTAGGTTAGTGGAAGGTGCCAAAACCCCACTTCTTTTTGTCTCTAATCAATTCTTTATTTTATTTTTTAAATTTTTTTCATTCCATGCACCCTCTTTCGTATGTTCAATATTCTTGCATTTTATACGAACCATTTTTTCTATTAATCTAATTACAAAAATGTATGTTAATATTGTGAAAACAAAAAATGGCAAAAAAACATTTGTTAGTGTCCTTAAGACGATGCAGTGGTGTTTGGACTCCAGTGTTGAGAATGTTATGCCTAGACAAGGAAGATAACAATACATCACCACAAGTACCAAGGTCAAAGTACTTACAACGAAAAACAAAGAGGAATCTTCTCACAAATTTTTATATATTTTATTTATTTATTTCAGATAAGCATGCCTAATATAAATATTAGTTCATATAATTAAAATTTATGGTAAATAAATATTCTAAATGTATAAATTTTATAATTTAAATTCTAATATGATATTTATTTTACTTATTGATAATTCTGAAAAAAATTATTGTTTATCCACATAGAAGAAACAAATGAAACGGTGACCGTGATTTCCTTCTTAAAAATGATGAAGAAGAAGCAGCGAAACATCGCTTTCACCAACTTTTTAGTGGCGCATCAAACGGTTTTCTTTATCCTGTGGTGACCTATTTATTAATTTTTTATTTTTTTCTATAATACTTTGTATACAAATAAATTATTAAACAAAATATTGATACATTATTTTTTTAACATAAAATTAAATTTTTCACTCAATAATGTTTACACCATTTTTTAACAGTATTAATATACACTTAGGGTTGATTAATGGTAGGAGAAAATAAATTGAAAAGAGGATGGGAGGAAAGTGAAGAGTTCAGAAAAATAATAATAACATATTATTATATTTTTTTATAAAATAAGAGAAAAAAAGTGAAAAAATACATTTATAATATAATCAATTGTTATATTGATAAATAAAGTAAAATTATGACTCTTTAGTTGATGACGATAATTTATATTTTCTACTATAATACAAAAATAAATTAATTATTACAACTTAAAAATAAATTATATACAACTTAATTACAACTTAACAAAACATGGGAAATTTATTTTATTATTTATTACTAATGGAGAAATAAAACCACATTAGTGCAAACATTTTATAAAAATAATTACTTTATACATCATATAATATTACCATGAACGCATCAGAATAATGCCGCAATGTATCAACACTAAACATCTATTAAACAAAATCATTATTAAAATAACATGAATGATTCAGTTTGATCCAGACAAACTTTTATAACAAATAAATGAAAACAAATCTAAATAAATAATTTTTTTTACTTACAACAACTTGATTTTATCATAAATTATCATGAAAGAAAAAACTAATTAATATTGATTAATACAATTTTATATAAATGTGAACAAATCAACAACCATTGTACTAATAGTTTGATTTCAGAAAATATTATTTATTTCAATCACGTATAAACAGTAACACATCGTTTAAAATTTATTTGAAAATAATAACTATAAAAGAAAAAAACTTGCATGGTTGGATTGAGAGATGCTTTTCTCTTCCATAACTTTTCGTAAAGAAAAGACAAAGAGAATAAAAATAAAATAAAATTGGTGCATGGATATCTGAAAAGGACAATGGGAGACGTGGAAGATGGAGGCAGTGTCATGCAAAGAATCCAATGGTCAGAATCAAATAGCTTTGGGTTTGAGGCTATCTCACCTTCAACAACACTTTACAAACCCTCACTCAATAAAAAAAATAAAAACAAACACACACACACACACACAATTATTAAATTTGTTAATGCTAATAGCAACTCAAATTCCCTTTCCTTTATTCATAATCCCAACCACTATTTACAGAACAGCCATCCACACTTGTCTCCACACAACAAGACACCATGCCTTTTTTAGTGCCTTTTAGAGGTTTTCTGTCACTAAAAGTATTATCATGTATTTTATAATTTTATAGCCCTCAACAAATTATGAGGAAAAACTTGGTAACTTGTTTGGATTGAATAAAATGAGAAAAGAGAGAAGTGATAATAGCTAAGAAAAAGAGTGTGAAGAAACTCTGAGGGTGTAAGAAAGTGTTCACAGAAAAAGCATTTTCAGCAGGAGAAAATACAAAAACATGAAATAGTACTGTCCTCAAGCAGGAATTGGAACCATTTATTATTGTCCTCTTTTGGCATATGTTGTTTTATGCACCACACCAACTTCAAGGTTCAATCCAGACTCAATAACCTCAAATATTAATTTATTAATCATCATGGTTTTAAGATGTGAATGAAAAGGTGTTATTACCCACTAATTATATTTGTAAAAAAAGAAAAAAACTCCAATGGAACATATGACTCTGGTCAAACTGTCCATTTATTGGATTCTGATTTGACTATTTAACTTGTCCAAACAAATCTCAATATTCATATTATAACAATGCAGAAAATAATATAATAATTTTATTATTTTAATTAATGAGGATGATATTTTGAAAAATAATATATAACATTGATTATTGATAATAAGTGTATTAAGGATAATAGTCAAAACATATTAAATACACCAATTTGAATATATATATTTTTTAATTATCTCATTGAATGTTTGTCCAGAATAGTCTGAATTGCAAGAAATATACAATCATCTTCTAAAATCTTTTTTCCAGAACTAACAACAATATTAACTTTTATGTTTGTCAAAAACAAGACTTGACTTTTTCCAAAAATAACAGCTAATAATAATAATAGTTATTGTCTACATTTTGAGCATAATAAATACTTTTTTAATTGTAATAAGATTTTTCATAAAACTAAAAATAATAAATAATAAATATTGGCGAAGGCAACAGGAGTGGGGGGCAGAATAAGACGGAGAAAAGAATTGAGAAATGAAAGAGAGTGAGGGGCATTAAGGTAAAATCGATTGAAGCAAAACACAGCATTAGGTGAGAGGGAAAGTACATTTTTAGCAACTTTGGGTTCGTTTGGAAAGTAGAGAATGAGGAAAACAGCGGAGTGAGTGACTCGGTCGTGTCTCCTCTGTCCTTCTTTCTTCTCCATTCTCTCTCTGCTTTTCTTTTCTACTCATTTCTAACCCTTTTTAGAGACCTCGTTCTTACACACTCTCAATTCAAAGACACAACAAAAAAACACAGAAGAGAACCATAACCCAACAAACACAACACGAGACAACCTCTGTGTCTGTCACTCAAACACTCCCACACAAAAATACAAGTGAAGAAGCAGAGGAAGAGAAAAAGAGTGGTTTAGTGTGTAGTGTAGTGTAGAAGTGGTTTCTGTTCATCTAATGGGAGAAACCGGAATCATTGTCCGGTTCCAGGGAAGCTTAGACCCAAGAGCTGAAGAGTTCAGACCAACCATCACCAACCCCATTATTCATTGCCAATGGTACCCTCTTCCTCTTCCTCTACCCATGCCATTACCCTTGCCCTTACCGCACCCTCTTCCTCTTCCTCCTCCTCCCCCTCCTCACCTCTCCACCTCCTCCACCCGCTCCCTTCTCCTCACGCCGCTTCCCCTCACCTCTGACTCCGCCCTCCGGGCTGAACTCCAGGCCTTCGGCGAAGTCAGAGCCCTCCAAACTGAAGCCCTCCGCCATGGAATCCTCACTGTCCACTTCTACGACCTCCGCCATGCAGAGTCCGCCTTCGCTGCCATCCGCTCCATGCACCACCACTTCCCTCAATTCCCTCCAGCTGCTGCCGCTGCCCCCGGTCTCCTCTCCGCTCGCCCTATCTCCGCTCACTACGTCCTCCCCTCTTCCTCCTCCACCGCCCTTCCCGATGCCCACAACCAAGGCACCCTCGTCGTCTTCAACTTAGACCCTCACCTCTCCACCGACCACCTCCGTCGACTCTTCCAACCTTTCGGTATTCCTCTAAAACCTTTTTTCATTGTTATTTTATTGTATTTGATACATGTCGGAGCAACTTTTCTGTTATGCTATCTTAGCTTTCTCAGATATTATTAATAATAATATGAATAATAGTGAGATTGAGATGTCTTTGTCTTGGACTTTTTGTGTCTCCACTAGCGACCTTTTTTTTTTTTTTCTGATTTTGTTTTGGTGGTTGGATGAATCGATCGATAGGTCCCATTAAGGAATTGAGAGATACCCCATGGAAAAAGAACCAAAGATTCGTGGAGTTCTTCGACACCAGAGACGCTGCCAAGGCCTTGAAACACATGAACGGCAAGCAAATTCACGGCAAACCCATAATCATTGAGTTCAGTAGACCCGGTGGTCACACTCGCAAGTTCTTCCACCACCCTCCTTCATCCAAAACCATGACTCTCGATTTTAATGCCCCACCACCCTTCCCAGCTTCCCCGCCACGTCGTTTTGCTGCTGCTCCTCGCTCGCATAGCTCTCAGCCTCAATTGTCTCACAAGAAATCATTGGGAAGCCCCGACAAGAATGAAGGATCTGTGGATGAGGCAATTGGATCAATGAATTTGACCGGGGAAGTTGGCAATGGGGTTGAAGAGCAGCAGCATTCACATGGTGGTGGCCCCCCAAGGAGGAATCTTAGCAGAAAGCAGAATTGCGAGAGCACGCCAGTAGTAGCAACCACAAAACAACACCAACAACCACAGCAACTACCTAGAAGTAGGCACTGGAAGGGAAAGCAAGCGAAGAAACACGAAGCTCGCTTTCTAATCAAAGAGGATGCCATTGTTGAGTCTGTTACCAAAGATACTCGAACTACTGTCATGATCAAAAACATTCCCAACAAGTACAGGTCCGCTTTTCTTTTCTATATTTTAATTATACTCCATTGCTTCATTTTCTTCTGTTTCCGTTCATGTTGTGTTACCAACTGGGATGAGCTTAAACAAATAGGAATGACCAATAGAGCTTCCCTTTCTCTTTTTTTAGTCATGCAAACAGTGTATAGAAGCTTACACACAGAGGGAGAGAGGTGCTACAAGATGTACTATAAAGTATAATACTAAAAGTATAATGATAGTATGAATGAGTGTAGAATAAATTAAAGTATAACGTAGGATTTTTATTTATTTATTTATTTATTGTTTTTGTTTTGGTTTGAAATTCTTGAGAATTTTATATTCTGTGTTTGTTTTGACATGTTGCAGTCAGAAGTTGCTATTAAACATGCTGGATAACCACTGCATACACTGCAACGAGCAGATTGCAGACGGCGATGAGCAGCCTCTATCCTCCTACGACTTCGTGTACCTCCCCATTGATTTCAAGTATATTATCCATTTCAATGCATTCCACCACCCCTGCAATTTTATTTTTTTTCCTTTAACTAAAACCAATTAACTAAATGACCCTGCAAATGTGGTAATTATTGTTTTATTTTGAAACAGCAACAAGTGCAACGTGGGATACGGGTTCGTGAACATGACATCCCCGGAGGCAACACTGAGGCTCTACAAGGCCTTCCACCTTCAACATTGGGAGGTTTTTAATTCAAGAAAAATCTGTGAAGTCACCTATGCTAGAGTTCAGGTATTTTCACTATACACGAGCTTCGATGACAATAAAGACTGTGATATATTAGTAGGACAAGTGTGACATATATATACATGCGTACTAGTACAAATTTATTTATTCATATGTGGCTTGGAAATACCAGTGGTCGTAGTAAATAGTCATAATGAATGGTTCAATAATAATGAAGGGTTTGGAGGCATTGAAGGAGCACTTTAAGAACTCAAAGTTCCCATGCGAGATGGAGCATTACCTGCCAGTGGTGTTTTCACCACCTCGAGATGGGAGGGAACTGACGGAGCCACTTCCACTAGTGGGGAACAACACCAACAGGCAGCATCAACCACCTAATTCAATTCCAAGCTGCAATGAGAATGGCGGTGATGACGTGGCAAGCTGCAAAAGCGGCGGCGTAGGTGATGATGATGATTACACAACTGGAGAAGTGGGTGGTGGAGGAGGCCTAGATAATTCTCAAGGGTAGAATACTAGTGTTGTGACTGTGAATGAATCAAAATCAAAAAATGTGTGATAGAATGAATTTAGCATTAGCTAGCTAGCACAGACAGACAGCATTTAAGGTGGTTGAGCAACGAGCCACACCTGTGTTCTCTCTCTCTCTCTCTCATTGTGTTCGTACCTACGAACCTCTTGCTGCTCACTGCTCACCTTTCCTCCAATTTCTTCATTTTTTTCTTTAATGCTTTTTTTTTTTGTGTCTACTGAAATTTCATTTCTTGTTTTCTTTTTGCTCCTTTTGAGTCGGTTGTGTAGCTTTGTAGGTTCTGCTGCTTAGATTGTAGTGTTTTGGAATTTCGATCTATCGTTTATGGATAGAAAACTTGAACAGTGGACAACATAGAAACCATAGCTGTTTGTTCTTGGCAATTACTACGTTTATATTTGTGTGTTTGTGTTAAACCTCGGTTAACGAGTGCACTTCTCCAGTAACTAATACAAGAAATTATCAGAGTGAAAACACACTTCTGTTATGAGCTTAAATATAATATTTTGCTTTAAAAATATAACTTTCTTTCTGATGTTTGTTTGTGTCACTTATTTTAATGACGTGATTGAAAAAGAAAAAAAAAATTGGAGGTTAAATGAGATAGAAACTAAGGTGACGGAGAGTTTTTTTGTTTTTGTTTTTTAAATATTAAATAGAAGTTAAAGGCTTTTTTATGAATGGATTTCATGAATTTAAAACTATCTTTTATTTTCTTCATTTGAGTCGCAGTATTTCACTTAATTTCAACTTCATCTGGTTTTTCACTTTCTTCAATACCAAGTAAAGTTACCTTTTTAAATACAGTGAAAGCGAAGGTAAAACACAACCGTCAAATCGTTCATTAAGCTGGCTGGGTCTTTTATTATGTCTGCAGAGATTTAAATTTTCACTGTGGATGATGAAAAACACTTTATTGACAAACGTAAAACTTATTGATTCATGAAAAATATTTTTAATTGAAATTGAATTTGTTAACGAGATAAGTTAGTTTAATAATGATAAGTACTATAAATTTTGGAGGTTTGTAACTGGGTTCTTGAACTTTTTTAAATGATTTTTAATAGGTACATTTTTGTTGCCTTCTTAAAAAGAGTGAATCCTTAATATTTGAGAGAAAAATATTTGGAAGTAGCACGATGGTGTGTGTTTGTGGTGAAGGGGGACCATGAGATTGTGGTATGGTATTCTTGGCACAACACAAAAACACAACACAAAAACACACCTGTCCTCCTGCATTGGTCATCCATTTAATGTTGTTCTGCATTCTGGTGCCTGCATTTGGTTCTGTAGCTTTCAGTTGAGCTTCAAAACAAAAGAAAAAGAAAGAACCCTCCACCCCACCCCCTTCACATCTCTGTCAGATTTCTCACCTGTTCTTTTCTTCATTTGATGCTCTGGGGTTTTGACACCTGGACCACCTGATGCTTACCACGTCATCATCAAACCTCGTATCACCCCAACCCCTTATACACTTCCTCTTCCATTCAAACTTTATTTTCATTTTTTTGTTTTAATAGCTTATAAAATCATGTTCTAAACAGATTATGTAAATTACTTTTATAATTAGATATCAAGTTCATATTTTCTTCTCTATTTTTTACTCATATGTCCTATCATCTAAGTTTAAAATAGAAGAAATAAAATTACTATAGTTATCATTTTTATTCTTATAAAATATAAATGATGACCCTTAGGTCTCTAATTTTTTTTCTTTCAAAAATGTAGTGCATTCATTTTCTTTTTATCACTCATCGCTGGTAACTTTATTATTATATGTTTAACACCTATATTTTTCAAAACAAAAATTTTAATTTCACTTATTTTATTTCCTGACATTTTTAATTTAGATTATTCAATATGTCAACTGAAGAATAAGAAGGTAAGTATGAATTAAAGAGGTAACCATGACTTAAAAAAAATAGAAAATAATTTTGTATTTATGAATTTAAATGCGACTGAAATTTTGTTTTAAACCAGACGAACACTCATTTCTATTTCACTAAAATAATTTTACACTTTCTTTTCATAATATGTTCAATATATAATTTCAGAAATATTTTATTCTTATTTACCTATAATTTTTAAAGTTAAAGAAAATATAAATATTTTCTCTACAATATATCCTTATTTCTAATTTAGTCTTTAATTTATTTATATGGTAACAAATAGTATGCAACTCTCATGATGTATAAATGAAAAATAGTACAATAAAAAAATTCAAATATTCAACAGCTAACTCAACCGATTATTTAAAATTTAAATTTAAAAACACTTTTAAATTAAAATAATCACATTTTTTTTAATCTATAATCACGTTCTTTCATATATGGTGCGTTTTTTATCTTTCTTTTTTTTAAATTGACTAATATTTTTTATTTCTAATAAAAGATTAATTTTGTATATCTTATTTTTTAAAATAACTTATATCAATATGATATATTTACAACAGACAAAAAAGATGATATTCGCTTAAAAAGAATTTTAGTTTAATAAATAACACATTTATTATTATTTTTAATCTGTATAAAAAACTTAATCTATATTAATATTAGTAGGAAGTTTAACACAACTTCTAAATCACTTTTTTTTTTACGTACATTTTACATTAGATGATGGTAGTCATGGGGAGAAGTAGAAGTGTGAAGGAGGCATGCGTGGTGGATGTCCTTTTTGATGCAATCCAGGTCACACGGTTGGCCACTTGCACGGACCAATTCCTTAAATAAACAAATCTAATATCTTATTTTTGACTGCCTCCTGAGATTGATTAGATTATTCATTTATGTTACTCTCACTCCATTCATTAATAAAAATTGTGCTCCAAGATTCTATCTGGCCAATCACCCATTACTCCTTGTTCTCAAATACACATCGATAGGTTCAATGATCATGATTTGGGGTAGGTTTTTGCTCTAACTTATCTTCCTCGTCTTTCATGTATGGACATTATGTGTGTTCCTTGTGATAAAAACTACACAAGGAACACCAAAATAACTTAATCATAGTGTCTTGTTCAATCAAATTATAACAAGATGTCTCAGTCACAAGGAATTAATTGAGGACTCCACGAGTAGCAAACAAGTGCCGGCAAATGTTAAAATCATGTAAATAGCTCAATCCATTTGGCCAAACTTCAGCTCTAAATAGAAAATTACAATTACTTGAAGCTGGTGCAAAGATACCTATTATACACAATAGGGTGTTCAAGAAGTTAAGAAATTTGTGGCATGCTTAGAAATCCCACCGGGATATGGGAAGCAAAGGTGGGTTTTTCCGTTATGCAGATGGAGTTGACAAATTGCTGTTACTCTTTGGGACTTTGGGTTGCATTGGAGGTGGCTTACAAACCCCTATGACAATGCTTGTTCTTGGCAGTTTGATAGATGATTATGAAGGTGGTTCTGATCATTCTGTGTCCAATCGTGTTATAGACAAGGTAATTAGTACGTGAGGTCATCACTGAAGCCATGCTACACACATGATAACAAAATAAATGCAAAACTTCAAAGTCATGGTTTTGTTACTTTTTCTTGCTGGTTGTTATGATGACATTCCACAGCATAAATATAGTTTTTTATATTCCAAATTTTCATTTGCTTAAAAATATCTGACAAAGTTCTGTCATCATTCTTTCAGTACGCTCTAAGGCTGCTTGGTGTTGCTATTGGGGTTGCTTTATCCTCCTTTATAGGTAAGCATTGCTGCAATTCTAGATATTTGGTTTCCATTGTTAATGATAACTAGGGTCGTTGAACTTTATCCTTTTTACTGTCTCCTCTAGCAACTCATGGATATGTGCAACATAATATGAAAAAAATCCTTGTCCAGCTAAAGTAGTAATTATTCCCCTTTTCATTTTTTCTTTGGTTACGTTGGCAAGTGGATATCATGACCTGACTCAATGAACTGACAATTGCATGAATTCATGTTCCACTTGAACCAATTGAGATGTGCTGAGTAGGCACATTAATTACTTCTCATGTAGTAAGAGTTCAATATTGGTTGACCAAAACTGAAAGGGTTCAATATTGATTTCAAGAGAATGCATGCATGATGTTATTTTGCAGAAGGGGTATGTTGGACAAGAACTGCAGAGAGACAAACTTCCCGCATGAGAATTGAATATCTTAAATCAGTCCTAAGGCAAGAGGTTGGTTTCTTCGACAAGCAAGCTGACTCTTCCACAACTTTCCAAGTTATTGCCACCATAACTTCTGATGCTCAAACAATCCAAGATACCATGGCTTATAAGGTATACGTACTCAATTATTTATAGAACCTTCCACCTTGATTTTTTGAACTCTATGTGATAAAATCATTTGTACGTGTTTGTTGCAGGTGCCCAATTGTCTGGGTCACCTCTCAGCATTTTTCTCTAGCTATATAGTGGCACTCGTCCTTTCATGGAGACTTGCAGTGGCTGCTTTTCCATTTTCAATCATGATGATCATGCCCGCAATCATATTTGGAAAGGCCATGAAAGAGCTGGGAAATAAAATGAAGGATGCATATGGAGTTGCTGGCAGCATAGCTGAACAAGCAATCTCATCAATTCGCACTGTTTATTCATATGTAGGTGAGAAGCAAACAATAAAAGCGTTCAACTCGGGTCTTGAAAAAAGTATGGAGATTGGCATAAAACAAGGTCAAATCAAGGGAGTGATAATTGGTAGCATTGGGTTGCTATATGCTACTTGGGCATTCCAAACTTGGGTTGGTAGCGTTCTGGTCAGGACAAAAGGAGAAAGTGGTGGCCATGTGTTTTGTGCTGAAATATGCATCATTTGGGGAGGACTGTGAGTATCATCAGAATTTCCCCCTTTTCTGTCTATTTGTTGAGTAATAAGATTTTAAAGTTTTGAGACAAGGTTCTTGGGAGAACATGTTGATGTTACTGACTGCAGAAACTTTGTTGAACACATTCAAAAAATAGTCTAAGAAGTTGTCAAATCCTAAAAAAAAAAAAAAAATTTATT